ACCATATTGTTTATTCAAGGGAACGTGTAAAGTCTTATAATTCTCCACTTTGACCTCCAACGGTGATGCAACTCTAGGATTGACCACGTAGATTATATGTCTCAATTTCATGGCGATCTGATCTGCAAGCCCTCGGGATCGTTGGACTCAGCCCCTGGAGTGTGCGTTTGCTCTTCTAGGAAAGGCCCGAGATGAGAAAGTTACCCGTCGGGATTTCGCCGTTAATTATACTCCAACTCGGCAGTTTGGAGAAGCCAATTTTCAACCGAATGCCTCCCTCTTTCACGGGACCAAGTTTCTCCGAACAAATACCGAAACTCCCAGGGCGGAGGATTAATCCGCATTGAAGTCCAATTACGATCAGTTTTATAAGGGCTTGAGGCAACCCGTGATCCACTTAGGTAATTGAGTTCTTCTAGTTAGGTTAACGCTTTCTATATGGCGTGATGGGAAAAGAAGGAAAATTGCCAAATCAGTCAAAACAGTACAAAGACAGTATAAGTTCGAATTAAAATTAGCACTTCCCAATCCCATACGGAGAGATATATTTAATGCCACCGTGTTCTTATTGTATTGCAACCTCATGTTTTGCATCACAATTAGTGTCGGATTGGTTCCCGATAGCGCCACGCTTTGGTCACCCCTGAACCGATTCGTGTTAAGTGAGACATGGCTATACTTAGACATCTGTGATCTGCGAATAGAGTGCAACATGAGACCCGGGCGTATATGTGCCTACAAGGTTCTATGTATCCAGTTGATTTTTTTCTCCTGACTCGTGCAGCTTATCTGTTCGGTTGACCTTACCGACCACGTTTTCCTCTCTTCTTTTTCTTCGATTGTTTTTCTTTTTGTCTATTTTTCCCCTTTGTTTCTACGTGGAATCGGAGATTTTCCCTCCTCCGATCGCACTAACTCGGTTAAAACGTTGTATGTGTTCCTGAATGATGTTGCATTACAATTTAACGAGAGTGGATTGGACCAGGATTCGGTTTTACTAGAGGAATACAACAATACTTGATAGAAATATGACCTCAGTCACTTTTTTATGTAATACCTACTGTACCCAATTCCTAGAAGCTTCTACGGAGTACATGCTACACTAAGGGTTTGACTTAACATGTGCACGTGAGACCTCAATCCCAACGTCATTGAACATAAAGCACCCACTAACTATCGATATACAACCCTAATGAAGGGAGTGGCCTCAGCCAGTCGGATCAGTAGCATCAGCAAGAACTTCGCAAGCGAAAAAAAGAAAAAGCTCAACTGACGTAAAGTACCTAGGGCACAGTGCCTCAGCCTAACAACCGCGGACCCTGACGGTCTTCTTGGCAATCCGCCCTCGCACGTCCCTGATCTCCGTGCCCGACGTCCAAAACGGTATCTCGCTTAACAGTCGGCTGTTGGGATTAGTATTGGGATCTCCGAGTTGCTTTGTAATGCATATAAACCCTAGATGGGTACGGAGTACGGAGTAGAGGTGACCAAAGTCAAGGTGCATTGTTGAAGTTCGAACGCCACACCTAAGCTGCCCAGCTATTTGGGAGGAGATGAAAAGTCAATTAAATTGCAAGACATGTGAAGCTGCCGAATGCTTCTTTGTTTAATTTCGATCTCCCGTGTCTCAGCTTGATGCTTTCGGCATTTAAATTGCTATTTGTCCAGAAATGCTGTGCACCAGTAGCCGAGACGCTATTCCGTATATTTTATAAGTCGAGTTTTATGGCATAGCTATCGTGTCAGGAACTGTGCTAGCTCAACAAGGTATGCTGTATGTTTCACTCGGGCTTATTCGGCTTGACTGGGGTCATGCATGAATTAATTAGAATGGCTTCCATGTGCTTGCATCGGAATCGTGTCCTGGTCCTCCGTACCCCGTCTTCCATACTTACGAGGTTGTGAGCTGCGAGGAAGCTTGTAACATGTGAAATCTCAGTGGACACGTTGTCACATGCGCGACTGTTATGTTTAGGGTCGATTGAGGTGGTATAGATTGAGCTACAGGTTTTCTGATACCAGGCAAACGAGCTGCGTCTAGAGGGAAGGTTGCTTCGGGTTGACTCTTTATGTGTGGTTTCCTGAAGAAGAAACTTCAGTGGGAAATCGTCGGCGAGTAATATACTTGAATATTCGAGCAACTTCATTTCAATCATCAACATATTCTTCAAATATGATGGTTGATAGGATTGAGACATTTCAAATGTAGGGGTTAGGTAGTTATATGTATATAGAAATATCTTTTTCATTTATACGTTAGTCCAATTTCAAAATTATAACCTAGTCTCAGGTTATTACGAAAAAGATAGAAATTTATTAATTCTATGGAGAAAACGACGAGACTCTTACATGTTGTGTTGTATGAAATCAACAACTGGATTTGCAGCCATCATGGTTGGAACCCGCGAGAGGTAACTAACTGGTCGAGAAAATAGACATATCAATTCCGATCTAAGAACATCAAGTGAGCAATCAGTAAACCATTTGAGAGCAATTGAGTTCGCTGCATAGACCTGGAGGCGATCGAAAAGGGGAGCACGCTTGGAGTGATGTGGAAAGGGCCTGGACTGGACTCTGTATTGAGCTGTGGAAAAGACTGTCATAAATCGATTGTAACAAGATGTGATCAGCAGAAGTATTGGCACATCTACGCCAATGTAAGCAACGGCCTTGCGCGAACTAGCCTCAAAAAGTACACCGACCCCTCTACATCTATATAACTTACCATGCACGATACAAAGAATTTGAGGGTCAGAAAACAGGGAAACCGATCACATTACTACTCCAAATAGACCCATGGGTATTGCAAAAAAGGCATCGATTCATTTTTGCTGACTACCATTTTACCAACGAAACACAGTTAACAAAGAAATAGCAGGGGTGCAAAGAAAGACCCGCTTAGTTCTCGTAGAGAGTGTTGAGGAAAGACTCGGCAGGAGCAGTAGGCTTGCCACCCTCGACGGACTGCTGGCCAAGCTTCTGCTTGGAGTAGGCAGCGGCGTAGGGGTTGAGGCGGAGCATGACCTGCTTGTTGCGGAGGGGGTTCTTCTTCTGGACATTGACACGCTTGGTGCGGGCCTCGCCCTTGGGAGCCTTGAGGACGGACTGGATTTCGGAGGAGTTGATGAGGCGGGTCAAGTCGGCGTTGGCAACCACGTTGGAAGGCAGGAGGTAATCCCGCTTGAGAGCCGAGGGGCTGGTGGTGGTACCGTAGACCTGGTCAAGAGCCTGGAAGGCGGAGGAGGTCCAGATAACGAAACGACCGAGGTGACCACCGGGGGGCGAGCTGGAGGAGGTTGAGGGAGAAGACGGGCGAGGTCTCGACACCGGGGATGTTGCGGAAGGCCTTGACGAGGTCCTTGCCGTCGGTCTCGGGGTTGTAGACAACGAGGGGTCCGCGGCGCTGGCGGAAGCGGCGGTTACGGAGCTTACCCTTACCGGCGCGCATCTTGCGGGACTTCTGGACCTTGACGAGATCGGGACCAGCACCGACAGCCTGGAGGAGGGCGATGGCGGCCTTGGTCTTGTTCAGGGACTCGACGGCGGCGGACTCAACGACGAGGGGAACCTCGGGGACGTTGGCGACACGGTGACCGCGGGCGAAGAGCAGAGCGGGGGAGGCAGAAGCAGCCAGAGCGGAGGCGGTAGCGAAACGACTGTAGACGCCAGATTATTAGTTCCTCCGCATTTCCTTCTCAAGTCGTTCAATTCCTTCGGAATGGGATTCCACATACCGCTGGCCAACGTTGACCTTCTGGTGCCACTTGCGCCAGACCTTGGTAGGGGCGAACATACGACCGGAACGGCACTGGTTACCGAAGGCAGCCTGACCGGCACGGTGAGTACCACCACCGGAGACACGGGGGATACGGGCAACAGCACGACCTATTCAATGAAGCAATCCAGTCAGTTATTGTTTTTGGAATAGAAGAATTTGATGATCGCGAAAATTTTCGCAAACCCTGGATCTCATTCTTCCAATCTCGAAAAAATGTGCCAAATCACGTACCGGTACCCCAGGACTCAGCAGAGGTCTGTTCACCAGCCTTCTCGCTCACAGCGTAGGGCTGGCGCTTGTTCTTGGCCATACCAGTGTGAACATGCCTGTAGAGCGATGGTCAGCACTTCCCCTCCATCGATTTGTGAATCCTTCAAGTTTTTGGCGAGTCATACTGGACAATATCCGGGCGGATAGGAGCACTGAACACGGTGGGAAGAGGGTGGGAGGCCCCGGAGGGCTTGCCCGCAGCCGTGGCGATCGAGACAGTCGGGCGGGAGGCCATTGTTGCTGGTCGGTGTCGAGGTGAGGTTGAAGATCCAATCTCTCTGAGTCGGGGGGCTTCACAACTGGGTGTGGATTTTTTCGCTTAGTGAGAAAATGGAGTGGGGCGGCGAACCCTAAGCCCTTCCTACCATATATAGACTAGTGCAACTATATAACAATTAGCTAATCGAAGCTATCACGTGGGACCCACAAGTGGGTCTCTTGGTGGCATCTTGAACATCGAAGTCACCGAGCAAGTTCTACATCACCCAAGACAGTAACAGCTTGAAGGAAACATGCCGAGGAGATTTAGGCTGTGCATATCTGTAATTCCCTTGCTACCTATATGTCTCAGGGGGACTGGTCATTACTGCAAGTGACTTACTCTCTGTTACCTACTTACCTTGACTATCGACCAAATGCCCCCAATACCCATCGGGCAACAATACTACTATTTGAGCAACACTAATATTTACAGACTCATTGACAGTACATTGAATTAAACAGTGCAGCATATACAAAAATGATATCGTCATATGGAACCCTATGAGATGTCCTATTTTCCTAGTCTCATCTCCTAAATGTACAGAAAAGAAGGAACATATAATGCACCAAAAGCAAAGGGACCAGCCCAGCAGAAAAGAAATGTCATGAGAGCGCAAAATCAGAAGAGAACACCACCCAATGAGAGCCGAAAAAGTGACAACATCTGAAGCCAGCAGATCATGTTGCGTATCTAGCTAAGGTGGATGTGGTGACCACTGAGGGTACGCTTGCGGAAGCGCATACTTGAGATATGACGCGCCTTCTTAGTGGCACTGACAATAAGCTCCTCACTTTGACCAGAGTTGCACTGCGTGCCGGTCGACATTGGCTGAGCATTGGTCCAAGTGCCAGAAGCACAGCGCTGGAAGGACGTGCCTGCAATGCAGTTCCACTGGCCCTCAATACTGCAGCTACCGGTCAGGGCATCAGGGCTGGAACTGGAGCTGGAGCTGGAAGCAGGTCCCGATTCGGAGGCCGAAGAGGTTTCCACGGGAGCTGGGGCAGCTGAGGTGGACGCGGGCTCGTAATCGGGCTCGGTGGGTGGGTTCGATGGAGCAGCAGCTGGGACTTGGGCAGCGGCGGGTGTGCTCTCTGCGGGGGCAGGGGAAGAGCCAGTAGAAGCAGGGCCAGTAGAATCAGAGACGGAGGAACCGGAACCAGATGAGCTGGACCCAGCGTCTGAGCCAGAGCTGCCGGAGCCTGAGGAGCCAGTGCTACCAGAACCGCCGAACCTAGGGGTACCGCTGCAAGCCTCGGAGCCCTCCTTGGCGAGGTTGGTGAGTACACCGTCATGCTCGACGTAGTCGCCTGGCTGGGGGAAGCGGATATCGACACCCTCCGGTGTTTTGCAGCCATTGATATTTGCGACAAACATGGGAGGGAAGCTAGCAGCGCGTCTCTCGAGTTCCTCGGGGGAGCGCTTGGAGGAGCCACCTGCGACAGTGATTGGGGCGCAGTTCATGTACATCTCACGGTTGCCGATGCGGTTGAACCAGGTCCAGGCGAGTGTGTATTTGCCAGCAGAGATACCGTCGGGAATGGTGAAGTTGAAGGTGAAGGGATCGATGATGTCGGGCCCGCCTTCCATGTTGCCGCCGACATTGGCAGGGCAGCCACCCTCGAAAGACTTGATAACCTTCCACTCAGAGGACTTGGAGGGTTGCAGGTCGGTTGTCAAACTAATCTGGCAGGAACCACCGCCGTGGGTGGCGCTGCCAACGAAGGTGAGAGGGTAGTTCTCGCCGATGGCGATGATTGTCTCAGTCGCGGGGGCCTCGAAGGCGTTGTCACGGAGCTTGCATGGGAAGTCACTGCCGTTCTCTTCCAGAGGCGAGTTGTTGAGGCTGTCCTTGCTGAAAGGGATGGGGCTGCTCATGATCATGTGAGCGTTGACCATGGAGGCGCCCATCAGGGCAGCGATGATTTTGGAGCTGATGAACATCTTGGATGATTGAACTTTTGGGATTGGTTGGTGTCTGATTTGACAGATAGATGTTGCAGATGGAATCGATTCGTGCCAGACGAATGGAATTCAAGTTTGAAAAGGAGTGGACCTTGTTGAATGTTAGTGTTGGGATGAGAGACTTGGAAATGCGAGAGGCAAGCTGGGATGGAAGGGCTCAGAAGTATATATATCGACAGTGTGTCATTGATAGGTCTATTGTGGGCAAGAAGTATAGACGGAACCGTCCTTCAACAATAGATCGTGAAGATCCCACAATAGATCAGACGCGTATCGATCTGAGGCAACGATGAAACAATGGAAGAAACACAATACCTTTGTGTCAAAGTGAATGAAACAGACTGATTCAAATTCTCAGATATTTCCGATCTCTTTGTGAATGAACAATAGAGCCTCTTTGTTTGGTTTTAGTTTCAAAAGATGAGCCTCAGAAAAGGAATGTATATGATATTCTGCCACAGGCAAAATAATCACGATAGAAAGAAAAAGGAAAGAGACACAGGTCTAGCCTGACTGTCGAGTATAAGAAACGAAGAGAAGGGATTGTACTGAAGAGGAAAAAGAGAAAAAGCCATGCAACGTCGGCGTCAAGGATTATTATATATACAGACATGGGGATACTCTCGGGCCCTCCCATCTCAAGAAACCCGAATCCCAGCCTCTGAATGGCCCGATGCTATGTGCATGGCAATTAACCAGACACACCACTTGGTGCGATCCCCGACAGTTCAGAGACATCTCCTTGGTCGATCATGTACTCCGTGAATCCACCAGACCTGAAGAGTGGGGGAGGCCAAGGGGGTGAGAGATGTTTCAGAAAGTTCTCCTGCCCACCGAGGTTAAGATGTTCCAGTGAGAAGCTGAAGATCCGAAAAAAATACCAACGATGACCAGTAGGAAGATCGGAAGGATTCGCAGATACCCGCTGGACTGGCGGCTGGAGAGTAGCCAACCACCGCCCAGATTGGTCAGGTACAAGACTTTTCCACCCCCTGGATTTGTCGCACCATCAACCGCCGGCACACAAACTACTTGAGGATTGGTTGTCGTTGTAGCCGCCCAGATTTTTTTCCCCCGAGTTGCTTGCCAATTATGAACGTATGTTTCATTTTCACCGGAGTCCGTATTCCGTGCTACGTAGCATTATTCCTCAATTATTAGCCCCTTACGGAGTGCTCCGTACTAGAAACCCATATGACGCAGTGATACAAAATCTAAGAATACCTAGACATCCCGGCCGTTTAACGCCGGCACTTGTGTGTGTGGGGTAATTCATCCCCTTTGGCCAAGTCTTGACATTTGAAACGAGTTGAGGTCAACTATGAGCGTTAATAGAGAGATATGACATCTCCAAATCGCATGTGTCACTTTTGAATATCCAGATCTCTTCAAAGATGTCAATTTTGAAAGTATGCTAATTTCACAAGCGTGGTTCAGGATCATCAGGGTTATACACAGATCCACAAATGTACTTGGCGGATTTCAACTCTAGAACAGATATGGAAGTCATCAAGCCCATTCGCTACTTGGTTCTCATAGTTCCCTAGAAAATATATCTGTACCCCTTAGCAAATGATAATTATTGTGTTGGCAATCCCTGTAATCTCGAACAGACCGCAATGCTCGGCTGACCTAAAAGTAGAACGAGGATGGGGATCTGCATTCACGATATCAAAAATAGAACCCGAGTGACTTAACCAACGCTCGTATCTGGTGTCGTTGTACGTCGTCTGTTGTCTACGATGGTAGTATGGTGGTATTTGGTGGGGTCGGTTAGCTCTGACAGTGACCTGAACTATATATATATTGACCGCGTATATTGCAAACTCCCCCTTGAACACTACCTTTCCAATATTCCTTCTTAATATTTGACAGTAATTGAACTTATGGTTTCTCGTAACCAAATCATTGATCCAGTACTCTCCGATCTTTTCCCATACAGGACCATTTCGATCTAAGCGCCCACAGTGGGTATATCCTGAGAGACACGATACTCTGCAGTAAAGTTCGCATGACGGTTCGCATGAGAGCGACAATCTAGCACATACGGTTTCGCCTCCGACATAAGTCGGTGACTACTGGAGACCCCATATTCCATAATGGATACAACGGAGATAGAGTGAGACAAGCCATCGTACAGTCCGAACTTCGTCTGATACGCGAATGAACTTGGCAGGGGCTCCACCAAACAGACACCCAGGTCCAATCTCGCGTGTAAATACAGTCCCTGCTGCAACAGTTGAGCCCGCTCTAATAATGTGTATACCATCTAAATGGTCACACCCCTACCGATCCAGCAGTCTGACTATACGAGCAAAGGATGTGCCACTAGCTTCTTTTCGCTCACTTGAGGCAACCTGATGCATGCCTGTGCAAATGCAAAGGTCTGAGCCCAGGAGGGCACAAGCACCGATTTGGACGAGTGCATTGTCGTAGAGCGAAAGAGCTTTTGCCGAAATACTAAGTAGAGTGGAAAATTAGATGAATCTAAGACATGTCGGTTTATTGAAACGGTGAGTCGTGCTGGTATGCACATCAGTTTGTTTTGTTTGCAGGAAACGACATATCGAAGTAAGTGGTTTCGATCGCGTGCAGTGTCAACTCTTTCCATTAGATACATCCAATATACATTTACCAAAGCAGAGATTTTCTGTCGCTTGTTGCGGGTGCAAAATTGTCCACCTTCAGAGCGTGCTAGACATATGTCACATTAAGAAAGTCCTTGGTGAGCGCCAAAGCAGACTCCTCAGTCCTGCATGTGAGCTGAAAATTTGTCCAATAACGCCGCGGCGGCTTCCAAATCACAGACACGAGTCAATTGAAAAGTTCTTCGTGAGGTCCAGACATCCCTGTCGACAGATCTATAGATAACGTCGCATGCTGGGGCCATGCGCCACCATTTTCCCACTGTGGTAAATCGTAGGATAGACATGACGCCCCATGCATTTTCCAGTGAGGAAATGTGTACCCTCAGATCTGGTGCGATTGATGCCTGCTCAAGGTTTCATCAAGCACCCTGGTCATGCAGACACGGGTGTTTCATGTCCGATTCGCACGAGCCAGTCATCCCCACGTGAATGAATCCAGTGTCAGGATTCCGGGGATCCAAAATCATCAGGGGGATCCCCAGTCCCCTCATTTCTTGCCCTTCTTCTTTCCTTTCTCCGCCGCAGTCTCCTCCTTCTCCTTAGTAAACCCGCCCTTCACCAAAGCATCCCGACCAACATCATTGATGAGCCGGAACCGCGCCGGACCGAGTTGAATACCCCCATACCACCTTGTAACAACAACCACAACATTCCACACATCCATCAACTGCATAACATGCAATAGTCGGCCCCCAGCAGCAGTCTCCCCATCATCATCATAATCCTGAACAACAGTCTCCCCACCCTCCCCCTCCCCATCCTTCCTCTGCCGAATGCGCCAAGCACTAATATTATGCGTCGCGGCCGCAACCTTCCGATCCGTAGCGGTAAGATGATCAATAAAAGCCTGCGCCTGCGCAAGACACGTAACGCGTGCCACGCGGCCCACGAATACTGATTTCTTCTCGCTGACAACGTCTGAGAGGATCCATTCGGGCGGGGCATCGAGGCCGAATGCGTCGCGCAGGGACATGGTTTCAAAGGCGTCTGTGGCGGTCGACGTGTCGACAGTTGGTGTCTGAGTAGATGTGTCGACATCATTATCCCCGAGACTCAATTCCGGGAAAATATCGACGGCTTCGCTGATTACATCGAATAGACACACGGCGCCGGCCTGCCAGGTCCGTTGTATGATTTCCTCCAATACATCGACGGCGATCTTGCCTTCCCCGCGTGCGGCGGTCGATGCTGTTCCCAGTACCGTGGGTCGGGAGTCTGGATATGAAGCTTCGAAGCCCAGGACGAAGGATAGATGATCTTGTGCTGGGATTTGGAGGGTTATCACTGTGGTATGACTCTTGTTATTGGAGTGCGCCGGACTCCCTAGGTCGAGGGTTTTGGTTGTCGCATTTGCGGGGGTTGTGCGGGTCACGGTTATTGTGTCTGGCTCATAGATGGCGTTTACGGCTTCAATTTCTTCGGCAAGGTCTTGGTTTTCGGGAATTAGAGGCATTGTGCCGACTGTAGAGCTTGGAGCTCGTGCGGGGTGGTTGAACTATTTTGTGACAGTTGCATAGTCTATTCAGGCATCAAGGCATCCAGGCACCCAGGCACCAATCTCAATGTAGGCGATTTTGACACGACTTTTATAATGGGAACCTTGTGTAAAGATTGAAATCATAGAATCAACTTTCTTTGGTATTGTGGGATATAAGTTGAGTCTTAAACAAAATGTGTTTTTTTTTACCAAGTTGAAGTTGTTTTGTTATCATTCAGAAGCTTCAGTGTGCAGCAGACTTCTTTATTCGCACACACAACTGATACTGGTTTTTCACAAGGCCTAAAGCTCTCGCACCTCTGATGTGCAAGGAAATTGCCGCGAATACCGATACGTACACCAGGGTTCACGAGTATCCCAGAGATATTAGACTACATGTTAGTATTCCAAATGGGTTGCGGTGACATTGACCCTAGTTTTATAGAAGGATGCAATGATCTCTCGAATGCAGGAGCGCGATGGCAAAGTTGCCTGTAACAGAATACTTATCAATCCCCGTACTGATCAAAAGTTCATTTCTCACGGAAGACAGCAGTGGATCTTCCCTATCAGATATGCCATTTATGATTCTTTGGCCATGCATATATAGGAATAGGTGTGCTACCATCATTTTATATGGATAGACAGAGATGAAAATTGTCTAAGAAAGGATAATGGATATCTTTACCGGAGAATTTGGAATGCTGGAAGGAACGGCTATGTACCTGACTTGAGCCTGGAGAACAAAGCATACCGATGTTATCTTGCTGGGTTTGGCCTGATCTTTGTACATGCGTGGCTTTTTACAACTTACAATAAGCATTATAAGGTTGACATTATGATTCTGCTGTTTGGCAGGTAAATGACCTAACATGAAACCTGAAACAGAAAAGTATAGTAGAAACAATAAACAAGAACAAATCCTCCGTATATTGCAATGTTTATTCTCATCCCATGTTCTCCGTATCAGCATACGCCTCTCTCCCATATGTGTAGTGGAGTCCATTCCATGATGGACCAAAAGTGACGAACTTCCATTCAATAATTCCATGAGTGTTCAAAAATATCGAAGGAGTGTGCCTGTGGTGCGGGAACATGAGCCTTTTTTTTTTCTTTTGTGAGGCCATCCTGGTGTGTGCTCGCCACGGGAGTTTGGACGTATTGTTCCATTTCTTTCTGTGAATATCTCGCGGAGGCATTAAGGTTCCCTGATGCTGAAGGGTATTGTGTATCAATATCTGGTTTAGGTTTTCTGTTGATTTGGTCTGTACCCTGAGCTGAAAATTGTTAGTTTCTTTATTCGATATTCAAAGGGGAGAAATATTTGGAGACTTTCCTACACCCAAGACAAATATGGTGCAGTGGGATTGACATGCAAGGACCATCTTCATGAATGAAGCAAGAATTGACGGTCAATAGTGGCTGAGGCAGATAAGCTCAATGATTCGCATCCGTTGTTCAGTTTGTCATCAGGGTGCAGTGAGAAATGAACGCTCCAGACAAAGTGGGTGAGTTGAGATTGTTTGGTGACGTTAAACAGAGTGCGAGCGTTAGACTTGTGCATATGCCTTTCCCTCTCTCTCTCTCTCTTTGTGTGTGTGTGCCTAGTCATAAAGTACCGATTTATTGCTTGAATTATCGCGTCTAGAAGTGGTGTGGTCTTCGGAATGGGAGTGTATGGGACCGAAGTTTAGAGTGCCAAGATTGATGGTTGATGATTACCATGCTCTGAGGTGGTCGTCTCTTTTGGTCACTGTATGGCACTTAGGATGTGGCATGACGACATAGTGGTATAAACACGGCATCCTCATTGGACTAGGTGGATGACGGACTGCAATGGGAGTCGGAGATGTGATAGTTTGAATTGAACTGAGATGAGCAAGACGTGGTTTTGATGTTTCTCGTAGACTGAACCGATTTGAATTGTCGAAGATCTTGTGGGTGAGTGGGTGATATGATGACTAGTGACGGAAGTGTTGACATTGGCAAAAGAAGACCGCAAATTGAGACATAAACAGTAATATGGTTCCATCTTGATTAGGATAGATCATGGGGTCAGCTGGCTGGGTGATTGGTAATGGTTGAATTGGGAGGCGTCGAAAGACAACAGGGAGCTTGGTAGACGATCTGAAATATGAGGGTCAGTTACAAACTTCAAGGACCTTTTGTGAGCCTCACCGAAGCACCGTAGATAGTGAAATGTGAATAGTCGACAGTAGTTCATTGAAGTGGTTGACTGGTGGAATCCGTTGATTGAGGGCGTTTATTGACGTGGTTGTTTGAGGTGGCTGTTTGATTGTTGATCGAAGTGGTTGATTGGAGGTATTGGTGGACCAGTCTGCCGATTGTCCTGAAGCCGTAGCCCGCCATGGTTAGACTGGTTGATCGAGGTGGTTGGTCGAGGTGATTGAAGTGGTTGATTGGCGGTATCGGTGGTTGATGGACCAGTCTGCCGATTGTCCTGAAGCCGTAGCCCGCCACGGTCAGACTGGTGGGATCGGTTGATTGAGGTGGTTGATCGAGGTGGATGATCGAAGTGGGTGGTTGTTTGGTGGACCAGTCTGCCGATTGTCCTGAAGCCGTAGCCCGCCACGGTCAGACTGGAAGTTGCTGAAATGGATGATCGAGGTGGTTGATCGAGGTGGTTGGTCGAGGTGGTTGAAGTGGTTGATTGGCGGTATCGGTGGTTGATGGACCAGTCTGCCGATTGTCCTGAAGCCGTAGCCCGCCACGGTCAGACTGGTGGGATCGGTTGATTGAGGTGGTTGATCGAGGTGGATGATCGAAGTGGGTGGTTGTTTGGTGGACCAGTCTGCCGATTGTCCTGAAGCCGTAGCCCGCCACGGTCAGACTGGAAGTTGCTGAAATGGATGATCGAGGTGGTTGATCGAGGTGGTTGGTCGAGGTGGTTGAAGTGGTTGATTGGCGGTATCGGTGGTTGATGGACCAGTCTGCCGATTGTCCTGAAGCCGTAGCTCGCCACGGTCAGACTGGAAGTTGCTGAAATGGATGATCGAGGTGGTTGATCGAGGTGGTTGGTCGAGGTGGTTGAAGTGGTTGATTGGCGGTATCGGTGGTTGATGGACCAGTCTGCCGATTGTCCTGAAGCTGTGAAGCCCGCCACGGTCAGACTGGTGGAATCGGTTGGTCGAGGTGGTTGATCGAGGTGGTTGATCGAGGTGGTTGATCGAGGTAGTTGTTTGAGGTGGTTGATCGAAGTGGGTGGTTGTTTGGTGGACCAGTCTGCCGATTGTCCTGAAGCCGTAGCTCGCCACGGTCAGACTGGAAGTTGCTGAAATGGATGATCGAGGTGGTTGATCGAGGTGGTTGGTCGAGGTGGTTGAAGTGGTTGATTGGCGGTATCGGTGGTTGATGGACCAGTCTGCCGATTGTCCTGAAGCTGTGAAGCCCGCCACGGTCAGACTGGTGGAATCGGTTGGTCGAGGTGGTTGATCGAGGTGGTTGATCGAGGTAGTTGTTTGAGGTGGTTGATCGAAGTGGGTGGTTGTTTGGTGGACCAGCCTGCCGATTGTCCTGAAGCCGCAGCCCGCCACGGTCAGACTGGATATGTATGTTCGAAATGGATCCCGATGTTCGAAGTTGTTAATTGACTTGGCTTCTTGACCTGATTGAAAGAAGTGGATAGTTGATTGAAGAGGATAGTTGACCTCATGATTGACTTGGATGGAATTGGATGGATAGTAGACTTGGATTGATAATTGGACGGTTGGATGGATGAATGACTTGGATGGATGGTTGGATGGATGAATGACTTGGATAGATGGATGACTTGGGTGGATGAATGACTTGGATGGATGATTGACTTGACTTGACTTGACTGGATGACTTGGATGGATGAATGACTTGGATGGATGGTTGGATGGATGGATGACTTGGATGGATGACTTGGATAGATGAATGACTTGACTGGATGGTTGGATGATTGACTTGACTTGACTGGATGGTTGGATGATTGAATGACTTGGATAGATGGATGACTTGGATGGATGAATGACTTGGATGGATGGTTGGATGGATGACTTGGATGGATGACTTGGATAGATGAATGACTTGACTGGATGGTTGGATGATTGACTTGACTTGACTGGATGGTTGGATGATTGAATGACTTGGATAGATGGATGACTTGGATGGATGAATGACTTGGATGGATGGTTGGATGGATGACTTGGATGGATGACTTGGATAGATGAATGACTTGACTGGATGGTTGGATGATTGACTTGACTTGACTGGATGGTTGGATGATTGAATGACTTGGATAGATGGATGACTTGGATGGATGAATGACTTGGATGGATGGTTGGATGGATGACTTGGATGGATGACTTGGATAGATGAATGACTTGACTGGATGGTTGGATGATTGACTTGACTTGACTGGATGACTTGGATGGATGAATGACTTGGATGGATGGTTGGATGGATGGATGACTTGGATGGATGACTTGGATAGATGAATGACTTGACTGGATGGTTGGATGATTGACTTGACTTGACTGGATGGTTGGATGGATGAATGACTTGGATAGATGGATGACTTGGATGGATGACTTGGATGGATGACTTGGATGGATGACTTGGATGGATGACTTGGATGGATGAATGACTTGGATGGATGGTTGGATGGATGACTTGGATAGATGGATGACTTGGATGGATGAATGACTTGGATGGATGGTTGGATGGATGACTTGGATATCTGTCCAACTCAAGTGTCATCAAGGCTGCAGTCAAATGTTAGTTAATCTCAGGTTGTAGCAGGTAGTGGAAGACAGACATACTATTGAGAGTTGACATGGGTCGAGTGGCGATAGAAAAAAAACCCCCATGCGACACGTTGGTGTCATGATATGTCAACAAAGACAGTTTAAGGGGATATGTATGTATAGATGATGGAACATATTATGAGATCCACACTGATGATGGAACCTACTTGGGACTGATGAAACCCCTGATGGAATAGTGGAGATTGACAAGATGGGAGATGAGAAGGATGGGAAGTTGAAGAAGGAAGAAAAAAAAAAGAGGAGGATTTTGGGGGAGGGGGGTATTTATAGGTATGAGAATAGGTAGGAGATTGACTATTTGGGGAGGTGACAGTTGGGGAAGGTGCGACTCGTGTGGAAGGTGCGACTCGCCTGCCAGATTGAACAACGCTGCTGGGTTGAGTGGTATTGAATAATGAGATTGGGGGACATCAGAACCATTAGGTGCAAGTCTTCAATCCAGTGAAGATCCTATGAAGCAAATAAGTCTGTATAGCGTAGATGTTCAGACACTTGAAGCCTTTCTCTATGGTTAATTGGCCTATCAGGGTCAAAGAAACACTCGGTTGTAGCATAGCCTTTGAGATGAATTAAATTGAGAAGACGTACAGCCTGATCACCCTTGTCGATTTGACTAAGTCCACATTTGATGGAAGAGTGTCCCTAATGACCTGTCTCCATGAAAATAAAAGACAATATCAACTCACCTGAGCGTTGTTGGTTTGAGATCGCGTATACTATTTTGACTCCCGATATTGACATCGAGCAGTGGGGCAAGTGTCCTGGAGACAACATCAAGGTTTGATTTCGAGCAGACACCTTGACCTGCATCCCAATGTCTGTGGGAGGTCAGCATTTGCAACTTGATCATCCACCTGGTCATATCCTCTACAGGCACAATGAAGTCTAACTGGGCCTGTATATATGTTAGACAATGCAGAGGATGAAGTCGCAATGAGTTGCACGTTGACCTAGTCACTGCTTTAAATTCATGGAGCATCCTGCATTCACATCCCCCGTGTGCTATTACAGCGAGAACCTATCGACAATTTCACAAAGTCAATACGCGAAGAAGTGGATGGGCTGTTCTATACAACGCGAGGAGGCTGGACACGTTGGATTTTGCTTGGCTACCCTCAATGTTATGTAGTCTGAGGTTCAAAGAGCCAATTTCTTTGGAAAGGCCCTCGGCCCCTTGGGGTCGTGCTATATGAATGAGGGTTCAATGTATATCTATACATACAATTATAATGTACAAGGAGCTATTGACACCCAAGTAAGCTGGTGCAGATATCAATTCTAATGTCACATCATCAAAGGATATACATAGAAAAGTCTCTTGCGCAGAGTATGCTTTTTCCGGCTTTTTTCGCCGTCTACGAATAGATTGGAAAAGGATAAACTATCTGAAAGATTTCTTAGGAAGACTGGGAAGCCCGCTGAGAAACCTATTGAAAAGACCACGGAAAAGCCCTATAGGAAAGACATCATAGGGCCGCATAAGCAGCCGTATACTCCGTACCCTTGTTCGAGTTCAATCTGAGTGTGTCTGTCTCGACCTCTTCTTGGATGTCATTATCCAAATTTTCTCGCGTTCCCTTCACGCTTAAATTTAGATAACTGAGATAAAGGACACCACAAACAATCCATTGGTTGAGATATGGTCAATGTGCGAGATGTTGGTTTGGTTGCGTTCTTAGTACAGCGACAGCGACTTCTTCAGAGAAATTCAAATCGATTTGACCAAGAAAGCCTATGTCCATTCAGGTGGCTTGTGTTCACATGGATGCTATTGTGGTGGTGCCCTTCGTAATGAGACTGGAATTTTGGTCAGTTCTGCAACATTGACCGGCAATTTCAGAATGGCGACAGTGAGGTCGATAATGCGACGATGGCCCAATAGTCTAGGAAATGGCTGTCAGTATAGTTGTTTGCCCCAAGTGCATGTAGACGGAACCGGAGGCTTGAAATTCTCGGACAGCTAGGAACGCCACCAATCATGTCTTTTCTGTCGTCATTCGGTATCAGCACTGTTGTCCCTGGCCTGATTGTCACACAATGTCGGATAAATAACACAAATAAAATATAGTTTGAAACGCTCAGATCGCATCCGAAGATTTTCCCTGCATTAGTGTAATCGTTGTAAATTCCTCCGAATTGAAGTTCAAGGCAGATTCGAAGAGATCGCATTGCCACTTAGATGTGGAGACCGTCACGCGTATGGTCCACCTGATTGGGTGCTTGGCTGCCTTGGCTGCCTGACGGATCCGCCTTCGGTTTCTCTTCCCCAGATCTCATCTCGTATCTTGCCTGTCTTTCTTCCCATGCCTTCTCATTTTTGTACTTATTTCCTCTATCTTTCTATGTTTTAGGTCTACTACGATTAACGGTCAACCCTCTCAGCTCGCTTCAGGGCCGCGTTCCCGGTGATCTTTCGCTTTAGTTACCAATCAACGGGGATCCCCACTGCCTATCACAACGCTAGCGCCCATCAGCCACCGACTGCCGTCATACCTTATACCCCATCGTTCGTTCCATTAATTCTAGTTTCCCCAACTACACAACACACTCTCTCCAAGCCAACGATTCGCCATGTATGGAGAGGGCCGAGAGGAGGCCGCTAGGCTATATGTTCCCCCACTGCTTGAAGATGACGAGCGTCTGAACGATCCCGACGCTTCCGAAGATCTGCCGCCACCCGATGTCGAAGCAGGCAGCGCGCTTCCCGTCTGGCTGCGGGAGTCATCAAAGTCCTTTCGCTGGGGATGGGTGCCGCTACCTCTCCGAAAGGTCGGTCGCGCGACCGCCAATTGGGTCAAGGGCCCCGATCCGCCACATATGCTTCTGTTGAAGCCACTGTTTCCGCGAGTCCAAGAGCTTCCAGTCCAATATTTTGACCATTTCTTTCCCAAGCGCAAGTTCAAGACTGTATTCTTATTGCTGCTCTATATATCTTGGTTCTTGCCTTGGTTTCTGATTTTATTACACTCGCGCTCGTCCGGGTACATCGAAGGATATGGCCAGCCCCAGACGCTGTCCTGCTCAACAAACTTCTGGTACATACTAAACCGAATCCCATCTAGGTACAAAATTTGCTAATGCGAGTCATCTAGGGAATTCGATAATGGATGTGGTGTTAACGGAAACGACTGCCGCCCATTTTCTTCTTCAACCATTCCCTTCCGGTGTCCTGCGAATTGCCGTGATACTAAATTACTAGAGCCTCACGTTGTGGGAAACCATACATACAATTACCAAGGCCTAGTAATTGGAGGACCTAAGCCGGATTCCTCCGATCCAGCACTTTACCGGGCGGATAGCTTTATCTGCCAGGCAGCAATCCATGTCGGCGCAATCTCAAACGATGGGGGCTGCGGTGTTGCCAGACTTGAGGGTGCAGCGCACTCTTTCCCGTCAGTGAAGCAGCATGGCATTCTATCTGTTGGGTTTCCATCGACCTTCCCGAAAGCTTTCAGCTTCCTCCAGCTATCCTCGCCGCAAGCCAGCTGCCCGTCAGATCCCCGCTGGACGCTCCTCGGAATCACCGCTGCTGCCGTTGGCGTCCTATGGTTATTCTGTACATCACCGCCTGTACTGTTTTTCAGTACATTCTTCATGGTGTTCTGTCATACGGGGCTTGTTGGAGACCCGCCGTCGTATCCTTTCTTGACCGACCTTGTCTCCAGTCTTCTATCACGACTGTTGCCAGCGTCATTTGTCGTATACGTACTTTACAAGTTCTGTGCAGCACCGCTTTTGCAGCCACTCTCCTCGCCTATCTACCAGCTTTCAAAGATGTTCCTTTTCCTACCTCCACTTTTTATTGGAGCCCTGAACAATTATACCTTTGCGCGCTTGATTCCCTTACAGCGTCTGACCCCGATGGATATTCAGAAACAACCCGGGGCAAAGTTGGCGCTAGCTTTTGTCATCCCAATTGTGATTTTGGTTATACTGAGCCAGGCGTGGCAAATTCGCCAGGGAGGTCTGCTCCCACGGTTTTTGAAGATATACTGTACGATGGGGCTCATCATCTTAATTTTGCTTCCCCTTCCTGGTCTTCGCCTTCGAATTCATCATTATATCCTCGCCATTCTCCTCATGCCGGGAACTGCATTTCCCACTCGACCCTCGCTGATATACCAGGGTCTGTTGCTGGGTCTCTTCATCAACGGAGTTGCACGGTGGGGCTTTGCGTCGATCATCGAGACTCCGGCAGCTTTAGGAGAGCAAGCACCACTTGGAGATGGTATCCATGGCTGGTGGGGTGCTACCTATCCCAATATCACGACCGCATCTGTGAACATCTCCCTGCCAGAGCCAGGATCGGGCCACATCTATCGCGGCAATGGAAACATCACCTTCGCTCTGTGGGAACACGAGCGTATGGCAGATCTAGCAGTGGACGGTATCTCGGTTCTTCTGAACGACGTAGAGCGCTGGCGCGGTTATCTTGATGAGGACAAGCGTGGAGAATTTACCTGGCACCGCCATGGCCACGATGGCCTGGAGCTACAGACAAATCCTCGCCTGGTCAACCGTGATTTGGACACTAATCTTGACACTAATTCGGTTCTTTTGGCTGATAGTGATTTTGATGATCAACCTGAAGATCTATTTTTCCGATTCGCATTTTTGAGAGGCTCCGAGGCTGGCACTTACGGTCCGACAGGAGTCTGGCTGAGCGATGGCACGTGGTCGCCCCCTGCACCTCCAAAGAAATAGATTGCTTTCCCTCTGCATTGGTTAGAGAGGTTGTTCAAGTTTACGTTTATATCCCGCCACTTGGCAAGGCAGAATCTACACTTTTGGTTCATGTGTGCTGGACGCGCTGTACTCAATGGAGTAATAAAACAGGCACGGTGTTTGTCGGATTGCTCTCGTTCATAACTGGTTACAATAAATGATGTCAGTGGAGATACCTAAACTATGCTTAAATGTAGGTGCCAAGATGAACTTCACAAGGTTTAGACCACTGTGCCAACAGTATTCCAGATTTTATTAAGATGGGTGATGAATCCACTAACCGGATAATATTAGGTAGCAACAAGAACAAGGAACAATCTAAGCCAAAAACGCAGTAGCTCCTTTGCCACGCGATCGAGATCGAACTTGTCCGAGTGCACTAGCTAGTTGCAAGCCAAGAGTCCAATCAGCTGGCCTGGGGTTCTATGTATCGGTAAAGTGGGGTAGATCTATATTCGATAGCGACACGCAATTGGCGTTTGTTGAGATCGATCTCGGGAGAGGATCGAGACACCACTTAACCACTAGAGTACATCAGCTCCGTATCGTGATGTCATATCTCACGTCTCTAATCCAGAGTGGCAACATTAAAGACCATTGCGAAACAATTCCAGCATCTCCAACAAACAAATGTGAGAATGACATGGAGGCGATATGGCCAATCTCAATTTTCCAGACGAAGGACCGGACTTTTTGACTGATGATTCTCTTCATGAAGCTTATGAACTGGAGATTGAATCAGATAATGGCAAGAAAGTCCGATTCGGGGAACTAGTGGCAGGGAAAGGGGACTCGATCACAACGATTGTCATCTTTAGTGAGTCTTCTGCCACAGAAGACCGAATGGAATCAAGCTTATTGATCAGATGGCTGACCGACCCAATGCTAGTACGCCACTTCTTCTGCGTCTACGACCAAGACTACACCCGCTCCGTGTCCAAGCAAATGACCCAAAAATTACTGGATACAGTACCCGCCAGTGCGAGACCAGCTCAAGTCATTCTTCTCGGCTGTGGAGATCACAGCCTTATAGTGCCTTTTATGGAAGAGACAACGGACGAATTTCCAATCTACACAGATCCAACAGGGAGGATATACGAGAAACTACAGATGAAGAGGACAACGAGTGGGTTCACAGAGCCACCACCATATTCGGACTTCACATTGCCCACTGGTCTGGCGGAAGGATTGAAGCAGGTATGGAAGCGTGGATGGGCAGGTCTCCGCGGAGGCAATTGGAAACAGCAAGGTGGTGAGTGGATATTTCAGCGAGGAAAACTACGATTTGCACATCGGATGGAAGGGGCGAGTGATCATCTTACTGCGGATCGGTTGCTGGAGATCTTGAATGTCGCGCACGGGAAAAGTGATGACTTACCCTCAACCAGGGAGGAGGGAGAGGAGGCTGATGGAGAGGCGCAGGAAACAGCTTCTGAGAGTCGAGCACAAGGCACGGAATACATATATATCAGGCCTTAACATTCTGCGATGCCTTCAATTAGCGAACTATATGGTATATAATCTACGGAGTGGATATGGTGTCCATAACAATTATATAAACCCACTAGTACGCATAAATACCCAAGCAATATTTGCACTGATTTCAACCATAACATTTACCTTCCCTTCTACTATATTTTTTTTTTCAAATATCAGTTTTACCCTTTGTTTAAAACCAGAGAAATAGAAACACCTTTTTGACTTGTGACACACTTTGGCTGACTACTTCGGGTATATCTATGTTTTTTATTCAAACGCTGTCTTACTATTAGTACCATACGAGAAACCGGTCTAGGTCTGGTCAGGTTCTACAATTACCTCCGTACGGACTACGCCGTACGGAGTACTCGTATCTCGATAAAAGCAAATGACCACGTGATCGCAACCGAGCTAGCCAAGGCAGCCAACGGAGCCCAGAATTTGAAGCTTCAAATATTCCATACCTATTTTAGCCATTTTTATCTTACACTATACGCGGTAACTTGAAATCCATGGGGCCCGAGGAATCCAATGAGGAACGCGAGGTGCCAGGCGCGCTGATCCGACGCGCTGTAGGTGCTCCATCATAAGTTGCAGCTTAGAAAAAAAAAAAGAAAAATGCATGTCTAGCCAATCAAATATTAATCATGCATACAGTGCGATCAATGCCGCTTGAGAAAGGTATGCAGCTACAGCTCCAGGTGGCACGATGTCGTGACCCCATCTCACGCTGTCACAGATCCGATGCGATAAACGCACCCCATGTTCCAACTGTCGCAGCTCCAGCATTGCATGCCGATCTACCGGGGAAGGTCAGAAACCGTCAGAGCCCCGGCGACGGGTTTTAATCTCAAATCAATAGTACGAACATGTCCCACAAGCATAGGACACCATTGACTCGACCACAGTGAGAAAAAGATCGATTTGATCGAGGAACGCCTGGCAAGCATTGAAAGTACTCTTAAACAGCTAGCAGGGAATCCATCTCGACCACAGGGCTTCACAGTCCCAAACCCACGCGAGTCTCAGTTCGCTCCTTCGCCTCAGAAATCAACCCCCTCGCAGCCGTCATTCACTCCCCAGAACCATGAAAAGCACAAGGGGTCTTTATATCTGGCGAATCCTACCCTGGATCAGCATGATTCTAGCTCTGGCTTTGAGGGCAGCTCATCCTTGACTGCCCATGGGGCCTACGCGAGTGCGTTCCTTGAATCTGCTGTGTCCAAAAGCTCACCGCAGGTCTTATCCAGTCCGAAGATCAATGCAGCTCTCTCATCGCTGAAGCAGCTTGTCGGGATCCAGAACCAACGGCGAGAAGCGGACATGCAGGGGATTCGACCCACCAAGAATGCGAGATTACGCGTTAAATACGACATTCGTGATCTAGAGATGCCACCTCTACCATTGGTTCTAGACATGCTGAGAAAGATTCAAGGTACGGTTCAATCCAAAGAGATGTTTCCATACTCCTATCCTTACCTATTTAGAATCACCACCGGCCTGCTTTTGTGGCTATGCCCCTTTCCTCAGTGTGAAATATTTTACCGAAAAATGCCGTGAAGTTTACTTCTGCATAGACGATTACACCGATGCGGCGTTTATCATAACCAACTTTTGTCTCTACGGCATTTTTTACGAATATGGTGGCATGGAAAATGGTCCTTCTATACGGGCACAGCACCAGAACTACATTGAGATGTGTCGCGGCAACCTGGAGACAGCGCTTGCCAATTTGAATATCATGATGCCTGCAACCCATGAATCGATTATGGCGTTAGCTGTAGGGGTGAGTCCTCGTTTCCATCTTAATTTTGTTTAGAATATACCCTATTCGGCGTCCTTACTTACAAACACAGGCTATGCATGCACTCGAAATTTCCAAACCATCGGTTGGCTGGACGCTAGCATCAATAGCCATGAATCTGTGCCAGACACTCGGATATCATCGCTTAATCTCAATGGAACACGACCCCGTACCAGTCCAACAACAAAAGCAGCTTCTATTCTGGTCTGTCTACACAATGTTGAACATGCTGTCCCTGCGTCTAGGACGTGCTTCGCCCATCCAAAACTACGATATCAGTCTACCAATACCCGATGAGAACTCAGATGTCGTCTACCCATGGGGACACGTCTGCATGTTGTGGACTAAATGTGCAATTATACAAAGTGAAATTTACCAATATTTGTATAGCCCAGAAGCGTTGCAGAAGCCAGAAAGTGAACGAGTCACACATGCACGCAGATTAGGTGCTGAGATGCAGTCCAAGGTTATGGTACCGTTTGAGGTATATCCCCACCCTCGATTGGGTCATGATTGAGTCAAGGAGATGCTAATCTGAAACATGCAGGAATTCATCTCGTCTGGTACCAAAATATCCGAGATCGACCACATGTACCTCGCAACTGACAAGGTCAGCCGGCTGGCCATCATGACCTTAATTTACCGAGCAATTCCAGCGTCAACAGACTCCGGCACTGGCGCTACTTTCATACCCGAATGCATCGAGACAGCTCGAGAAGCATTGGAAGTCCACCGACAATGTGTTGCAGCGCTCAACGAGACCGACGATTTCATGAAAATATCCTATATGCACTGGTACGCATTCCGAAACAAAAAAAAACCGTCATCCATGATGCGATGGCCATACAATCTCGGACAAACAAATTCTCACAAAAGAAATATAGGGGCATCCTCCTATCCCCCTTCGTCCCCTTCATCGTACTATTCTGCAACATAATAACAACCTCCAACGCCGACGACCTCTCTCTACTCGAAGAGTTTATCGCCTCCCTCCAACCCCTGTGCGCTTTCTCCCAATCCATCGACCGACTGCACACCCTGTGCTCAGTGCTTGGCACTGTCGCACGCCTTTACTTCGAAGCCAACACCCGGACGCAAGAAGCCGCAGATCAAGACCAAAGTCTCGCTGAGGTCGGTCATGAATTCGATGTTTATCTCAGTGCACTCGGATTGGCACCTCCAACCTCTATGAACCCCCGAACAGCGGTGGTTACCCGGTCGGAAACTCGCAAGGATACTTACAGACAGATAATCCTACTATGCATGTCAGTCCGGCGGAATTGTCACAGCAACAAGTGGGTGGGTTCTCGGCGCCGGTCGAACCATCTCAGACGCAGGGACAGGGCTCGGGGACTGCTGCACAATTGGGAAATTGGTTTTGGGGAAACCAGTATATGATGGGGCTTTTGGAGGAGGATTTGTCGCAGGTCAATCCGGGGTGGTCGTGAAGAGACTACCGAGTGGTCATCTTAGGCTACATCTTGCTCACTAATCGTCTTACTTTCTCTAAGATACCTAGCTGGTATTATTGTTAATATGAATCTCGACTTCTAGACCCCGGTGATGTCTAAGCTACGTATTTCCCTTTCGATCCAGCAATACCTTGCATCCTTCTGCGCTCATAGCCACAATCGTTAAAGCCTGCTTCTCCTCGCCAGGTGGAACACTAGGTGTTTTAGGTGGCAACCTGAGCTCTGGGAACGTTTGAATGATTCGTACGATTGCACGGGAAGCTTCTGTTAGTGCAAATTCCTCTGCTAATTTAGCCAGCACAAGATCCATATCCTTGATTCACCTAATTCACTTACTGTGTAGACTTGTCCTTGGCCCTCCAAGAAAAGGCATGAATCCCCAACCTATACCATCTAGCTCTGGGCCCAGCCATCGTTCCGGACGGAAGCTGTTTGCGTCTTCACCGTACGAGCTTTTCAGTCAATGCATCTGGTTGACTGAATAGCCTACCCTGTGTATTTCGGTATAAGCTCCGGGGATCTACCAGTAGGGTCTCCATCGCTCGGGAGGAACGTCGTTTTAGTCGCAACACGAACGTTGACTGGAAGTTGCGGGTATAGTCGTTGAGCTGCAAAGTCACAATGAGTTACATCTCAGTTGCAGGATTGTAATGCTGTTCTCATCCAGTCACTTGCCAGCATGTTCTTCAGCACGACCTAAGAAAGTGGTTGCAGACTTTACTTTCTAATTTAACATTGAAGGGCCCTAATCTTTGGCAAAGATGCAACCAATATCATTCCCGACCACCACATGAGATATCGGAGTCCGCCAATACTCCGGGATCACGGTGGAGACAGTCTTAAATTAGAATTGACCAATGAGAGGGACAGTACGTAATGCGATCGGGGTCAATTGGAGTCAACAGAGTCCATCATCTCCATATACTTGACCTTAAGCTTTTCACGGATTTGAACTTTCAACTTTCCAAAAATCCCTCTACATGCCCAGTCCACATAATCACGACTCACCGTGAATGTCCTGACGAATTAAAACCTTGACTCAATATCAAATCTTCTTGAAATCACCGCAAGAAATCAAACAATACGAATAATAACAGAAACTCCATCATGATATCTGCCAGCCTGAACCCCAGCAACACAGAAACCAAAATGGCCATCCCAGAGCTGGAAGCAGCCGAAGCCGAAAAACCCGCCCAAGAGTCACGCGTCCTGATCATCATGACCGGCGGCACAATCTGCATGCAACCCTCACCAGCCGGCTTCGTCCCAGCACGGGGGTTCCAAGAGAAATGCATGGCCCCAGTCCCAACCTTCAACGACGGTTCAGCCAGCGCAACGATGGACGTGGTCGCCAACGCCGCGCACGAAATCAAAGAACATCCAAGTCTACGCACGCCAATGACCGCCTACGGGCGACAGGTGCGGTATACTGTTTTCGAGTTTGAAGAACTGCTCGACAGCAGCTCGATTGATGCAAGGGGCTGGACTCAGATCGCCGAGGCGATCGAGCGGAATTACACGCTTTTTGATGGATTCGTTGTCCTGCATGGAACGGACAGTCTGGCGTATACGTGCTCGGCGCTCAGCTTTATGTTGCAGAATCTTGGGAAGCCGGTTGTTCTTACTGGGTCGCAGGCGCCGATGCTTGAGCTCCAGAATGATGCTACGGATAATCTGCTGGGGTCGTTGGTTGTTGCAGGTCATTTTATGATCCCGGAGGTGTGCTTGTATTTTAATAATCGGTTGTTCCGGGGGAACCGGACGACGAAGGTTGCGGCGAGTGATTTTGCCGCGTTCGATGCGCCAAATTGTGCTCCGTTGGCTGTTACGAATTCTATGCGGACGAATGTTAATTGGGATAGGGTGCATCGTCCTACGAGCCTGGAGCCGTTTAGTATTCAGACCAATCTGGATACGACGCATGTTGCTTGTCTGCGGATCTTCCCTGGTATCAAGCCGGAAATGGTGGACGCGGTGCTGAAACTGGATGGCTTGCGCGGGTTGATCCTCGAGACGTTTGGCGCGGGCAATGCGCCCTCTGGGCAGGATAACGCCATGATCAATGTCTTGGCCAGTGCCATCCAGCGGGGGATTGTTATCGTGAACGTCACGCAATGTAAGTTACGTCCCCGTGGCTTGGCAGAAAAGGATATACTGATGTATCGTCTAGGCCTCACGGGCAGCGTCAGTCCAGTCTATGCCACCGGCATGAGTCTCTCTCGAGCAGGAGTTGTAGCGGGACTTGACATGACAACCGAAGGAGCATTAACGAAACTCGCCTATCTCCTGGCGCTCCCCGAATCCACCCCGGAATCCATCGCCAAACAAATGTCAGTATCTCTCCGAGGAGAACTCACCGAATCATCATTGCCTATCTTCCGACACCCGGACGGCGCACTCCCCGAGCGCATCCAGACACTCACCTCCATGGGATATGCCATTGCCCTCGGCGACTTGGAGAAGGTCCAAGCCATCACCAAGACCGAACACCACTGGCTCCTGAACGACGCCGACTATTCCGGCAACACGCCCATCGTAAGCAATCATCCCATCTCACCCGTCCCCCCTGTTTCTTGTCTCACCCTATCTCTACCATCCCTTATCTTGTACACCACTAACCCCAACACAGCATCTAGCAGCCACTTCCCCATCCCTCCAAATCCTCCATTTCCTCCTATCGCAAGGCGGCTCCGTGCACCTCCGCAATCGCGCCGGCCGCACCCCGCTCTTCCTGGCCGCCAACGCCGGCCTCTCGGAACACACGCTCCTCCTCCGCAAATCCGGCGCTCATCTCCATTCAGACGAGCGACCCGCCGCCGAACTGCTAGCACGTCATCGTCCCTTCGTCTGGGGTATGGCTGGCGTTGGGCCGAAAGAGATCAGTCAGCGGGAGATGGAGGAGGAGTGGGAATGGGATGCTGGGAAGAATCAGATGATTCCCGGGTCGGCGCCTTAGGGTGTTTTCGTGGGAAGTCCGGGGTTTAAACTCAGACCGGACTGGATTGAGGGGTTTGGGGGGTTGGGGTTTGAGTTTAGGCGTTGTACGGAGTAGACGGAGTATCCGGAGTACCTTGGATGCATCATTCGGGGTATGTTTATGGATTGGCCTCATGGGTCTGTCGGTGTCTGTTTTGGGGAGAATACTTTGAAAGTGTGTACGGAGCACGGAGTACTCCGAATAATATAGAATATTATAAACAGAGTCGATTGTCCATCCGAAATCGCATTCCATTTCCGGTTAGATAAATATCATCATTCTACTCACATTGCCTGTTTTTAGCTGTTGCACCATCACCAGGCTGTAATACGGAATTTCATCCGCGGAGATCAACCCCTGCCGTAGCTGGGATTGAGCCACTAAGTGGGGAAGATAACACGATTTTTTTTGCTTTTTGCTTTTTTTTTTTTCTTTTCCGGGGTTTGATTGTTGGTTGTATTTATACAAGGCTCTTACTGCCAAGGTAGGGATATAGAACGTTGAGGTTCTAGATTTATAAGTTGGGCAAGACCTCCAACGATGTACTAGTACTTCGTTGTGGTGGGGTCAAGATTTGCTTTTTTTTTCTTTGCTTTTTTCTTATACCCAATGTATACTCCATGTATATACCCTATACGGAGTACGTACGTGTATAAGAGTATCTCCAATATTGCCCCATCGATCGCGAGAATAATCTCATTGCAGGAAATGATGTGATGGGCTTTTTTGCGGGGTTCAGGCACTAAATTGCTTCCTGTTTCTGAAAAAAATTCTCAAGGTACCTGGCCCGTAGACGTATCGGGTGAAATGGCAAGGTAGCACGTCAATTGATGCCAAGGTCCCAACACCATACAAGCACTAGCCCCCTTGGAGTAGGTCGATAGATATGGACACGTGAGCCTGTCCCTGGCAGCCAGTGGAACAGAAGGTCACCTGCGCGATTTAGGGGAACGGTTCCGCTATGGGTATATCAAGGCTTGGCATAGATGTATAGATGTATAGAGGTTGGAGTGTAGGGGGGTGTCAGTGTAGAAGTGCAAGGGAGAATAGAAGATGTATTCGATATATGACATATAAGAAAGAGACCGAGTCTACAAGTTCCCGAGTTGATCTTCCCGTGCTGCCGAAATTGCCTGCCGATTTACGTAAAACCCAGAGACCGCACTGTGGATTTTTTTTCTTTTTTCGTTTTTTTTCTTTTTTTTCCCTGATTTCTGGTCATTTTTGGTATAAGTTCGCAGATTTCGAGGAAAGAGGATAGAATATATAGGAAAGATAGAAGAGCAACCTGGGAATATAAAGACAGTCTTATCTTATCCTCTCCGCGTTTGAAATTATTAAAATTGCAGATCCGAAAAAAGAAGTGTAAGGTCTGATCGCGCTTTTCAACCTCTACCCCACCATCGCAAAGCCCTTCTCGCCAAGGCTTACTCCAGATTTCTCTTTTATCTGTCCTCCTGCCCTCTGGAACTTTCTTCCCTATACTTCCCCCTCCCATCAACCCGAATGACACAACCCCAGAAGACCATTGCCGTGGTCAACGCGACAGGCCGACAAGCGGCCTCACTGATCCGCGTCGCGTCCGCCGTGGGGTACTCAGTGCGCGCGCAAATCCATTCCCTGAAAGGCGTCATCGCACCAGAACTCCAACAACTCCCCAATGTGACCCTCCTGCAAGGCCCGCTCCTCGGCAACATCGCCCTGATGGACGAACTCTTCAAAGGCGCCCAACTCGCCTTCATCAACACCACTTCCCAGTCCGGCGACGAGGTAGCCATCGGCCGCGACTTGGCGGATGCCGCAAAACGATCCGGCTCAATCCAGCATTACATCTACAGCAGTATGCCGGATCATTCTGTTCACGGGCCATGGCCTGCTGTCCCGCAGTGGGCCCCCAAGTTCACCGTCGAGAACTATGTCCGTCAGCTCGGCATGCCGGCGACCTTTGTCTATGCCGGTATCTACAATAATAACTTCACGAGCTTGCCGTACCCGCTCTTCCAGATGGAGCTTCTGGAAGACGGGAGTTTCGAATGGCGTGCGCCGTTCGATCCGGAAATCCCGTTGCCGTGGCTCGATGCCGAGCATGATGTTGGCCCGACCCTGTTGCAGATCTTCAAGGATGGTACGAAGAAATGGAACGGTCATCGGTTAGTACAAAGAAAACCCTCCTTCCGATCTCGGACGACGGATCCCCGTCGGGAGTCCGTGGCTTGGAGAATACCCCGGGAAACCAAAACAAAGAAATCAGCTAACACCGACTTCTCGCTTAGCATTGCGCTCACATTTGAAACGCTCTCCCCGCTCCAAGTGTGCGCGGCCTTCTCCCGTGCCCTGGACCGTCCATGTCGGTACGTCCGCTCGCTAAAGATCGAGATCAAGGTCAATATCCCCCCGGGATATCGAGAACAGCTCGAGGCTCTGGAGGAGCTGTTTGGCAGATGTGGTGCCCCGTACTTCCCGCAGCCGGAGTTCTCACAGCCTGCCGCTGGCTCACCAAAGGGTCTTGGACCTGCGGGTGGAAAGGGCGCTGGTGCAGGTATGATGCAAGGACCTGGCGGTGTTGTCTCGCTGCGGGTGACAGATGAGTCTCGACATCTGTGGCAGGGCTGGCGCGATATGGAAGAGTATGCGCGTGAGGTGTTCCCTGTAGAAGAAGAGGCAAACGGTCTTGACTGGATGGTTTGAGAAGTTTGTTCTATGTGATTTGCTTTTGTGGCTCTAGCCTTGTCTTTTTTCTTTTCTTACGACAGTTCGATCTGGGCAGAGATGTGCATGGTGATGTGTTCTGTGCATGTTGAACTGCCCTTTCTGTTTTTCTTCTTAATCATTGCATTCTTGGCGAACGGGCATGGGATATACGGACTTTCATGACTTAACCTCGGTTCTTAATCGGAAGATGCTTGGGGGTAGCATTGGACGAGGATTCATTTTGCTTTGTGATTTGGTTTGGGTTTGGATTTGATATCTGATCCAACCTGAAAAAAAAGTTGTTTGTTTTTGCTTTGCTTTCCAATATTGCTGTTTTCTTTTTACTTGACTTTCCAGGTTCAATGAACCTCATCCTCAACCCCAAGCTTCGAAAAGAGAAAAACAAAATATGGAATAAGATATCCCGACTCTGGTTACTGGCCAAGAGAAACATTTGCTCAATGCGAATATGCCCACGTTCCACTTTCCAATTTCCACTTCTCCCTTACTATATCCTAGCACCTTGCCACCTCCCTAGGACCGCAATCCAAATCCCGGACCTCATCTCCCGACTCTTTTTCGTCTGAATCGACAACACATAAAGTGCCTCGTGCCCACTGACCCCAATCGACCAGTCCTGCAGGTCCCGTGCGTCCATATTGAAGGTTCACACGCTCGCGCAGACCGCTCCTCTTATCTAACCGACACGAACAAATCAAATGGGAAGTTCATGGACTCGGACCCCGGACAGAAATACAACTCGAGTTGAAAGAGGGGCTATCAAAGACATCAGTCCTCCCTCATGTGAATGTCTCGATATAATTATGCGATATAGGTATACCCTATACTTCCATGAATAGACTCTACCCAAGAGTCAAAGAATGAGGGCCGTCGAAATAGAGTATTTCTTATCTTTAGTTTAGATTTTATGATTGCTTTTTCTTTTATCTTTGGTCCCCGCTGTCTCATCCTGCCGGCGTTGACTTGATTGATCTATTAATTGTGGCTATGTGGCTGTGCGAGTTTATGGATGACCTACAATATAGAGTCTATATAAAGTAAGGTATGGTTATTTAGCAACTATAGAGCCCATGGGCTATTGACCTGACAACCTCTACTGCATAGTACTTGGGAGAGATGTATGCATTGCTCTATTTGAAACTTCTTCTAGACATACAAGCTTTGTTGTCTAGGTGCATATGACAAACAAAATCAAAACATTGAAGATTGAGTCTCTCTATAACCACAACCGTATGAATACCCCTGTCCCAGAATAGAAAAGTACCCACAAGATCAGCGTCAGAGTTTTCTGACCATTTTGGCCTTATGATGTAGTATTGACACCTGAGGCCGATTACCCTGGTAACAACCCCCACCAGGGCAGGACAACGGTGGTACACAAAAATACATTGGGTCTCCGCTGTGGCACCGTGAAACAAGAAGTACCGACAAGTATCGTCGAGTAGCTTCTTAGCTCTTCTCCATGCATAGCTTTTTTTTTTCCCGGTTCCTGAAATACCTTCTTCCCTCTCCTTAATCTTTCCCTCCATTCTTCCTTCTAAAAGTCTTCTGCATTTTTATTTACGACTCTTTCACGAAATACATTATGTCTAACGATCAATCCCTCCTTGAGCGCGTCGAGATGCCTAGCATCCCTGAGGCTGCTATGAAGAAGATTGCTGTCCTCGAGGAGCAATTTTCTCGTGCTGAGGTTGAGCAATGTACGTTGAATTCCTACTTTCCAGTTCTTTTTTTATGGTGGGGGAAGCAAAACAAATTGCAGCGTCTACTCTACCATGGGAATCGCGATTGGAAAGCGTAAACATGGACAAATTGCTAATATACATACTCTACAGTGCGTCACTCTGTCAAGCTCATGGCTCCTTTGATCCAGAAGCGCAGCGAGATCATCAACATCCCCGAGGTCCAGGCTGAGTTCTGGATGCGCGTGTTCGCCAGTGCTCCCCAGGAGATCGACGAGTACATTCTGTCCAGCGATGCCCAGGTCCTCGGCGAGAGCTTGAAGACCATGAACGTCGAGCGATTCGAGCTTGATGCTCAAGGCAATGGCGAGCCCCGCAGTTTGCGTTTCACCTTCGAGTTCAAGACCGGTGATGAGAACCCCTTCTTCACCAACGAGAAGCTCGTCAAGGATTTCTACTGGCGCCAGGAGGTCTCCAAGAACGCCGCTGGCAAGACCCGCACCTGGGAGGGTCTTGTCTCCGAGCCCGTCCGCATTAACTGGAAGAAGGATAAGGATTTGACCAAGGGCATGCTCGATGCTGCCTGCGACCTTGCTGAGGCCGAGAAGAAGAAGGGCGGTGACCGTAAGAAGTTGCCCGAGTACGCTGCTCTTGTTAAGAAGGTTCAGGAGGCCGAGGCTGAGATGGCCGAGGCCGAGGATGACGAGGATGATGAGGACCCCAGCCCCATTGGCATGAGCTTCTTCGGATTCTTCGGATACCGCGGCCGTGATGTCTCTGCTGCTCGGTCCCAGGAGGCTGCCAAGGAGATTGAGGCTCGCTGGGCTAAGATCCAGAAGGGTGAGGAGATCGATGAGGCTGGTGACTCTGACTCCGATGATGAAGAGGAGGAGGACCCCCACGGTCTTGAGGAAATCGACATCTACCCCGATGGAGATGATCTTGCTGTTGCCATTGCCGAGGACCTTTGGCCCGATGCGCTCAACTACTACGGTATGTCGATCCCACACAGCGAGTGAGACGTTTCCGCTAACTTTGACCGCAGTTCAATCCTTCCAGATGGGCGAAGAGCTCGAAGATATGGACCTCGATATGGAGGAATTGGACGGAGAGGACTCTGATGAAGATAGTGAGTCGCGCCCGCGCAAGAAGGCTCGCAACTAAACCATTTGCACCCGAAACGCCAAAACCCCCTTTTGATGATTTTTGCTTTTTTCCTAACCACATGATTTTTGTATTATCACAGTGCAATGAGGAGGATTAATAATAAGACGAGGACGAATATGAGTGCCGCGATACAAAACGAGGACCATGTATCTAGTTGGAAAAGTTAGTTTGAACTTGAGATTCCCATACCACATCAGACCACCCCAGTAGAGATCCAGCATAGATGGAGTAGGCCGAGAAAATGGAGCTGTCTTACCCTCATTCTTGCGTACAATATGTTTGATACGCGACATCCCATTCGCCAATTTCCCCCCAACCCGGTCCGCTAGCGTATCAACCTCATCAATCATGACAGCCTGGTCCTCCAACTCACGACCCATATCATCAGCCTGCTGGCGCAGATTACCAACAGTGCGAAAAACACCATCAAGCTGCTCATCCTGCTCATGCATAAGCTCATATTGTCGCTGCTGCTCCATAGAAGCATAATAATCCTCCCCGCCACGACCGCGCTCCTCCTCCTCAAGCGCCGCATCAAATTCCGTAGGATTGGGCAGCGTGTCAACAGCAGAATTAGAAACAGTCTGCTGCAGCTCCTGGTGCATTTTCTCGACCTCGTCACCGACATCGTCGACGAGCTTGCGCCGTCGCTGCACCTCCTCTAGCTCCAATCCATAGCGGTAGGGGTCTTGTTCGATTGCGCGGACACTTTCGACAAGGTCGTTGAGGTCGGCTGTTAGCTCTGTTAATGTTGTTTCAAGCTCGGAGCGAGCTTGTTTGAGTTCTGGGTTGGATGGGCTTTTAGCTAGCGACCGGATGCGGAGGTATGAGGAGAAGAGCGGCCGGCTGGTTTGTAGTGTTGAGACGACGTCGCTGGTGCGTTGGTGGTTAGTTGGAGTTGGGCTTTAGGGTTGGTGTATAGCTCACGCTTGAACTTGTAGGAAAGGGTCTGCGTGCTCCATGGTTGCGGTGAGGTGTATTGGGTGTGTGTTGTTGATAGTTCTCGGCCCCGGGTTGGTCCACGGGTGAGTCTGGAGCGGTGGAGGCGGGTGTTGCTGACTGATATCTACGGTGGGTCTTTGGGACAACTGCGCATTTTTGGCCTGATGAAAAAGCATTTCTGCCTTGAGATAGACTGCACGACACACAGCCCTGCATTTCGAGGATTTGTCAGGGAAGCAAACATGCGCAAGTCGACAAACAAATACAGCTGCAGACCATTTCGGCTTTGGGCTTATATCTTTAATTTCACTGACAATGCCAGGAACCAACATGGTCTATTCATGCATCTATCTCTGCTGTCTTGCCCTAGAAGCTCAGGGTATTAGGATGGGTCTCGATCGAGCTTTTACCTCGATGTTAGCGAAAATGTCGTTCATGATTCATGCAGCTGTGCTCTAGATCATGTAGTAGCTTGAGTTTTGCTCATGAGAACTACGGAGACCTAGACTTGCTCGACTTCTAGGAATTTCGTCGCTGAGAGTGCTTTGGCTGTTGTTGGCCTTCAGATGTGGTAAGATATGCGCCCAATACTCAAATAGTTGCAATGTGCCAAACCGATCTATAACAAAAGGCCGGCCGCTCAAATCAGCCCTCAACGAAAGTAACCCAGACACCTGAAGCAAGTATTGAGAATGACCGCCTATTGAACCTAACCAGGTGCCGCCTCATCGCGTAACCAGCGCCGTTTTCCATGCTTGGGACTTCCTTTCCATCTGACTACCGTGGTATTACCCTTGCACGGGCGACTACCTACGTATGCCACCCGGCACCTATCTCTTTCATTGGCTATTACCTCGGCTCCGCTTTTGTCGCCATCTCAAAGAAACTATAGGCATACAGTGTGGTACACTAATCTCAATTAATACACATCGATAGAGGGCATCTGCTTATACTGCCGTGAAATATCTTTCTTCTAGAGCTCTTGAGTGGTCTTTTCAGCGGTGTTCTTCGTAGGTTTCTTATCAATCTAATTTTCCTCCTTTCTGGTCTTATATACAGATGATAGCAGCTCCTGTCCGTTCCTACAGGCTTCATGGCTACGTGGGCAAATGCAACCTCAGATAGTCTGGTGTGTTATAATCCAGAGGCTTGAAAGAATTGAAGCAGAAATGTAGGAATATGCAGTTAGTTATAGTTCCAGTTATGCTATTGGGCACTGGCCAATTGATTGGTCTCGCCGTTATGTTTTGTATAATTTCTCATTAATTCATTCATATTGAACCGCCTGGCGCTCATAGTTATTCCTTTAGGCGCTCCCATGTGACATGGTCTATCTAATAACTTCCACCGACTTGCCGGTCTACCTGGTCATTGACCGGCTTTATGGGTATCCTGACTCCTGTGCTCGATGACATCGGAGACCTGCAGAGCCGCATATTCAACATCGTCGGTGATTTTGTTGGTAGTATCCTCCTTATCATCCGCGCGACTAGACTCAGGCATGCGAGCTTTCAAGTAAGCCTCTGTGCCAACTACCAAAACAGTCAGAGCTTCGTATCTCAATATCAAGTCCAGTGTAAAACTCACATAAGACCAGATATGCATACTTGCTGGCCACAGGGAGCCAGATAGTCATCGCAACAATCTGGCCAAAACCCCAATCTGAAAAGTCAACCACTTCGCTGCGTTTAAACTGGTAAAAACACAAACATTCTAGAGATACAGCTGCTAGAAAGAGTAGTTCAACACAAAACGTGAGCATAATTGGTAGCTTCTTGAGCCATTGACCCCAACGTGAAGCAAGCATTTGTCGAACTTTGAACGGAAAATCGCGAGCGCCGAGACGAGTGCAAGTCCTCTGACAAAAGGTCTCAACATTCATCATTTTCACGATATATAACCGAAGCCACAAGATAACATCCAGCCCAAACACAGTCAAACAATACGGATTGAGCAACCCCCAGATAAGCCTGCGCGAGAGCTTTAGGGCATCTTGATCTTCCCGAAGTGGACAATAAATCAGTGGCGGCGCAAACCCACCACAGCTTTCCGGCCACCCGTTATATTTGAAAGTTTCGAGTTGATCAGGCGATGGAAGCTTATGCATCCAGTACAACGCGAACTCAGAAAGGACAATAGTCGTAATAGATAAGAAAAAGACCCAGGCCTCTGTCAAGTGCATTTTCTGGAGACTCCACATACCCATGACAACGGGCAATAGACCAGCGCTGGACACTATTCCTGCCATGCCGTTATTCGCCCAGAGGGAGGGCATGGTGTAGGCTTCAAATATAGTAGTTGACTTCTTAGCGAGTAGAATTGCGGCTTGTGAGGCGATCATGAAAAAGCATTGAGCTTCTTGGAATTCAACGAGGATAACCTTTGTGATGCGGTCATGCTGGTTGAAGAAACGCCGGATTTTGGGGATGATTTTCCCTTTGGTTTGCTTTGTGGGCGGTGTTATCTTGTGAGGCTGCTTTCCTCTGGTACAGAAGGAGTCTAGGAGTGAGAAGATGTGAAATGAGCGGAGGACGATCCAGAAATAGAAGACCATTGCTAGTTGCATCAAGTATGAGACGAAGACCTGTTGATGTAAATTTAGCACGGAAGTTTTCTGTTGGTAAAACTGGAATGACGCACGCCAGGTCCTCCGATGTCTGTATTGACCCCATCTTTGATCTCGAGGCAGGCAGAGCTCCGAAAGTACTGGTTGCCCTTCATGGTGTTGACCTTGAATCCAAAGTTTTCCCCGCCACCTAACTTCCCACAGCCACCTAGATCAGGATATGGGCTCTTGCAGTAGTCCTTCAGACATGTCTCCACGAGATCACTCAAGTTGATGCCGAAGGTGCCTTCTGCTCTGTTCCTGCATTTGCCGAGATTCTCGAAGGACTTAAAGACATGCTTTGGATCAAGACACGGCTCAGTGTAATTGGTGGCCATCGCACTTATAGCATTGGAAATGGAGACTAACAGAAGTAGGAATTTAGCCCCAATGGCGGAGATAATCAAGTAATTTAAACTCCAAAGGCCTGCATGACTTGGATCACTTCAAATAGCTAATTCTTTTACCTAGTTACAAGGCTGACAGCGCCCCGTTAGGACCCTGTCCCGTGTTGCTTGCGTTAGCTTATCCTAGGATGCGGCTGATGTTTGCTGTGATTGGATGGTGGAAGGATCTGCGCCCAACTGGCCCTTGGCAATCTGCCCGGGTTTTTTTCCCAGTGAGGCGATGAAGCAGCCCCTTCATACCTGCTTGCATATCCATAGAAAGCCCTATTACCGTACACATGTACGTGCTTATGCAGCTATGTGCCCTGGGCCATTTAGATACTAGCAGTTATTAGTTTAAAGCACTGCATATTTGATAATATCTATAAATATCATGGAGCCATTTTAGATATACTATGGAGTACGGTGTGTCTTGGCAAATAAGGTCCCAGAAAGGAGCAAAGGCAATATCAAACGTAAAGCTCCTCGCCTATGATATTGAACTAATGTAGGTAGAACAATGCAGATGACTTTACTGGGTTTCGCTGGAGAAAATCATCGTGGAGTGGGCTGGAACGCCCTGTCAATCTAGCCTAATAGCAGGAGCGGCATGCGGCTCTCTAGGTGGCGATCGCAGTGTGAACTAGGAGTGTTACCTTCACTACAAACACGCTGTCAAAAACAGAAGCGACATATTTTGATTCTTCTTGTATAATATGCAGCGGAAATGGATATATTTAGCAAATTTGATACTGCAAGCTTAGCGAATGAGGCGATCCCAATAGCTATCAAGAGCCACGCCGACGCCTCCAGAGACGGAACCTCTAAAACTTGCTCACCGGTTAAACTGCTTGAAAAAATTTATAATTCAACTGCTACAGAACTCTGTAGTCAATTTCCATAACTTCAGCACGACTGTCACTCCTTTTCGGGCATTGGACGTCGGTGAAGTAGGCCAGCTTAGAAAAATAGGCCTCTATTATCATCACAAGATAGGCTGGATTGGATGAATGGAGCATATGATGCAGCACTTTGTTGATTTTGTTTCTCTCCGTTAGTTGGATCAGCGCCACGATGTTCCGAGCAGCAGCTACACTCTATAATACAACATCCAATGCCCTTTGTTATCTGCATCGTTGAAAGGAGCATATAGTGGAGAGCGATGTTAAAAGCTTTCTCAAATTGGGCAAAAACAAAGCATCAATCACACAAAATCAGCCACCCCACTCCTGGCCGCTATACACCTTCACACTAAGGTCCAATACTGGCCATTATCGTAGATAAATATCCCGCATTTATCTTGCCAATTACCGCTAATCTATACCACCGGGATTCAAAAGGTAGGAACCGGACGAGGCTTAGCAACCTTTTCATACACTGCCATGAACCGCAATAGTGTTTTCTCCTCATCTGCTTTGGCCACCAGACATAGACCAAACGGCCGGCCATTGTAGCGAAGTTGTCCAATTGGGACTGTGGCAACAGGATACCCTAAGTATATCAGCAACGGCGTCTTCATAGTATAATGAATGAGCGTTACCTGCTGCTGCAGCATGAACACATAACGAGGAGTCCCCCGGAGCTACCAGGACATTGATGTTTTCTTTGTCAAATAGATCATCCAAAATAGCTCTCGCAGCGCTGCGAAGGTCCTGTTTGAGTTTATCTATCTGATGTTTTTCTTCTGTGGCGACCATTGCTCCTTCCAGATCATTCTGCTCGATGAATGCTGCATCGTGTTAGTAGTTATTAGGCATAAAATCGTAGGGCTTCTCTCTCTGTCAACCTACGAGCTGGAAGGGCTTTTTCGCTGTTTTTTCTATTGAACTCGACGATATCTGCAACGCTTGTTACAGGGCACTCGTCGAAACAGCAAATAAACTGAGGGATGCAGAGATTCCTAAAATCCCAATCTAGAAATAGTCAGTCGCCCCAATCTCCTCTGGTACCCGGACTGAAGCAACCTACATGCGATTGGCAATATAGTAGTCGGTAAGGCCGAGGGGTCACTGCATTGGACTGGATATTTTAGAGCACAGCCTCCGTTTCGTAGAGCGGAAATCGTCTCCTCGTATTCTTCTATCTAAAATCAGCTGTTAGAGCTGTGAAGGTTATCATGAAATGAGTAACGCGCCATTTGCTCAGCTGTACCCTCTAACTGCGGACAAAGGTCTGGGGATAAGCTCCAAGTCTTTGGATCTAGGAAGCCCACCAAAAGACCTTGCCAAGAGCCCAATTGGGGGGAGGTAAACAGGCGACCGAGTAGAATTTCACAAAGAACACGAACGTCAGCTGCTGACTTTGCCATGGGCCCCGGACTGTCAAAGAACTCGGTCATGGTGTATAACCCAGTAGTATCCTGGGCCCCGGGAGTAGGCTTCAGTGCATAAAGGCCGGCTCGTGTTGATGGGGTCACAATAGAACCTACGGTCTCAGTGGCCATGGCAAGAGGGCTAAATCCAGCGGCTACAGCGACCGCAGAGCCAGTGGATGAGCCGCCAGGAGCCTACTCAGTATCAGTAAAAATGAAAGATATCTAAGATTTTTCGCACTCGCCGAATGGCCAAGTATCTTCTCGTCATCCTCTATTTTTCCAACATACGGCGACAGAGTTTGACCGCCATGAGCAGACCAACCGGGCATCATCATGGTCATTTTCATGCCAGCAAATTCCTAGAATAACAGTCAATTCAATGAAGCTCCCTAGAAAATTGAACATCCACTGACAGTCATATTAGCCTTTCCCAAGATAATCATACCAGCATCAATCAGCCGCTGGGTGATAGCTCCGTTCTTTGACGCCCTGGCTCCAACGAACGCATGTGATCCAGCTGTAGTGCTCATACCAAGCTCCGACGCGGTTACAAAGCTGTCTTTCAGAATTATGGGAATTCCATGAAATGGGCCTCGGATTTGCCCCTTCTGGCGCTCATCATCTCGAGCCTCGGCGATTTTAAGGACCTGATCGCGCGGGGCAGGCGAAATCAGCGCATTGAGTGCAGGCTCATAGCGATGGATTTGTGCCAAATACGTTTCAACAATATGAGCACTCGTGGTCTTTTTCTCTTCGAGTAGCTGCTGCAGGTCAACCGCGTTGATTGTGAGGACGTTGACGGTCATTTCTGCTCTGAAGCTTGAGATTTGGGCGAAGGGCTATGGGAAAAACTCGAACATAGGGGCATCTGGGGGTATTATCAATTCAAGAGTAGTGCGAGCACGTGTTTGGATGAGATCCTGCTGCCTGGTCTCTAGATATCTCTTCTCGTGGCGCAAGATTAGTCAAGATAACGCATGACAAGGTACTTTGTGATTCCAATCTTGAAATTTACAAAAGGCGAGCGCCCATCCATTACTATGCGTTGTGTAAGAATTTTATCTCCTTCCCGTCCTTTAACATCTGAAGCTATCTTTCCACGGTATCGCAGATAGATTGCGGCTTCGCCCAGTGCGGACGTTCTCTATTCTCCAACTTCCCACCTTGGCTACTTACCAAGTAATATGGAGTCACATTATTCTGACATGCAAAGAGGATTCTCGGTGTCTCAATGGAATGGTCTACATGGTGCCTGCGTGTCTTCTCTTGCCACTGAAAGAGGGCAGTTTTAGCGAAAGGGCCTTCATAAATTCCGTCATATCTCCATAGTATTGTCAACAGCTATCATATAACCTACTGTGTTACTAGGCCACTTTCTATGCACCTTTTTGTGTGAATTCTTAAGAAAGTGGTAATAGGTAGCGCTGTTAATTACATTATACCACATTTACGGAGTACTCCGTAGAAGAATAACGGTTGTTACCTAGTCTAGTACCTGGCAAGCGGAATGGTGGAAAGGATATAATATTCCTTCTGTAGGGACTATTTTTTTTCCACTTCTGAGGGGAGGCGCTTCTATACCCCTTCGTCCCTCATTCTTAGATATCATAACAATAATTCGATCTGGCTCCCAAGTCCTATCAAGATATAAGAACGTGAGATACGCTGACCACTGCTTCAAGCATTTACCCGTTAGACTAAAGGGCCATAACAAAGTCATTTCATGGAATTGACTTGGCTGCCGTGGCATATATATATATGTATGTAATCCACCTTCGGGCTCACAAATGATTATATACGTAATCCCTAGCAAGCGACAAAGGAATATAGGGAATGAAGAAGTCAAACATATATCATGACCCTTGGTCCCATTCCTCCAAGTCCCCTGTCTGTTGCATATAAATGTTATAGACTACTATCACTAATTATAGGGGGTGTTAGAAGTTTTATGATATCTATAGTTGCTCCTAGCAGTATTAGTCCTATAGCACAGCTAAACTACTTTCTCTCCACATGGAACAATACAATTTTCCAGAGAACCCAATACCTTGTAGGAATCTGTATTCTCAATATGATAAAAATTCGTCAATATCTACAATCAGTTTAGCGTTGACATAGGTATGAGTTACTTTAAGCCAGCACCTTCCATCACCAGCACAAGTGGCTCAGTGGTTGCCTTCGTGGTCTAGTTGGTCATGACGTCGGTCTCATATCCTTCAAACCTGTAAAGGTTTCTTATGACATTCTTGGCAACAAGATTGACATCCGAAGGTCTCCAGTTCGAACCTGGACGAGGGCATTTCTTTTTTTCCTTTTTTTTTTTTTTTTTTTTTTTTTTTTTTTTCCGCACCGCCTAGAACATTAAGCAGTTATGTGGGGGCCGTTTTCTGGTGGGCAGTGGGCACGGGCCCGATGCCTGTGGAAACATCTTACCAACGAACCGAACCCCTAGAGGGAACGAAGTAAATTAATCCTTGGGCTATCAATGTGCGACACTTTTTTATATCTACCTCTGACCGTTTCGGGTCAAACTCTGTGCGCAATAGACCACACATAGGCTGGGCTTACACATATTTGATCAGCCGTTCAACATACATACCAGTGGGTTTCTACGGTCGGACCCGCCCGTCTATATACCGGGCAACCGTGTTAGTCTTGCACAATACATGGATAGGAAACCGGTGGGTACTTATTTCGTCTGTAGCTTCGAAAGTGTTCCAATCGGCCCAGATGATGCCCCGGTTGTGAATAAGCCTCTTTGGTCAATTACCAGCCAAACAGGGCTTTGACTATAGATGTTGTCAGTTGCGATATGAAATGAATATTATGTAGCTGAAAAAGAAGCGCATTGCTATGGCAAGAATGGATAAATCAAAGACTGCAAAATGCCCAGAGTGTATAATTAAGAATATCAATATGTCGGGGGCGAATTGAATCCTACATAAGTGAGTCTTAGCCTTTCATTATCATTCATTCATTCAGGAGAGAATATGATCGCAGAAGTGCTTAGTTGAGTCATGTGATTGTATGTCCAGGTGAAACTCGTTTGATATTGACGATGATACCCTTGAGAATATGATTCTAGCAGAGGTATGTATATATTCGCCCTTTGATCAACATAATTGGACACAAGAGGTGGATGATACAAAGATACAACCAAACACAGATTTGACCGAGGAATTGTGGGGGGGGATATCATAGATTATTAGAATTAAAGTCATTAAGTCCTTGGGTTTTCCGGCAACTCGTGGACAGTAGGAGTCTCATCTTTGTGGCCAGGTAGCTCTGACACAGAAGCTTGACCTTCCAACTCGCTTGGCCTGGTTGAAGGGCTGCCTAGCTCGCTCCGAATATCTGAGGGCGGAACAGAATGATATTGTGCCATCGATGCTTCGGTGACGGGTGCCGGATTTTGTTGTAGTTGCTTCTTTGAGCGACGACGCATGAAAAACCAAAACAAGGCGAAAATGATTGCTAAGCCAGCAACGCCACCAACCACGCCACCTGCGATGGCGCCAGTATGTGAACTAGAAGAGCTACTCGACGTCGGGGAGCTGCTCGATGTCACGTAGCCGGTTGATGGCGAGGAGCTGTCCGATGCTGTGCTCGATGCTGTGCTCGATGTTGGGGAGGTGCTCGGTATTGAGGAGCTGCTGGATGTTGTATTCACGCCTGCTCATATCAGCTTTGAGCTTATCTCGAGTATGCAGGAGTTGAATCTTACCAGGTGAAAGTATCGGGAGCCATGCCGTACCGCCAATTGTGGGATCCCCTGGTACCGCACACCCAACCCCGGAACTCATTCTAAACCCTGATTCTCCCTGCTCACAACAAAAAAGTCCACCATCCTTGTTCTTGTAAAGATCCCAGGTTTCGTTGGCGCAGTGTGCTGGATTTTTGATTGTGTCCCTACAATCTCCCTTATCCGGACAACACGCACCTGTGTAGGCGTTGGTACAAATTGAGCCGCTGGGGCAGCATCGGAAGATACCGTGCGATGCATTGGTAGAGCATTCGTCTGGAAGGCAGGAACCATTTCTGCGTACTGCCCATCCGCTCGGCGGACCCCAAGGATCTTTAGAGATAGACATGATAGGCAGTAAGAAACAAAATAAATGAAAGAGAAGGAAAGAAGACAAAAGTAACGGATATCAAATCAACCAAGGGCGACGGGACATCCAAAATTAGCAATGATCTTTAAAGAATGAGCATGAGAAAAACACAAGAGACTAGTGAAATTCAGGGGGCTTGCATTGTGGAGGGACCCTACGCTATGGCCTTACATTGGTGTATGCGTATTAATCTCAGCCGCAGGACCAGTCTTGGCGTAGGTGTTTCCTGATTTGTAGGCCCAGTACGAAGTACATATAACTCTCTGCTGTCAGAATTACCATGTCAGTTCTTTGACTTTCGAGGGTCTAAAGAATGCCATGGATAAATACTTTCTGAGCAAAAGGAAGACAGACCTAGACAAAGCACGGAGCAATGCCCCACTTGGGCTGGGGATGTTCCCGTGTTTTACAAGCTTGAGGAGTTGTGATAGAACAAGGAAAAGATCAACCACGGAGTAATCTATGCTCCGGAAAATGGTAAGGTAGACACGGATTAGTGGGTCTCATGGTCCTGGAATGAAGTAGATAAGCGAGATGAATTGAGCCAAATCAAAAGAAAAGGATGGTAATTCACTTGAATGGACGGGCTAGAGCACTCCTTGAAAGGATAATAGATGGATGTTAGTCACATCATGAAATCAGTCATAATCAACAGGACACTCTGGACATGGAGGGATGTCGACCTATACCTAGAACGGAAATACCTAAAGCCGTGTACACTAAACCTAAGGAAGCAATGTGCTTACAGCAAAGACCAAAATAGAAATGATTTCCACCATACATGTGGGAAAAAGCCAACAAGATGCTGGCACTGCAGAATATGCCTAGGTTTCAGATGATTGATTGGCTCAGAGAGGACGAGTAGTGTCACAAGATGGCAACCTTCATGTTGCAGCTTTTCGTTCACCATGCCCTTAATCTTTTTGACACCTTCCCGGTTAGATATCTCTTCACAGTTGATCTCGGACGTTTTGGACTTTCACCCGGAGAGTGGTAATACTCTTTTCCCAAGCTGTCTAGAAAACCCCCACTGCCCTTCGTCTTCCTGCCACCATGCGGGAGGACTCAACATCTGGTCTACCCAATTCTCCACCCGTGTCCTGTTGCAACATGGCAGTCGACTCGCTGCTGTTATTCAGCCGTCGTCACCCTCGCTGGAGGGAACGCTGCTGGCACAGCACCCGTGGACCACGGTGTGGATTGGTAAGAGGTCAAATGGTTTGGAGACAAATCCAAGGGCCCCCCGATAAACCAGCGACCGCGGAAAACTGAGAAAAAGCTATGATATGCCATGAAGATAAAGCGGCTTAAAACTATGAGCCAGTGGCCCGATATGATCAGTGACAATAGTTTCTGCCATATATTGCCATAGGATTCAGCTCAATATATACCATACGAAAGATGATTTTCTCGTGAATTTTCTCCATTCGGTATTTTCTAATAGGGCTCTGTCGATATCCTCAATTTCTAAAATTTATCGGATTCTTGATTTGCAAGTCATCCATCCCTTCAGGTAACTCATATCCAAATTGAGACTTATGACAAGCTAATGGCTGTCTCATAACATAATCTTGTATACAGCCATCGCCCAGCCGCTAGTTCATTTTAGCCAATCTGATACATTTTTCCGCTGCCATGGGCCACCTTTCTTCCAATCCCACGCGATGATCCTCACAAAGGAGATATTCCCGAGGCCAGATATCCCCGGCATACAAAAGTATGGACCAGCCAGTGCTATCATGTATGCGGGATTCACACGTACAAGTATATTGTGTAGGTCCAAATTGATATCTTTCCTCTTTTTGTCACTCGGCTCAAATCTGCAAGATACTTTACAAGAACAGCATTTCAATATGTAATGACCGATTCCCCTTCTCCTATCTTGGGGTTGGAGACGATGTTTACAAGATCCACCTCTTCGTTTGCAATCATTGACAGGCTCTTCACGAAGATTCTAGGCATGATTCTGTCTAGATTTGTCGTAAGTTCTCTTCAGCGGTTTTTCGGAGAGCTCAGTCTCCGCGTAGAACATTCATCTTACCATATCGATAAAAATTTTTGTAGCTTCTCGGTCTCTTACTCGAAAATTTCCAACATGCTCAGTTCATCCTTGGTGCATTCAACCTTATGCATAGGCTGCATCTTTTGCTTCCGGTAGTCTATTCTTTGCACCGTTTTTCGCATGTAGTTTTCCAAAAGCATAATGTTAGATGGCGTAATTGAGTCCACAAGCAAGCCTTTGCCATGCCCAAATGACCACACTCCTTCTTCGGCATATCCACCAACGACCTCAAAATGGCGAAAGCTATCATGTATCTGTGTGACCTTGGTTTTTTATATGGCGTAGTTGGGATGTGTAGCCATTATGTTGAAGCCCTGACTGAGTAGCGCAAGGACCACAAAAACCAAACTTCAGTCCTTGAAAAGATGGCTGAAAGTAGAGCGAGAAATCTAGGATGTATTCTGTTGAAAAGATGAAAACATTCTTCAAACGGGAAAATGGAAACGACGTAAATTGGGTTGGGGCTCAAGCTTTCTTGTTATGGAATGATTCACTGATATCAAGGTTATACGTATATAGATTCCCCCAGAACCCGATTGGACCCGGACCCAACCCAACCTAACTTTTGGTTAGGTTCTAGGTCCATTACTTCGCCCTAACAATATTTTTTGGGTTGTTAGCTATAACCCAAAGCCTATAAGGGTCCTAACACAGTGTAAACCTAATAAATACACCTCTGGCGTATAACTAAATAATTGATATATTTTTTACTTATAACATAAAGTACTTTACTTATAAGCGCTCTTCGAGAATAACTTCGTTAAAAAACCCCACATTCAGGCGCAAACAAATCTTCGTCCTTTGGCTTTGGCAGCTTTTCAACTCGCTCTTTCATCTGCAGTCATTGGGACATCTTTTTCTATGATTCTTCGTGCCACTTCTCTTCTAGTCCAAATATTCTAGGCCTGGATCGGTCCCAAGATGGTCTAGAGGTGACCATAGGTGCGGCTGGCGGTTTAGCCGGACGCTGTCCAGTGAGGATCGATTTCATTGGCTTATCAACTTGCTGTAGGAGCGGGTATATTCCATTGGGCGGCACTATACCAGCGATGCGAACGCTAGACCGTGACTGAAAGCAAAGTTTGGGTCTAGCTGATCACCATAAAGAGCCATGGGAATCCTCTTCTGTTGAAAGAATATCGAAAAACGTGTGCTCTCTCTGCTATCCTACTATTGAATTGAACAACACCGCTGCGTTAGAGAAATATCATTCTGTCTCTAAATACTTTATATAATGGGGCTTGCATATCGTAAGTAAGTTTGCCCTCTTTTAAACAAAGATTGTTCGAATCCCTAATAATTGCCCAGAGTTATGCAAACTGATGTCGTTCATTATTTCGTTGGTAAAAATAAAATAAAAAAAAACAGTTCTCAATTCATCAGGCATTAGAAAGTTCTTTTCCAAGAAAAGCCCTTAAGCCAGCGATAATCGAGAGTATTGATGCGGAAGTTTCTGGTCGTTGCTGTGAGTTTGTATACTCTACTCCGTAGGGATTACTCTGCTCTATGTCTTGTTCCGGAACGCCTCGGTATTGATAGCTCGTAACCAGAAGACAGGGAAAGGCAATGTTAGGTAGAGTCGAATAGATAGAATTCTTCTAGCCTAATTTGGAATATCTTCCACCTAAAGGCGCCTTTACTTAATTATAACTAGTAGAACTTAGCTATATAACACGATTGGAATTCGAGAGGAGTTTAAGCAGTAAGCCTTCCATAAGCTATACGGCAATCTTTCTGTGTAATGTTGAACTTCATCGATTTGGAGTCAGAACAGACTGGCTTTCTCTTAGTGTCCTATGTTCCTATCGGTTGCTACAATTGCTTGAGAATTTTATTCGGTTTGAAGAACGAACGAAAGATATCGTTCAGCTATTGGAATTTGTTTTCGAGGATAGTGAGTACATGGAGAATTTGGAAAACATGCTGCGAGACTACAAGGTCTGGAATGGGGAGATTTTGACGCGGAATGCTGACTTCAAACGTTTCCTGGGCTTAAACATGTCGTTAGAACAGTCTGTCATTCGTCTTTCGTTTCATGTGGGAATAAAGGCGAGCTGCTAAATCAAAAGGCGTTATGCCACCGCTTCGCGAAAGCTGCGCTCAAAATCAGTTTCACCTCTCTTGCTTTTCGGTTCGATTCCCAATGCAACTCTGAAATGCGCTAGTTTTAGCTGATTTCAGGACCCCGAAATGTTCAATTGTAATATATTGGAAATAACCATACGATTGATCAGTTTCATCTCAATGCCCTCGTCAATCTAGCTTTAGGAAGTTTCATCACGGATAGTGGTTAATTAAATGATGGTTGGGCTCGTGAAGTTCCACTAAGTACTAGCAATGAGAATTGATGACAGAGAAGATGATGATATTCTCTATCTAGAAGCAAGACTGAGAGAGAAAGAAGGAAGAGAAAGCAAGTATGAATAGGATACTGAGATCCTATTGATACTGCCAAACATGATGGCATATCAAACATGTTTGATCTATATGCCTGGATGCCTATGACATCCAACAAGAATCGTCCTTCCTCTTTGGTGGGTGAAGGAGACTGAAATCAACACACGTGGTTGCTTTCTAGCGTGGGTCACATGACAGCGGGGTATTTGGCGACCCAGCCGTCTACTCGCGATAACAAAACTGCCATGATGGCATCTACTATATCATATGACGGTCCGAACTCTGGAATCCAAGTGGGACAGAATCATGGTCATATCACTGCCCAGTTTCGTAAGTTTCGAGACATAGTCAACCCTAATGGAATGTGGCTAATTGGTGTGACTGTCTTAGCACAATCGGAAACATCATTAAACCAAGCGTGTCTGCGGGACCTGCGGACGACTGATCCTCGCGATGACAAAGATCGCATTGAAAAAACCAACGGAGGACTGCTCAGGGACTCGTACTCTTGGATTCTGGAGAACCGGGAGTTTATACAGTGGCAAGAAAGCCAAAGCAGCCGTCTCCTCTGGATCAGAGGTGACCCTGGTAAAGGCAAAACAATGCTCCTATGCGGTGTTATTGAGGAGTTGACACGTTCAATTGAGGACACTGCAAACATCTCGTTCTTTTTCTGCCAAGCTACCGACGTGCGAATCAACAATGCCGCGGCTGTTCTCCGTGGTTTGATATATTCACTTGTCGAGAAGCAGCCAAAACTTCTCTCTTATGTTCGGAGTCGGTACGACCAAGCAGGAAAATCTTTGTTTGAGGATATCAACGCATTCAATGCCCTTTCGAGGATCTTTAGAGATATTTTGAAAGATCTAACGTCACGAAGGACCTATCTAGTGATCGACGCGCTAGACGAATGTATCAAAAACCTCCATTTTCTTCTAGACTTGGTTGTTGAGGTATCATCTACCTATACACAGTTGAAGTGGATCGTCTCAAGTCGCAACTGGCCTGATATTGAAGAGCGCCTTGGTACTACAACCCAGACTACTCTGATCTCATTAGAGTTAAATGAGGTATATGTGTCCGAAGCCGTGAAGAACTTTATTCAACAAAAGGTTCAACATTTGGCGAATGTCAAAAATTATGAGGAAGAAACTCGTGATACGATATACCGTCACTTATCGTTAAACTCGCAAGGTACTTTCCTTTGGGTTGCCTTAGCTTGTCAAGATCTCGAGAGAACATCACGGCGACACACTCTAAAGAAGCTCAAAGCATTTCCTCCTGGATTGAACGCTCTGTATAGTCGGATGATTGATCAGGTTTGCATTCTGGAAGATGCCGAGCTCTGTAAGCGGATATTGGCTATTATGTCAATAGTGTATCGGCCAATCACAATTTACGAGCTACCCTTCCTTATTGAGATACCGAATGATCTACTTGATGATCATAAGGCTATATCGGAGATAATTACGATCTGTGGTTCATTCCTGACATTACGCGAAAACACCATTATCTTCGTCCATCAATCTGCAAAAGAATTCTTACTCAGAGAAGCGCGAGAAATGATTTTCGCTGAAAATATAGAGGCTGAGCATCATTTGATTTATTTGCACTCCCTAAAAGCCATGTCCAAAATACTTCGACGTGATATCTTCGGTACCGAGGCTCCTGGATTACCGATTATAAAGGACGCGCAGCCTTGTCCCAATCCTTTGACAGCTGTAGAATATGCCTGTGTCTATTGGGTTGACCATCTTCAGGAAGGTTGGTGTGATAAGAACGATGGTTCTGAGCTTAACCAGGGAAGCGTTATAGATATCTTTCTACAGCAGAAATATCTCCACTGGATCGAAGCCCTTGGCCACCTAGGAAATCTATTTCAAGGCATAGCAGCTATACTGAAGCTTGACGCCGTTTTTCACGTGAGTGACCTTTTTTATCGGGGACAATTGTCTTATTTATTAATATAGCTATTACAATAGGCAAAAGGCGAATCGCAGCCTTTATTACGTCGAGTTCGAGACGCCTGCCGGTTTATTCAATACCATAGACCAGCAATCGAAAACAGCCCTCATCAGGTATACATTTCTTCACTCATATTCAGCCCGATGAATAGTATCACAAGAAACTGTTATCTGAAGGAAAGGCCAGCTTGGGTCTTAAATGAACCCGTGATAGAGAAGAATTGGGGCCCATGTCTTCAAGCTCTCGAGGGGCATTATGATTCAATTAGCTCCATTGCCTGGTCACAACATAAAAATCGACTCGCATCGGGGTCCCATGATAATACAATCAGGATCTGGGATCCGGACACGGGCCAGTGCGCTTTAGTGCTCCAGGGTCACAACGACTGGATCAAGTCGATTGCCTGGTCGCAAGATGAAAGCCGTCTCGCATCAGGATCCTCCGACAGAACAGTGAGGATTTGGGATCCGGTCACTGGCCAGTGCGTGTTAGTCCTCAAAGGCCATAGTGACTCAGTTAGGTCGATCGCTTGGTCGCAAGACGGAAGTCGACTTGCATCAGGGTCATCTGATATGACAGTCAGATTCTGGGATCTCGTTACCGGCCAGTGTATATCCACCGCTCAGGGGCATAGTGATTCGGTTTGGTCGATTGCGTGGTCACAAGATGATCGAATTGCATCGGGGTCCTTTGATAATACAGTTAGGATCTGGGATCTAGCTACCGGTCAGTGTGCTTTAACCCTCCATGGGCATAATGACTGGGTTAAGTTAATTGCCTGGACGCAAAACGGAAGCCGACTCGTATCAGGGTCCTATGACAACACACTCAGGATCTGGCACCCAGTCACTGGCCAGTGCATAGCTGTCCTTTTAGGTCATACTGGCCCAGTGGAGTCGATTGCCTGGTCGCAATGTAGAAACCAGCTCGCATCAGGGTCATCTGATAAGACAATCAAGATCTGGAATCCGACTACTGGCCGGTGTATTTTGACTCTTGGCGGGCATAGTAGTCCAGTCGAATCTATTTCCTGGTCGCAAGATGGAAGCCGGCTTGCATCAGCGTCAAACAGGACAGTTAGGATCTGGGACCCAGCCACGGGCCAGTGTGTTTCAACCCTCCAGGGGCATAGTGGCTTGGTTAGGTCGATTGCGTGGTTACAAGATGATCGACTCGCATCAGGGTCTTACGATAACACAGTCAGGATCTGGGACCCAGATACCGCTGAATATGCCTCGAACTTCGAGAGACATAGCCTTCCCATAACTTCAATTGCCTGGTCGCCAGACGGAAGCCGGCTCGCATCAGCGTCCAGGGATACCACAGCCAGAATATGGGACCCGTGTTCTAGTCGGTGTTTATTGATCCTTAGGGGACATACTGGTCCCGTTAGCTCGATTGCCTGGTCACAAGATGGAAAACGACTCGCATCTGGGTCCTACGATAACACAATCAAAATCTGGGATCCCTCTACCGGCCAGTACCTATTAGATATCCAGAGGCTTAGTGATTTTGTTATATCGATTGCCTGGTCGCAAGATGGAAGTCGACTAGCATCAGGGTCAACCGATAAGACAGTCAGGATCTGGGATCTGGCTACTGGTCGGTGCGAGTTAAACCTTAAGGGACATAGTGCTTCGGTTAGCTCGATTGCCTGGTCGCAAGATGGAACTCGACTAGCATCAGGGTCCTATGACAACAAAATCAGGATATGGGATCCGGCCACCGGCCAGTGCCTATCAATTCTCCAGGGCCAAGGCGATATTTTCAGTTCAATTACCTGGTCGCAAGATGGAAACCGACTCGCATCAGGATCCTTCAACAACGCAGTCAGAATCTGGGATCCAGCCACCGGTCAGTGTGAATCAACATTTCCTATCCATTGCCCATTCTTTCTTCAATTTGATAAAGTCAATCTCAATTATCTACATACGCCGATCGGTACACTCAATATAGCATCAACTGAGTCCGGCACATCCACTTCCCACATTTTGCCATCCTTGCCAGAAAAATATGGGGTTGGCTTGAATGATGACCATTCCTGGATAACCTTTAACGGTGCTCACCTCCTATGGCTGCCTAACGAATATCGACCGGTTTCTTCATCCCTATTTGCGATACATGCAAGAACCGTGGCTATTTGCTGTACATCAAATCGAGTGGTATTCCTCGCACTCCCAGAACACAATTCTTTCTGATTTTGATCAGCATTCGTGTCATCAATTTCGTTCTTCCCCTCCAATGCACTTGACCCTGGTTTGTAGAACAATTCAAAAATATGACGAGTTCAGGTGACAGACTGTAGTCTCAGCGGGCTCTTATGTCTGTCGGCTGGTCGAAAAAGGTGGCGCGGCTAAAGGCAGAGGCACAATATTTCTATTTGCGAGACTAATTATCGTCCTCAATTTCCTAGTAAACCAAATTTCAGCACATTTTGGTCATTCATGGTTCAATAGAGTATGAATCTAGCATTTGAAAGTGTGGATACGTTGGTTGTAAAGAAATATTTGATCCTACCAGTACGTACTCTATCTACGTATGTCTTCGCTGGTCCACTGTGTTAACGGAGCGAACGTGGTTGACCAAAGGGACGAGAGGTGTAGTGGCCAGATAATGACCGAATCTCCTGCCTATGTTCAGCTTGTTTGCAAGTGAACGGATCTAGCCAGGGCATGACCCATACACCCATGATACGATGGTTATTTTTCATGGCATTATTTATTACCATGTTAGAATACTGCCAAGAGTGTTGTTCAGGGGTAATCTAACCGTAAAAGGTATGACGCCACTAAAAGCAGGGTTCAACAAAGCATTAAAAAGAGTGAAGAGGTGAAACTGAAATCGAGCGCGTGTGTACCTTATTGTTGCTTATGTTGTCTTGAGGTTAGAGAAAAGTACAGAAGAGGACAGGTTCGGCTTCACACTCTTTCGCTCTTTGTCGGCGCCACAATGGGGCACTATTCCAAATTTGGGACTAGCCTACGGCAAGTTTTAACCGCCATCGCGCCAACCCATATAAACCGTTGACCGTCCATTTCACCGCCTTGCTCTCACCCCTGTATACTCACCCCCAGGGCCCGGAGGCGGTATAACTATCGGGCTTGGAACCTCATCCTCATTTTAGGGGGGGGTAATTGATACCTAGAGCCCCTTCTTACACCGCTCTAAGTGTGTGGCAAATACATTTAATACATTTTTCAAGAAATGAACCTTTTAACCTCCACGTAAATTGAGATTTACTATATTCCTGGGTATTTTATAAGTCAAAAAAAACTTAGTTTTTCATCCTAGGCAATTATGATATCTCTGTATTCTCACGTGGTTATAAATATATACAAAAATGAAGTTCTTGAGCTCTATGCAAATCGGGATATCTAGCGCGACTTCTAATTCTTAGTATGTAAGTATCCATCGTACCGTAAAGTAACTATATTGAACGCTTAGAAGTAACGTCATTCACCGATTTGTGTTGGTACATGACCGTATGGTTGTGGGATCATGGATTTGTTACTAATTTTCTGCCTGGCAAAAGCCCGGTTGGCGCGATGGCGGTTCAACTTTGCCATACTAGCCTGTCTTTGCGCCATCCAAACACTGTTGGGAACATGAAAATCCCCGAGCGATAGTAAAATACATGTATTAGTAGAACACGGCGAAACGGCTTTGAAAAGGAGGTTGCGAACCGATGCTAAATTGCCCCACTTTTCTAATCGCTTTGGATGAGGTAAAGGCCCAACGATCTTAAGTCCACAAGAAAAAAACACACATAGTGCTATTCTTACCTATGCTCTCTTGGAGAGTAGTTAGATATTGGAAAAAAAATCCAAGAGTACACCGAGGACAACCATAAGTTATGTATTCAACGAGGAAACCAACGATGAAACCCCTCCCAATTGAATATTCAAGAGCATAGGTTGCCATCCCCAATAATCGAACGATTGGACCTGCAATATCCAGCGGGAAGCCATATGAGGTTCTCGTTCCTAAAGGCGATCCTGTCACTTGCTATGGAAACTTGAGGATTGGGGTTATATGAACTTTGACTGACGACAGAAGCGACCGAATCGGAATGGTCCTCGAGCGTCTGCAGCTCTTTGCCCGTTGGAGCATTCCATAGCTTAATCGTGTTATCATGTGAGCCTGAGGCCATCGTTTGGCGGCCCAAAGAGACGGCCACAGACTGGACTTAACTAGAGTGAGTGGCCCTCAAGCGTCTGTAGATCCGAGATCCATGACTTTTCTACTTGCGGCATGGTATAAATTCTCTTCGGTCGTTCCTTTTCATAATGCTTCCTGATATGCTCTTCGTCGGAAAAAGCAGGCCTCCGATTTGATGAAAGCAAGCTTAAGATGCGTCAAATTATGAGCCATATGAAATACCACAGGGTACCTTGACAAAAATTCGTGGTCCTGAGAGCAGAGATTTCCAGCATGCGCAGCGACTAGCGGCGATAAAAGGACACATTCATGATCTTCTTGATTATGGACATGGATTTCTGAGGAATTCTGTTCTTTCCTGGGGCTTGGTGGAGTACCTGCCGTTGCATCAAATGGAACTTCAGCCTAGTAAGCTGTGCGTTGGCCACCGCCGCGTGGGCAAATTTATGATATTCCTAAAGATACACGGATTCATTATTCTGCTTTGGCACGTATGAAGCATCATACGTCTTACCGGCTTATAAATCTATTAGGAGATCTGTATAGAGACGGAGACATGGATGCTTTTGATGCTCGGAAGTGGGTGGTTGATTCATAGAAAGGTGATATGATTTGAGAGCAATATATACGCCAAGATAAAGGACGGTAAATTTTATCGAAAGTCGTGGCTTTTCGAGCACGCTTTGTTTCTGAGCTCGGCATAATATATCACACATCTAAGTATTAATCCAAGTCTCTATACAAACCAGCCTTTTGAAACCGATGTTACATAACGTAGGCATCAGCCCAGATAGATCTTTAAAGGACAATGAGGTTTCTCAAATCGCACCAAACGGATTTCAAGCGTCCAAGCATTACTACATAGGAAGGCTCAGGTAATTACAAGAGGCTAAACCAAGCAGTTCTCAGACGCGCTTCTCGGCTCTTAATTCTATCACTAATAGCCAAAATCATGGATTCACTACGAGGCAGTATATGAGGGCCACGAACGTATTGGTACTCGGATAGGTAGTATAGATATATAGAGAGAAACTGACATTGATCTATAAAATATAAGGACAGAGGAGAGAAGAAGAGAAATATGGTGCGAGAAACTATTATCTAGGTCCTATCAAATATAGGCATTACCGAAGACCCAAGGTTATCGAATTGAGCGGATTGCGGTCGGTATAGTTTCAACAAAAGACATGTGGGTGGCTTAGTGGAAAAACTTTACAGATCGTTGATTTCAAATAATTAGGCTCATTGGGAAAGTCAGGTTAGCGTTTGAATACTTTTGGGAGAAAGATGACTTGCCTATCGGGCCTAGAACTACACCCACCACGGTTCCCCTCGCCCCATTCACTTGGCCAATACAGGAACAAATATTGGTCAGAGTCACAGCTGGCATATTTCAGGTATAGAGAAAGAGACCAGGGAATGGGATCTTTGTTCCTTGGTCAGGTTACTGAGACATTGATGCGGCATGAGGAAGTTTGCTGGAAATATTCTCTCTCGGTGTCGGTATTGCCTTCTTTGAAAAACTGTTGATAGACCTAAAGGGGGCGCAATCTTGTAAATATATTCATTGGCGGGATATGATCATAAAATTCAGTCACCTTTGAGAATAATAAAAGCTGTTGGCTTATACGGTGCTCATGTTCATAAAAGATATTGATATTGGCCTTGAGGTGATATAATAATTCCTCAAATTCTGCTCCGCCCTGGATTTCGAGAGACTGAATTCCTGCGAGGCTGGCTATGCTTGCATTAGTGTGTTTCCCTTGCCGGCAAACCATTGCATCTCTATCTAATGCCGGTAGTAAGTGATGAGGAAAGTTCAAGGCTTAGAATGCTGTTAATAGTAAGCACCAACGTGAACGAGGAAGCTGCCTCGGGTACAAGAGGCGGCCTAAGCGCTATGCAGCTTATTGTACTTGCCTTAATAAATTAGCCTCAATGACGTGACATTTGAGGCTGTGATATAATAGCTTGTTATGTATACGATCAAAAAAAACAGTAAAATATTGAATCTTACCATCGACGCAATAAAAGGTTTATGCTCCATTGAGAAAATCTAGGACTTTCAATCATACCCTGACAAAAAGCATGTCTGGATTCTTCTCTCAAAAAGGTAAGTGCACGCCGCCACGACCTTAAGATACTTGGTAATTAACACCAAGGACTTGAGTTTGCTGGGCTTGGATGGCTTAAACTTGATATTGGCTTATAATTATATCTCCACCCCCCGCAACTATCGAATGCATCAATTGTCAAGGTGATTGAAACCCCTTGAATTCCGAAACCAACTGATATTAAAAATTGCTTCGGAATGAGCTTCGGTATGAAGAGCTTCTGTTAGCAATTGAGCCGACACAACCATTTGATAATTCGTCAAAACCTACCGCAACTATTTTCTTACACAAATTTGGAGCCTAGCTCATCCTTGGGATTCATTCGGTCTCTTCTCTCCAGTCAACTAGAAAAATGCCGAGAAGAGATTACAAACCTTACCAAGAGTGTGAAAGAATGCTCAAACGGGGAAGCAGTTAATCGACCAGTCTCCGACTTTCAGGAAGATAAGCCGCACGAATCATGGAATCAAGAACGACAGTTATACACCAACGATGAATTTTCTCATCAAAGTTTCTCTACTGTTGCTGTAGGGCATCATCTTTGTCAAGATTATATATATATATATAAAAGTGCACTAAAAGAGATGGAGTTTCCGAGTGCATTTCCCCGAAATATACTTTGATTTAACTGGAATTTGATCCTCCGAGGTGGAGTGCTGTGATCAGTATAGGGAAACCCAATCTTCCGCAAAGAAAAGCTCTAAAAGAGCAGCAAAATACTCAGCCTCTAAGTCACTTTGGCTTCGACTGGGGGTGGAACCGATCGTTTTGTAAAATGAGGACTTTCAATTTTTTTTGGTGGAGTGATGCAGGTAGACTGCAAATCCCCTATGATTATAGCAGCGTTTGTTTAAGTGAGACCGAGGAGACACGAGTGGTGCGTGAGCTCTATCAATTTCAGCTCTGCTATGACATATTCGGCTATGGCCACAACGGACCTATCTTCAGCCGCGCACCTAAATATGAGGGATCAGATGTCTCAGAGGTCCTCTTTGACCCATGGGAGATTAAGAAAGTTGTCTTCATGCATGAGTTTGCGATGCAGACATACCGAGAGCTCTTCCCCCTCAACTGGAATTGGCACAGGGTTCTCTCGAAAGGTACAGCCGACGACACCAGAAATCGAATTAACTCTTGACAGAAGAAAGTATGGTTTGTGCTAAGTACTCAACCTCTCGTAACATCGTACAGTGGGAAACATAACAAGCGCTGGACAACCACGATTTCAGTTAGCTATGTGGCTACGGGTAGAGGTCCCAGACTATCCTATCCTGCGGAGTTCGGTTTCTTTATCCCGCATTCACCCTTCTATTCATTCCCATGCCATTCCTTGATCTACAGGTCTGTGTACGCAATATTGTGGGGAATTGGGAACTTTGAATGTTATGGTCTTAGGTTTTGCCTGTCGTCAGCGTAATGCTGGGTTTTATATCGCAAGGTTTTCTCTAACGTATCGATCTATATGTCTCTTCGCGCGGTTGTGGCGCGGGCTCGGGAGCCCCCGTGGGTGGGTCCGCCATCCGTCTGGCGTTAGTTCCCGCTCGGCAGACAAAAAGAAATGGTACAGTAAAACCAGTCATAACAAATCAATTGGGACACGCTCAATTCGTCAAAAGAGTTTTCGCAAATTTCAGGTTTCATACACTAATCTGGTTAACCTATAGAGTTATACACCAAAAATCTCTTCAATGTTGCTCTGCTTATATGTTTGTAGCTTCCATACCTATGGCAGCTTCTTATACTTCCATAAAAGCGTTATACTTGACTGACTTTTACCCCGAGAGGATGGCCACCACTCGGAGGGAGCGAAATATTAGGGGAGCGACCTCGTAGGAAGTGGACTGAGATTTTGAGAAGAGAAGATCGACCAGAGGGACAGTGTGACGCCTAACTACCTGACTAGTTAGTTACAGCAAACCTATTGTATTACATAAGCGGTATATCCAACCTTCTTTAACATCTGTTCGCAACACCAACCCACTACATGTCAATATGTAGGAGGAAAAAATCAGCTAGATATGAACTTGCAATTTGTTCCTCTTATGTGGAACAGGGGTCACTTGCTTGAGTAGGTCACCTGGGGCTGATGTTGTGTTCCCCAACGTCATGACCATGAATCGTGAGGTCATTGAAACTGCTTTGTACCTATTGCTGATATGCACTGCCACCTACCCGACGGCTATCTCATCTTAGCTAATCTCTATCTTTTCTCCTTATGCTTGATATTCCGTTTAAGGACTCTTACCTACACTCGACTTTGAAAATCCATCTGCGATACAATGAGCGGCGAGGCGCGCTCCATCGAGCGTCGGGTGTCATCTTATCAGCAACACCTGCCGCCCCAGTATGAGGAGAATTCGTGGAACGCTCCCCCTTCTCCGGTAGTTCTTCTCGTTGGAGTAAGTTAGAGCCTTGTGGTAATCACTAACACATCCAAACAGACAATATATGCTGGCATTTCAACCGAAAGTGCGAAGGATGGGACTGTGACACTCGCCATGGCGTTTCGTGATGCCACATACCTCCTCGATTTCTTTCAGAAGACTTTTAAGCCCAGCCCTAACATTTTTTCCGAACTGGGAGACTTTATGGTAAACTCGGTGCGCGATTACAGTCACACTCACACGGTGAAAATCATTGGTTTGGCAATGCCACATAAAATTCCCGATGAATACTCTACGTTACGTACTCGTCTTTGGGCTGAGGTTGACGTGCTCCCTTTGGTCATAGATGAGGGAAACGGGCAGGCAAGAGATAACAAGTTCGTTTTGGGGCATCCTGAACGTAAATCATTTTGGGACAGAACTCTCGATGAACAGGCAGAGTCGATGGCCCGCAGATGTGTCCGGTAAGTCGGAGTCTCATTGATAGACCCGAAGCTCATTCCGACTTTGGTCGTTAACGAATACTAAGTGGTATTACAGCCTATTTGGACCTGAGAACATCCCCCTACTGCAGGTTGGCTTTCGAGGCTTGGTGGCAGTCGACACTGGCTTCCGAGTTTGTTTGACCACTCTGCGGGATTTCGAAAAAACAGTGAGCAAAAAGACGTGGGATGCGATTGAGTACTACGCCAAAGATCTTATTGATCGGAGGGTAAAGATCGCCTTCTTCAGCGCAACCCCTCAAGGTGGAGGTGTAGCTCTTATGAGACATGCGTTGGTCCGGTTCTCTCACTCGCTAGGGACTGATGTGAGATGGTATTGGTGCCCCCTCCGAAAATATCTGTGAAATCAGCGGATGCAGGATTAACATCCGAGATAGGTATGTGCCAAAGCCTCGCCCAGGTGTTTTCCGTGTGACCAAAACAAACCACAACATCCTACAGGGTGTTCAGCACGAAGGAGAACGACTGACGGAGGAGAATTGGGCCCACGTCACCGACTGGATTCATGAGAACGCCGATCGGTACTGGTTGACTGAGGGAGGTCCCTTGGATCATTCTTCAAAGGGAGGAGCAGATGTGGTTATTATTGATGACCCTCAGATGCCCGCCTTGATACCTCTGGCGAAGAAGATGGACCCAGACAGGCCGGTTATCTTCCGAAGCCACATCTCAATCCACACGGACCTAATATCCCAGCCAGGTTCTCCACAGGAAGAAGCCTGGAACCGGATGTGGCAACAGATCAAAGATGCCGATATTTTCATCAGTCACCCAGTGAGGAGCTTCGTGCCACAGAATGTACCTCGACAGACAGTCGGCTATATGGGTCCATCAACAGACTGGTAAAATGCCCCTGCTGTTAGCTAAACTTAAAGGGTTAACATTATATTCCAGGCTGGACGGATTGAACAAGAACATGCGTGAATGGGATGTCGCTTTCTACGGGCGTGTGTTTAATGGTATATGTAGAAACTCGGCCATGACCACCATCAACTACCCTGAAGGTAAGATATCAGCCATCGATTTATGTCATATCACGTATTTGTATTGACTCGTGTTGCCGTAAAAAGACGAGTATATCACTCAAATTGCGCGGTTTGATCCATCCAAGGGAATTCCGGAAGTCGTGGAATCATATGTCAAGTTCCACGAGCGCTTCACGATGGCGCTACCCGACAAGAAGCCACCCAAGCTATTAATTTGTGGACATGGCTCCATCGATGACCCCGACGGAACCTCAATCCACGATGCCGTGGTGTCCCACGTCCGGGAGAACCTCCCTCACTTGGTGGACTACATCTGTGTCGTCCGACTCGGCCCATCGGACCAGGTGCTGAATGCACTTCTCTCGAAGGCCAAGGTTGTCTTACAGCTGTCTACACACGAAGGTTTCGAGGTCAAGGTGTCCGAAGCCATCCACAAGGGAAAGCCGGTCATTGTTACTAATGTTGGTGGTATCCCGCTGCAGGTGGCGGCAGGGAGGAACGGCTTTTTGGTGGAAGTCGGCGACACCGATGCAGTAGCCCGACATCTGTTTGATCTGATCACCAATGATAAGCTTTACAACGAGATGCACCAGTTCGCGGTGCAGCATGTCTGCGATGAAGTGAGCACGGTTGGCAACATGCTGAACTGGCTGTACCTGGCATCGAAACTGTCCAAGGGCGAGAGGATCAAACCTAATGAACAATGGATCAACGACATGGCACGCGCCAGTGCAGGGCAGGAGTACGTCCCTGGCGAGAACAGGTTGAACCGCGTGCTTGACCCCGTGGAGGTGGGTAAATGAGACCACGAAAGACCACTTCGCCGAATCTGGACAAAGGAATTTTTGAAGGGTGTTAAAAGTATTCTCACCCCGTTTCGCTCTAATAATATGAAATTAGCTAGGGGAATAGCGTATAGCGCTATATGGCTTTACCTAAGCCAAGCTACGCATACGCTTCGCCATAAAGCTCAATGGGGCTAATCTTTCGCCCTGTTCAAAACTGAGGACTCAGCACGTATAATTCTACTTATTTATCACTAAAAATTGCTATCATATAACCCCATATTAGATATCCTTCTGAAAACCAGCTCAAGTAGACTTAATATTGCGTTAAATTAAGTGCTAACTTTTGATATATTTTACCATACAGTAGGATATGGGACCATGTTTGGTAGTATAAATAGGTTATCAAAGTCCTATTCCTTTTTTCTTTCTCTTTCTCCCCAGTCCAGTTCTAGATAGAGAATATCATCAACATCTTTATCATCAGGTTATAAGCACCTTTCATACTGGTCACGACTCCCAGCATTCTTTCACTGATTCAGAATCTAACTTCTTATTCAAAGAAGTTATCCTCCGAATCAGTATTGTCACTTCTTAATAAAAGAAGACGGTATCTTACTTAGTCGAGACCTTATTTATACGATCACGGCTGGGATCGGGTTGATTTCGGCTAATACCAGATGTTAGGCTTGCGACTTACACTTTGAATTTTATATCTGTTGAAGAGACCTATGCTATCGATAAAGACCTGTAGAAGAGAGCGGCCGAAGTAGAATAAGTTATAAATGACGAAGGATATAATACCGGTGGCTAGGATATCATTCTACACCCACGTATACTGTATAACCCACAATCTCTCTACCACGCCTAAGTAGGTGTTAGATTTAGTGATACCCTGATATTGACCTTAATAGGTACCGGGGGAGTAGTTACATTACCTAAAGTAACCCTGGCCACTATACCCCTACGTAACCCGACCTGTAATCGGGGCTATTCAGGGGCGCGAAGTGTATCGCGATCTTATCAAAAGCTTGACACAAACCCACAATGCTTATCTCCGCGGACCAAAAAAATTTCAAGATCGGGCTAGGTAGATTCGGACGTTGACCGAAGATGGTTTGATTTTCTAACACCGCGTCGGAACATCTATAAAGATTGGCATGTCTCTACGGTCCAATTGAAAGCGTTGATTGCCACTCACAAATTGAAAGATGGCAGCCACTGAAAGTGGAACATGCAAGTCCCCACAGATTGAGACGAAAAACGCCAACACTGTTGTCAGTGGAGATGTTGAAGAAGTGATACATTCATATCGTCCAAGCAGATGGCAGAGTAATATCACCATCATTAGTTGTGTGAGTCCGGTATTGACGGACTCGAGCTTCACCTGCTGACTCGCTCAGTATATCGCCAACTTTAGCGATGGCTTCCAAAACACCCTCGCCAATCCTACAAATGTTATTTTCAAGCAGGTTCTTGGAGCAAATAAGTTTTCTTCCGATATGAAGACCCGAATGAGCAACTCAGTCATCGTCGGAGCGATCCTTGGTATTGTTGTTTTCGGATACACTTCTGATATGTTTTCACGACGCGCCGGATTGCTCTTCACGTCCTCTCTGGTCGAAATCGGTACGCTGATGGCGGCACTGGCCTTGCAAGTACACCCATCCAGCAATATGCTGTGGTACTTTGTTGTGGTTCGTGGAATTGCTGGGTTTGGTGTCGGAGGTGAATACCCTCCCAGTGCTGCTGCTGGGATTGAAGAATCGGACTGGGTAAGTATTTGGCCACTCTCTCACTTGGATCCATTCTTATGAGCTTTAGATCATTCGAAAATACAGAGGACCGATGTTTGTCTCCTTCACGACTTTGATGGCCACACTAGCGGGCCCAGTCTTGATGATAATCTATTTGATCACACTCATTGCCACGGACAACAACCTTGTTATCGCCTTCCACGCCATTTACTCCATTGCAACCCTTCTACCAGTCTCAATTATAATTTTGAGACTTTTCATGGTGGACTCGTCTCTTTTTCACCATTCAAATTTCAAACGACAGCGGAAGTCGTGGCGTCTCTGTCTCCTTCTTGCACGACGTTACTGGTGGAGGCTATTGACTACATCACTTGCTTTCTTTTTGTATGATTTCATCAATTTCCCCAACAGCATCATGTCCAGCACGATCATCTCCTCTTTGGTTACAGATCACAATGTCCGGACGACCGCTATTTGGCAGGTAATTTTGGCGGCCTTGCCAGTTCCCGGCGTTGTTTTGGGGGCGTGGCTTACAAATGCGATTGGACGTCGCTGGACTGGGATTTTGGGCTTCGCTGGATATGTCGTGCTTGGTTTCGTTATCGGTGGTACATACTCAAAGCTCTCTCAAAACATTGCGGCCTTCGTTGTCCTATATGGTCTGCTGCAAGCATGTGGCCATATGGGGCCCGGTGCTACAATTGGGCTTATATCTTCCGAGTCTTTCCCCACTGCCATGCGGTCCATGGGATATGGTGTCGCGACAGCCTTTGGTAGAACGGGTGCTGCTGTTGGCACGCAGTGTTTTACTCCCTTGCAGGACCGTGCTGGTAACAGCTCTACCTTTTACTTAGCTGGTGGTGTCGCTGTTCTCGGCATGATGGTCTACTACTTGTTACCAGAAAGTAGAGATCTGGATTTGGAGAAAGAAGACCAGGAGCTTAACGAGTATCTTATGCAGTACGGATTTACGACTGATGTGAAAGAGCGTTTGTGAGTTTTCACTATCATAGAAGGTTTCGTTGAATTTATAGAGCGAATTGGTAGATATTTGAACACCTGGGGGTGAGAGAACTGAATGGTAGCTGGCGAGAGTCAGTACCTCAATTATGAACAACTGGTCAATCATAAGATGTAGGAAACACTTTTAGCCATCACAACTTTTCTCATCTGGCTCTTGCATCCCTGTCCTCGCAGAATTTTATCATAACCTTCGTCTCCAAGTGCTCAGAAAATCGATGATACGCCTTTGGTGCCTCTTCAAGATCGACGATGCTAGAGAAGACGAAGCCCGGGTTAGCTATGCCACTTTTCACGAGTTCCAACAGTGGCTCAACAAATAATTTGCTGTCCACTACGCCACCACGAATGCTCATGTTCTTTTCCCAGAAAAGTGTGATGGGAAACGTCATATCTGGTGAGATGGTGTCTCCTCGTTGAACTCCCTTAGAATTCGGTTCAGCAAAATGTACTCCAATGACCCCTAAACCACCACCCACGGAGGTGCACTTCAACGCCTGTGTGATAACGAAAGATTGATCGGGTTTCAATTTTTCATTGACACATTCCTCTCCAACGCAATCTACAGTGCGCTGAATACCACCTGGTTCCCGGGCCAGAATCTGCGCCGACGGTTCGCCCTTCGTGAAGTTGATCGGAATAGCTCCGATGGAAACTGCAAGGTCGAGGCGGTCTTGGACATAATCAATGGAATACACGCGAGAGGCTCCACGGAGAATTGCTGAATACGCAGCAAGAAGTCCGACTGGGCCGGCCCCAAAAATCGCGATCTTATCCCCGGCCTCGAAGCCTGACCAAGTGACCCCTGTCCAGGCAGTAGGGAAGATATCTGAAAGTATAACCAGATCCTGATCCTCGATCTGATCAAAGTCCTTATCGAGAATAATCAAGGATTTGTCCGCAAGTGGGACGCGGACGAATTCGGCTGTTGAGAATGGCATTGCCAGTCATCAGTCAGACACAAGTCTTGCAATAATAAGATGTGATTCTGCAGCGCTAAGGCGTACCTTGACAGCCTCCCAAATTTCCAAAGTCGGGCCCTTCTCCGTATAATGCCACTGCAGGGCTGATAGCTGGTTCTAAATCCAGGCTGACGCCATCAGGAATGTCAGGGATAATGACCCGGTCCCCAACCTTCACAGAATCGACATCTGCTCCGACTTTCTCGACAAAGCCCATGGCCTCATGTCCAATAGGGTAAGGAACCTGGTTGCTGCCAAACACACCATGGTAGTTGTGCAGGTCGGAGCCGCAGATAGCGGCTGAAGTGACCCGAACCACGGCGTCCGTTTGCCTGACGATATGTGCTTTTTGAACATCACGGACGTGAACTTTGAGTGGATGACCATCAAAAACGACAGAGCGCATAGTCCTGCTGTTGCTATGCGCCTCTGCCATGATGTATCTTTTTGAGCATTGAGATTGTGGGGTAGTTTCTTGAATGATTCTTGTCAGCAAAGAGAAATATGCTGTTAGATGTACATTGACAGAACTAGCTTTTATCCGAAATGAGCTGGTCCTTATATAAGAACTGCCGATGACTACGATGTACAATGCACCCGTGTAGCTGAACAGAATTTCCGTGTGTACATAGGACCTGACGTCATAGTTTGGATATTTTACGTCTCCTCCCACGTCAGTCTCAACATATGTACTAGCAGTGTTCCATTTTCAGTTTGCCTTCGTCTTAAAAAATCCCAAGGAAGACAATGAACTCAGCCAGAAACAGCTATATCTGGAGCATCCATAATCTCAGTCTGATGTAAGATGAGAAGGGCAAAGCTGGGTCGTGTGTACATCACGCTCCGAGATGAATATATTCGACGACTTCTGTCGCAACTCGATTGGGTACCAGACTCTTTTAGACTACTTTAGATTAAATAACTCACATGGCCACGGATAACGAATCTTCATTAGGCGTTGCCTAGTTTGATAATCCCTCAGTTTCCCCGGGCTATATTTCTGTGTATGTCTAAGATAATTGCTGTCTCTGCATACCGCTCTCCGGAGTATCTGTACAACGCACCTGGACGGCGGAGGTATCGGCGCCCGAACATGGTAAAAATTCAACGAGATAGAGTGCCTTCCAATATCCAGGAGGAAACCTGAAGCCGACTTGATGGATAGGCAGTCAAACTGAGCACCCCTCACAAAATGGGCTTAATCGTGAGTTAAGAGTGGCCCGGACTGAATTTTAGCAATTCTCAATTATCTGAGGACATAGTAGAATGGAATAACGTGGGTTCGATAATCAGATGACGCAAGGTCATAACAATAGCGGGTGGCAAAAGCTTGTAGAAAACATTATACCTCATCATAATACTAAGTATGTTGAAGTGTGGCGCTCGAATTTGCCTTAGAAGCTACCTAAGCTATGGTTAAACTGCCACAGATGTATGAATCTCCCCTACACATCAGGAAACAGTTCTCGACCGGTTAAACTGATATCGCTTGATCGATGTACATATGACGACTATGCTACTGTTCTGAGCCCACTACCAGGGCTCTGGGGCATATCAATAATAGATGGGGTAGATGTGCTGGGTCCCCGTCGAGAACTGTATCCGGGGGATATTTCGACTTTGGACTGCCCAACAGCGAACTTCTGCTGAGTGAATAGTATAGAAGTACAATAATTCATATGGAAAGAAGTCAATGTACATAGGATGGAAAGATATTTCGCCCAAACCTGAGTTGAGCAGACAACAAAAATGAACGACATCTGGGAGCACCTTTTATACGAAGAATACCCGTGATGTGTCTTTTGAGGGTATTGGTTGTGAGTGTTTGATTGACTGTGTGTATGAGCCTATTGATTTGTTCTATATGTAGGCTTTATTGTATTTGTATTTAAATCCAATATTCATAGGCACTCTCCGCCCTAACAGTCTAAAATCGATGGTCTTGCTTCTCACAATGTTGACTCCATATACAGACACAGATATTTTCATTGACACGCAATTCCTAAACCACTGAGAAATTCATCAATGATATATCAAATCGAACGACCAATGATTCGATGCATTGTTTGCACCTCCGGGGACAGGCTCTTCAAAGCCGAAGCGAGGTCGTCGGCAGCTTGAACCAGAACATCGTCTGTGAGCGGCTCTAATGCATCCAGGATGAATAAAACACGCGAGGTATCATCGGTCAAAGCAGTCCGTGGGCCCTGTCGCCAGTTCCAGCGTCGGCAAGTGATGCCACTGTCGTCACGCCAAATTGGCTCTCCTGGCGCTGCAAGTTCGGTTTGTGGTTTCCCACCAGAAAATATTTGAAATTCTTCATCACCAGAGGCACGGACCAAGACGGGAGATCCGTCGTATTTGTCAAGGTCCTCACCTCCGAATGGGATTTGATATTTGACAGAGATGGCATTGTAGATGTCGGTCAACCGGTTGACTCGCGGCAACCCATCCTGTGCGCGACGAGTCAAAGCTTCGAGGCTGTTGCGCGTTTTTTGAGGCTTAGCTCCGAAGCTTTTGTAAGCCTCACGCCATGCAGCGATGTGTGGAAGTTCTGTAACGGGGCAATTGGATAATTTGTCCTTGACGGAATTTTCAGCCTCTTTCAGGAGAGCCTCGCTGAAACCATCGCTTGGGCCTGCGGGAATACCCTCAACCACCATTAGGAGGACGCGATAATCCGGACGTAACTCGAAGATTTCCGGGGCTACATGTGTACTCTGGAGTAAGGTTTGGGCATCTTTTGTCCTGCTCATGACTGAGAATGAATGAAAGAAATGTACGCGAGTTGTGACTGATTGCTGTAAGCTGGGCGTAAGAAAACAACGTAGGGGAAGAAAGTTGTGGATTATTCTCAGAGTAATCTAAAATACCTACGAGGAGGACCAGTTTATATACACTAGTAAATTGGGGCAGAATCGAAGGCGAACCATCTAGTCTGTTAAAATTTTCATCGAGCCACTGCTCTGAGTCTTGTTAACGTAACCTTGTTTTCACAGAGATAGATTTGAAGAATTTTTCGCTGCTCTTTAGCTCCTCTCCCTTCAAGTTCCTAAGATGGTAAATAGTGGGTAGAATGTTGAAGTTCCACATCGTCCTCAGGGCTGTTGTAGCAGTAAACACTTCCGAAAAAGGCAGTTGATGGGAGTGGGGTCAATTTAGTGAATACCGCTGTCTGGTTGGCTGTTTCTATGAACCTGAATGGAATCTTCCAAGGTTGGTCTTTCCGTTGTTTCAAGTCCAACTGAGGAAGCCGGGGTTGTCTGTCTTTGAGTTTCGCGAAGCACATTGATATATTGACCTGTGTATATACCGTACTTCATATTGCACCAACAGAATTGCCCCGGTAAGTCCTACATACCTCCAATTTACCAGAAGCTGGCCGGAATACACTCCCTATTGTATAAGCCTAAGTCTTACGACATTTGGATTTTACACGCACCTTATAAAGTATGTATACAAGGTAGACGGCCCCTCATACGGCCTGATGATGTCTTTTTTAGAAGGCCTTCAAGTTTTCTTTGCAGTTCTATTTTCAGTTTTCCTTGGATATCTTGAAGATAGTTTTCCCCTTTCCCACTCTTATAAGTAAATGACAGAAAAAGGCAAGAAAATCATACTTTCTGTGATATCCTTTTCTTTAAGATCTGCGTCCATTCGTAGGAATTTGGCACGAATAGTTTCGCAAATACTAGGAAAGCAACACAGAGTAGCTTGGTTGAAGAAAGCGCCTTGTCTCACCAGGAGATTGACCTTTTGAAACAGTGATGACATTGCCATCTGGGTCAAGTCGTTCAATGTCGGAACCTACTTCTTCGATTTCTGCTGGCTCTGTGCTAGGCATTTGGTCCTTTATTTCAAGAAACCTGGGAAGGGAAAGATATCCAGAATGAATAGAAGCAGATATCTTCGTGATACACGTTTGATGTGCCCAGGAAGCAAATAGTGGGCAAGGGTAGAAGGTTGATGATCTACTTGTTGCAATGAAAGTCTTTATAGGCTCATAACAAAGAAAAAAGGTCTGAACCCGAGAAAAAGAGGCAAACAAAGATCTGACATGCATAGTCCAGGACAGTGTCATTCATTATTGTAGAAAAAAAAGCCTCTGCATTTGCATAACGGCAGAGGGAAACCTAACTGAATAGGGAAAACCTCCACCAAGACATGATAGTATCATAGATCAAACATCGTCTAGATCTGCATCTCCACCGGCTGCAAGGTCTATGATAGTAGCAAGAGGATTACGATGATCCGACTTTCCTTCAACCTTATTTCCACCTTCCCTTGCTATTGCAAAGGTGGCAAAGACGACAGAGAAGATAGTGATGAATTTCATGTTGGGGATAGGTCTCACAGAGGTGATGGATAGTCATAAGATATTTGAGAAAGCCCAAGTATCAGTGAGTACATATAACAATATGCTACATCACATGGGCATTACTCTTCCGGCTTGATGTTTTCGGATGATTTTCCTCCCCGAATCGACTCTAGAAGATGACTAAGCGGCCCTTGGGCCCGCCGCGGGGAGATAAAAAAAAATGCGATAACATTCCCCACAAGATACCGAATGTCCCTTTCAGGAATTGAATGCTTGTTTTTGCGCTGGTCATTACATTGATTTGACATGACGACACGCAATCCCCTTCCACTCCCTGATGAGTGGAAAGATCCCGACGAATATGTCCAGGCCCTCCTCTCCTTCGCAACCGAATCGGTTATGTTCATGAACGTTTGCGGTGGAGTGCATATCCTCGATTTCCTGACGCGCGATCCCGATCTTTACACCTCACTACTGCCGGAAGACTGGCGATCATTCTTTGACCATCATGATATCCACAGCATCTTGCAACTACTCCTACGAGAGGACATTAGCCCGCTCTGCGAACCCGCCGAAGTAAATTCTCCCCCGAGAATGGCAGGACTTGGAACGGAGGCGCATTCCCGCCCGCAACGCTCCTGGAGTATATTCGCAACATTCGACGACTGAGCTTCCGCCGCGAATTTACCCCACCTGAGAAGAGCGAATCTCTCCCGAGACATATTGCTGTCGGCATGAACAAGAAGAAGAAGCACGAAGTAGAGCAATTCTCTCGCTATGTCGCATCTTTGTCGGAGACTGTTAACGAGCGGCGCGGAGAGCCCTTGTCTCACATTGTCGACTTTGGATCGGGACAAAACTACCTGGGGCGCATGTTGGCAAGCTCGCCATATCATAAACATATCATTGCCATTGAGCGAAAGCACCAATACATAAGCGGTGCTAACCGTATGGATGTTCATGCTCGACTGGCAACCGAAGAAAAGAAAAAGACAATTCATAATGCAAAGCAAAACAAACTCAAAAGGCAATGCATCGACTGTACCGACACCCCAGAACTAACCCCAGACCTGGCCATCTCGGAAACGCCTCGGGTTCCTGCCTCGGAGACGGTAGCCCCAATGGAAGTCAATGATGCAGTGTCAGAAGAACCTCCCGCGCAGGATGTAGATACGACAACCTCTCACATGCTAGGCGAGATGACATTAGAAGCCCATGATGTGCTCGGCTCGACCCACAAAATGCAACACAAGCCACACGTACCAAAGCCACGACCGGAGGTCGATACCAGAGGCACCGTCAGTTACATTGAACATAATATCCAAGATGGCTACCTGGAACCGATCATCGAGCACGTCGTCGACCCAAAGACGTCGGTTGAAACCCGGACCAGCACAGAAGAAATTATTGAACCAGAAGAAAAGAAACCGAGTGACGCCCGGGTGATGGTCGTATCTCTGCATTCATGCGGAAACCTCGTTCATCACGGAGTCAGATCACTGGTTCTCAACCCTTCCGTTGTAGCAATTGCCATGATCGGCTGCTGTTACAACCTTTTGACAGAGCGATTGGGACCAGCAACATACAAAATCCCTATCCTTCGATCCGCCCACCCTCGTCTCAAACGAACTGGATCTTCATGGGACCCACACGGATTTCCAATGTCCAAGCTCTATGAAACCTATCAAGCGAAGACTACCACAGGCTTCAAACTCAACATCACAGCCCGCTCAATGGCCGTCCAAGCGCCCCACAACTGGGGCCGCGACGACAGCGAAGGATTCTTCACACGCCACTTCTACCGCGCTTTACTGCAGCGCGTTCTTCTAGACCGTGACATCATTCCTAAGCCTGATATCCCAGATGATCTCTACAAAGATGATACAGATGACCCCGAGGCCGGGGGTATAGCGCTGATCGTGGGATCCCTGCGCAAAACCGCATTCGAGTCTTTCCCTGCATATGTGCGCGCTGCAACGGTCAAATTGAGCCGTGATCCGACCCGTGGCGAGTTGATCAAGGAGCGCATCTGTACCATGTCAGAAGAGGAGTTGGAGCGCTATGAAGCGGACTACTTGCACACGCGCAAGAACCTCAGTGTTGTGTGGAGTCTGATGGCGTTCAGTTCTCAAGTTGTGGAGGCTGCTATTGTGGTTGATCGCTGGCAGTTCTTGCGTGAGCATGACTCTGTCAAGGAGTGTTGGGTTGAGCCGGTCTTTGAGTATGGTCAGAGTCCGCGCAATCTGGCTGTTATTGGGATCAAAAAATGATTTTTATTATCGTTTGGCTTTGGTTGCATTTAGATACGGTGGGGAGTTTGTGCTTTCGAGCTTGAGGCATTCCGTGATTCTGGGGAGTCTCAGTGCATAGCTGGTGGTTTACTTTTGGACATACATGCATATAACGTGGGGTTCACGAACATATCCTTGTCGACTGTGAAAGGCCGCTACAATCCTTTTTTTTTCGGATATCTGGCTAGGTGGACATGATTATACATAGATGTAACCTGCGGCCAACTGCATATATGCATATCAAAACTTGGTGTGAGCTGCGTCCTACCATTTCTCGCCTTTTTAACAATAAAAACTCACCCCGACATCGGAGCTCGAGAAAAATGCATCTACCTCGGTACTTTGTCCTGAGCCTAGATCTTCTGGAGCAAGAGGCCCAAGTCATACTACCCAGGTGCACACAGGTATAAGATTTTTGAATGAATGTCACTAGATTCGCAAGACGATTTCGTACAAATACTATCATCTTCTCTCCGCCAACACCCCAATCATTCTGTTCCCATACCCTCTAGTTCATCAAAATATAAGACATAACGTATGTATCAAAAGGCAGTCCACTTCGTTCCACAAGCTGCTGCAACTTCTCGCGCCGGTCTACCAATCATTCCCTTCCAAAATTCAGAAGTACCAGGCGGAACGAGCTCTTCAATCTCCAAAGATAGCAAAGCATCGAAGGTCCAGTCCTGGCACCGGCCAATCGAATCTTTCGGGGCTGGCTCCTTCTCGATAACTTTGATCGCATCGTGTCGCTGCTGAGATGTGAGATCGGCAATTTTGCACATCCCCACAGCCCCCTTATCGATGATCTTCGTCGCATACCGAGGCGCAAATCCGTACCACAGCCTGTCCGAATCAATAACCTCGACTTGGAGGAGATCGCCGAATTCCAGATTCCCGGGTTTGTTGATCATGAACCCCCAGTGGGATCGGTGTGTGGGGCTATCGCCAGGTCCGAAGACTTCTATTGAGAGGTTGTAGGCCATGTTCTATGCGGTCAGCCTGAGTTTATTTCATGCACTGTGATGAATTTACCTTTTCAAGTAATTTTTGTGTGTATGCAGAACTTCCACAGATGATAATTTCTCACGAGATGTGGTCTCATAGCTTGGCTTAGGCAATTAGCCTATACCAATCAGTGTTAAGATCAGATGACTTGGATGTGATCGAAATCGACGAACCTGAGAAGCCGACCAATTGTGGGTTGTCGATAGGCGCCATAACCCCTCTTTGACAGATCGAGTCTGCCACTAGAGAATATATCACAAATCCTGTAGAATGTTGACAGATCTCACTAAAAATTGATCTGTTCCAGTCGTGGTCATCGAGCGCTGATTTTGCACGTGCTGAGACTCGCCAATTGCGTTCTCTGGCTCCCCTGCACCTCATATCGAACACCCCAACCATCCAATTCAGAGACACCAAACTGTTAAATAACATTCAATTTTATACATGTAATCTCGTAGGTTCAATTAATCTCCACACTCCCTTCAGGCACACCCTGCCTACTCCTTAACCGGCGCGCAAAGAACTGCATAACAGGCAACATCTCCTCCCGATTCGACGGCATCCCATCCCCCTTCCTGGCATAACGGCTCACCTCAACGAACTCAAAAACCTGTTTCGTCCTACGCACCGCTTCATCCGACACCGCCACTGAATCCCTCCCAGCAACCAGCAGCACCGGCGTCCGATTCTTATCACCGACCCTAGATCCAGATAACGGATACGGCGCCCCGATAGAGATAACCCCAGACAAAGTACCGACCTCCCCACTGCCGAGGTTACCATTACCCCTCAATCCGAGCTCCCGCGCAATAGCAAGCGCAGCCATTCCGCCCTGTCCAAAACCCAGCACCATAATCTCGCGCAGCGCATACCCGCATTTCTGCACGAGTGTGCCGCGCACAACCTCTGACACAAGCTTCTTGGTGCTGCGCGTCAGACCGGCGTCCATGTCTAATGCGCCGGTTGCAGAGTCAAAGGAGACATCGTCGCCCCAGTGGGATCCGCCCAGGTCGAAGGGGAGTGGGGCTGTGCCTTGGACTGTGACAATTGTTGTTTCGGGGAGACGGATCGCTTCGGCGAACCTTGTGAATGATGCGGCCGTGTCGCCGAGGCCGTGCAGGAGGAGGAGGATATTTGGGGCTGGGGATGTGGATTGGGAAGGGGAGGGCGGTGCAGGTGTGACGGTGACGGTGAGGTCGGATGGGAAGTCGGATGGAGTGGGGTTTTTGGTTGGCATTTTGGATCGGGTTAGGTTGAGGTGAGCTGAACCGAGTTGAACTGGAGCTTGCGGAGCTTGAGCTCGGAGAATGGGAGTGTGGCTGAAGTGCGTGGTAAGTGTGGCTTAGACCTCCCGTTTCAGCCTCGGAAGGTTGTTAGTAAGGATATGGTAAGGAGCCCTTGATCAGTACAAAGTACGGAGTACAATGTATACATGTTGCCAATAAACGGAGTAGTATACGGAGGAATACTACTGTCATTCCGTATATTAGTCAATGATGTACGGGATACTCCGCTTACGTCTCACATGGGGAGACGAGTTCACCTTCGGCTGATGTATTATGGTTGCCTGGGGTGGATCAGAATGCATATTGTTTGCCATTGCCTTCGAGTGGTTCTTATGGAGGTTAGGGTAGTATCAGTGATCTGACACATGTGGCGTTGTGTCTAAAATAGCCGGCCAATACACACTGGTAAAGATTGTTTCCTTTTTCCTCCTTTCAATAATCTAGACTACACATACTCCGTGGTTATCCCAGACTCACCCCCATTGAAGCATGTGCTGACATAATAATATGTCGCGGCCCACCTGCGATGATCAAACCGTGTGCTATTTTAGTCTAGGTGTGGCTTGAGGTCGATGTTCCAGTACGTAATCGGCTTGGGATGAGCCTCGTGTATTAGAAGGCACTCTTGAGTTCAGTTTTACCCTCGAGCACATCCTAAGATACGCTCTACAACTTCACTGTTGAGGCAATTACACGCAATCACACCTGGCATTCCATGTTCACCGCCACTTACTCGTGGCTAGTGTTGCCGAGACTCGTAAGGCGACAACAAGCCTTAGGGAGAGGCTTGGCGGCTCGGCTAAACCGGGCTCTTGCCTCTTGATGTCTTGGCATCTAATAAATTAGTTTCTAACTTTTGAAATGCGTAATATGTACTGTATAATGGGCATTCAATGGAGCTAGTATCGCCTGTGTCCTCTCCTTATTCGTTTGTTAATAGTGGGGTAGGGCTGAGATGACCCATTCAGATCCATCAGATCGGCGCATTATTGGACATCGGGAAAACTCGTAACGCCGAGAGGGTGGAAGTTGTACTGTGTGTTCAGCGTCTCGGAAAGCACCCCACGCAAAGTAAGATTTGTAGTACGGCATGCATCGTACAAAGTGTAACAAGGTGATATCTATGCGCTGTGGAGTTAGGCGGTTTGATATGTATATGGATTGTTTCTCGGGACAACCCCTGGACCAAGCATACTATTGGAGGAAGGTCGTTCAACTGGGACTCAGTGAAAGCTAAAACACCTCCTAGCGGATATCATTACAAAAAGTCCGCTGTATATTATTACTGGCCAATTAGGTCGCAGACTAGCGATGCGGTGGTGCTGACGATTTCACCGCAGCTCCCAATGAAGTCGTATCCTCGTCGCCCGAGATATCCGACAATAACTACAATGTACGGAGTAAGTACCTGTCCAAATCAACCAGCTAGGGCCAAATACTCTTGAAGTCAGCTCTGATTCGTGTACTAGACTATAGAGGGACGTATTGGCTCCGCCCTCTAACATATCTACATCATACATTGAAGGTATATGCATAGGACCCGGACACTATTCTCGTAGATCGGATGGATGGTGGGGCGACTCAAGTTGAGACAGGGGGGAGAAAGCTATACCCAAATCTTAGTACAACGTGGACTACGTACTCCTTAGCCCTTCTGGAGTATTCCGCGGTCTCGCTTCTGTTGCGTTGGTATAAGATCCCCTCATCCCCCTCACTGCGGTTACACACCTCGCTTCTTCCACACTTTACAATCCTCCTTTCACTTTCCTCCTTTTATCTATATAACTTCAAAATGGCTTGGGGCTGGGGTAAGTCTGATCTCCCTGCAGAGTAGAGACGCTCATAAACCCTTACTGCTTGCATGCACTAGGGCCCGAGCCGACCTGCATAGCCGGCGATATCTCAATATGTCTCTATTGGCCATGAAAGCGAAAGCCATGCTGACGCCAAGCTAGAGGAATCCGAGCATGCGCACCGGGAGGTGTACAACGGTGAACAGCACCACGAGGGCAAGTTCTCTCATGAGTTCGCTGCCGGTGCCGCTTCATTTGCCGCCATGAAGGCCTACGAGGACTACGAGCGCAAGGAAGGTAGGTGAAACACTGCATTGCATTCCTAAATTGATAAATAGATGAGCAATTTCTAACTTGGATTCGAACAAACAGGCAAGCCAGTCAGCCACGCTTTCGCGAAAGAGCTCATCGCCGGAATCGTCGGCGGCGAGGTCGACAAGCTCGCCGAGACTAAGGGCATGGACTGGTTTGACCGTGAGAAGGCCCACCGCCACGCCAAGCAGAATGCCGAGCACATGTACGAGGAGCGTTACGAGCGTCGCAACTACTAAGTCACTCGTTTCGGCGATGGCAATGGATGAATAATGAAACTTGTTTTATAAACGCCCTGTGATCGTATGTCGTAAGAGAGACATGTGATGTATCCAGCAATTTGATTGTCGCAATTTCGTACCTGAAAGAGCGGTGAAGTAAGGTGTCAAATAGAACTCCGTATCCAAGCCAGATATACGGAGTAGATATCGACGTCGTATGTATATCGCATGTACGGAGAACCGAAATAGGAAGCACGATGCACGAACTTGCATCGCATAGTTCCGACAAGACGTACGTAGCCCTATACGTACGTCTACCTCCCTCAAACGCACTCAATATGCACCAGAAAATATGCGCCAAGCTTCAGCATGGATTCCGGAGCTTTTTTTAAGCCAGTAATCACCATAAGAGCCCACCGACCGCATTCCGGCCGCATTCCAATGCTGTCGTAGCTTAGATAGGAGACCAGTCGTTGGGTCAATCGCCGATGTATTGCGTCGTCTTGGATGTTTGCTTTTTGTCATGTACAGAAATTGGGTACCGGACTGCAAGGCTGAATATTGGATCAGCCGTGGAGTATGGAAGTGAGGATGTCCCCAGTTCTTAGATTCCCCTAACTTTAGTAGGAATCTGGCCTTGTGGGGTCAGACCTAGTTACAGCCAATCAACATCCAAGGATGACCGATAGCGGGTTGCTGGCCTGACAATCCAGGCGTCCAGAGCTGATGAGCTCATACACGTGCTAAAAGTATAGGGTCAGCTAAAGAGTTTTGCGGTGTTGCAGTCTCTCTGGGAGATTCTCGAGTTTTATATATCGTCTTGGAATTTCTATTTATTTTTCTTCGAGATTCTTCTTTTCGACACTATTCGTTCTTCCCCCTATATCCTGGGCTTTGAGCTTTGATTCACTGCCGCCCAAGCTTTACCCCTCGCACTTGTGTATCGAAGCAGACAGTTCTAGATCCAAGACTGTATGAAATGACGGCGGTTCGTTGTTCAGGATGAAATTTGCCAAGTTTGTACCCCCGGGACAGTGACGGTGTGCGACATTCCAGTGGCTGACTCAATCCGCAGAGAGCTAGAACAGGAACTAGTTCCTGAATGGCGGGCAAAGTATCTCGACTACAAGGTAGGTCGTTTTCGCTACATTTATTGTGTAACAGTCGCGCTTACCTGGATATATATCTAGACCGGCAAAAAGAAAGTCAAAGCCATCACTCGGGCGCTCCAGAAGGCACACCGCAGTCCCCATGTCTCGTCCAATCGATATCCTACTCCCAACCTGCAAGGTCGCGCTGCATCGCACTCTGCTCTCACGCCCTCCAATACCGATAAACATCTCGATGCTGCAGCAGACAATTTCCAATCAACACCACAGCGAAATGGCGCCAACTCGCCATCCATAGCGCGCTCCACGCCAGTGCCCAGAACCGAGCGACAACCGCTTCGCACGCCAGGATCGCGATTTTCTGAAAATGTTGGTAGTTATGGAAGTATACTAGCAACGCCACCCCCACCACACCATACAGCAGGCTCAGACATAGCCTCCTTTGAACTTCCGGACCCGGCACTTGACCCAGATGAGGATTATCTGCCACACGAGGATACTACAGACAGACCCAGACATCTACGGACACCTTCACCTGTCATGGAACGCCGTGGTATAGGGAACGGTTCGCCCTCTCATCCTATTTCAGAGCCCTTGCCGGCCCAGAGGCCGCAATTGGACCAACGCATGAGCTATCAAAGTCAGATGGGTGACGCCTTGACAAAGGTGACGTCGGGCAACCGCACATCACAGCTTCTGCGGCGCGTGTTCACAGCCGAGGGAGAGTCCGGCGGGAGACGATCACAGTATGATTCTGGCGCTGGCGCCGAGTTCGATAAACGCCAAGACGAGTTCTTCGAGTTCTTGGATAGCGAGCTAGAGAAGATCGATTCATTCTATGTGATGAAAGAGCAAGAGGCCACCGAGAAACTGCGGGTTCTTCGCCAGCAGTTACATATCATGCGAGACCAGCGCATCCAAGAGGTCCTGGCCGCTAAAAGAGCCGCCAAAAGTGACCACCCCCAGACACAGCAGCGACCAAATGGATTTGCAAAAATCAAGAGTGCTCGAATCAGGGATACGCTTGGAGGGAAAAATCGTTTCGGCAAGAACACGGAAGCACTGGCGCAGATGGCCACTCCTGGCATGCACCCCCAAGATCGGGAATTCATTGCCAACCGGAGAGACTTTATGCGGCGACAGGATCCACAGAGCAATGAAGTGCCCTACCGCTCTGCTAAGCGCAAGCTCAAGCATGCATTGCAGGAGTTCTACCGCGGAGTGGAACTGCTCAAAGGATATGCTTACTTGAATCGAACGGCTTTCCGAAAGATCAACAAGAAATATGATAAAGCGGTTAATGCCCGCCCACCGCTCCGGTATATGTCTGACAAGGTCAACAAAGCGTCCTTTGTACAGAGTGAGGTGATTGAGAGCTTGATGGTAGCGGTCGAAGACTTGTATGCCCGTTACTTTGAGCGTGGTAATCGCAAAATCGCCGTCTCCAAGCTCCGTCACACAATCAACAAATCCGGTGATTACTCACCAAACACTTTCCGCTCTGGTCTCTTGTTGATGGGTGGGACTCTGTTTTCCATCAAGGCCTTGGTCGATGCTTCGGAAAACCTTCGCTCAGGTGAGGCCACTGAAAAAGTTCGGACCAGTTATCTCCTCCAGGTATGCTTTTCGCTCTTTCATCTGTTGCTTAACCTCATTAACCGATTGAGCAGATATATGGTGGGTATTTCCTCATTGTGTTCCATGTCTTGCTCTTCTGTTTGGATTGTATGATCTGGACAAAGTCGAAGATCAATCATGCATTTGTTTTCGAATACGATACCAGACACACCCTGGAGTGGCGTCAGTTGCTGGAGGTATGTCCTATTTGATGAGCTTTGATGATTCATCCTGACAACTAGGTACAGATTCCTGCTTTCTTCTTGTTCTTGATGGGCCTATTCATGTGGCTCAACTTCTCATGGTACAACCACATGTATATCTACTGGCCTGTGGTCCTTATTGGCTTGACGATTATAATTGTTTTCTTGCCGGCCCGTGTCCTCTATCACAGAAGCCGCAAGTGGTTCGCTTTTTCCAATGTGAGTTGATATGACATTGCACCGATGTCCATCTAGCATATCTGACCGATCTAGTGGCGCCTTTTGCTTGCCGGAATTTACCCAGTCGAGTTTCGTGATTTCTTCCTCGGCGACATGTACTGTTCTCAAACATATGCCATGGGGAACATCGAGCTCTTCTTCTGTCTATATGCCTCGTACTGGGGCTACCCTCCTAAATGCAACTCCTCCCACTCTCGGCTCTTGGGCTTCTTCCAATGCCTTCCCTCTGTCTGGCGAGCTTTCCAGTGTATTCGTCGATACTTGGACACGAAGAACGCATTCCCCCACCTCCTGAACTTGGGCAAGTACATATTTGGCGTCCTTTACTATGCCACTCTCAGCATGTACCGCATCAACCTCCACACGCGGTTCCAAGCCGCATTCATCACCTTCGCTCTCTTGAACGCCGTCTACACCTCAGTATGGGATCTAATCATGGATTGGAGTTTGGGTAATCCTTACGCCAAGAACCCAATGCTCCGTGAAGTCCTCGCCTTCCGTCGCGTATGGGTATACTACGCCGCAATGCTGCTTGACGTGGTCGTCCGTTTCAACTGGATCTTCTACGCTATATTTATCACCAATATCCAGCAGTCCGCCTTGCTAAGCTTCATGGTCGCCTTCTCAGAAGTCTGCCGTCGTGGCGTCTGGTCCATTTTCCGCGTTGAAAACGAGCACTGCACAAACGTCCTCCTCTTCCGTGCTTCCCGTGATGTCCCTCTCCCCTACGACATTCCCTCCCCAGCACCTGCGCCCCTCGACGGCTCAGCGGAAGACGTCCAACTCCAAGACCAGCAACAGCACGTCTCAACACCCTTCATGTCGCCCGGTGATGTCGAGCACGGCACCCCGTCCATGTCTAGTATGCGCGCTCGCCACCGTCGTCCCTCGATTACTATTAGCCGAGTCGGCACGATCGTGGCCTCAGCCCACGCCCAAGATTTCGAGCGAAGACGTCAACCTAATTTCCTATCCAGCGCGAGTGTTGGACGGGATATGGCGCACCGCGCAGACGATAGCACGGACGAAGACGACGAGGCGGATCTCAGCACGGATGAGGATTCGAAGTCAGTGGCTGAAGGTCAACGGTCGAGGCCGGGCTCAGAGCGCAGGGATACGATGGGGAGAATTCTTGAGTAGGTTTCAGCAGTGGGCTGTGTCAATTGCCAGTGCCAATTACCACGGATATTGTTTATCTGCCCCATCGGGACGTCGCTTTGACGTGATGTGAAACTATAGATATCCTCCAGTATCTTGCATATACTTCTTATCTTGCTATAAATATTAATATTGGTTTCGGGGTCAGCTTTCCTCGCCACAATCGTAGGAGATACCCCAACGGATATTTGGCCCGAGACCGGCCTGAGGTAGTTGTTTCCTCGGAAGCGTATCCGCCTGGTACGTGCTCCTTCCTCTTCTATACACATGGCCGAGCCACGGGGAGACCTGCCTGATACAATCATCGGGTGGGTGTCCATGAGGATAACAAAACAACCTTGGAAGGTGACCTCGGGATACTAGGCCCAAGTTGCATGGCTATTGCGGGAGAACTGCGTGTACTTTTGGCCGAGAGCTTTGAACGAGCTTTGAAACACTGCTTGGTAGCCTCAGGCCACCAATTGGATCGAGACCACCTGGCATGTAGTTAGGTCTCTCTTCCTCTCCCTCTGTCCTCCCTCCTCCCTCCCATCCACTCCGCTACTCACGGAATGAATGCAACCGTTCCTCTCTTCACAGAGATCTTTGGTTGTGTAACGTCCCCTAGAAGTTCCCATCTAGGAAGTTGTCTCCGGCCTAGATCCAGCGCGGTGAACCTAAATCCAAATGTCTCTCGTCGGCCAGCGCCGGCAGTGTCTAGATCCTGCGTGGCGAGGCTTTTGTGGTCATGGACGAACATCGAGATTGGCCTAGCGGTGTATCTCTGCGGGCTGGAATATTGTATATTGCATACCCCCTTGCCTGTATCGCTCATGGCAGCAGCGCTGCCAAATTATGCCTCGATGGGATAGTAGAGTATTGAAGCGACGGTCGCGATTGGTAGCCGATGAAGACACACCGATTCGATATCTTCCGGATCTGTGAGTGAGCTGCGGGAAATAATCACCCTGCGAAAGAGGAAGAGAGAAGAAGCAAGATCAATGCGGAGGGACTTGTATTCTGCCATTGGCTTGATTTCCCAGCCTCCGATAGACTCAACAAAATATTTTTGTTATTGATGATGTCCCATCACCAAGGCAAGGACCTACCTATAGCGGTTACTGTCGTTTTGCTGTCTTGGCGGAGGACACCCTTGTCAGGATACCCATGTTAGGGCTATAGCTCTTACCGGCGGGATTGTTTCTAGAAGGCAACTCCATGCATGGATCCTGCATACTTTCACGGACCTCTTCTAGAACATTTCTCAGAAGAAAATCGCGCATGAACCGACAAGGTTCGAGACTATCGTGACCGGTCAGCGATAGAGATAGGATGCGATTGACAGCACATAATAAAAGTGGATCATACCGGGCGAACTAGTCTTCAAGTCCTATCTACTCCGTGCTCCGTACAGTGCACAAAGTACTGTCGTTCAACGTTTCATCGATAACTCCATATGCCAATTCAAGGAAAAGAATGAAGCCCTAGAGTGGATAAGACCAGTGGATAGGGCTCGTATTGCAAATTTTCGTCTACGGAGTGTCCGAACAGCAGAGATTAAGATTCTGACAGGGCGTATAGAGGCAAGTCGGTCTGATCCCTTTTCATATATGTACATTTCCGCAGCGCGGCTCGCAGTTGGCAGATTCCTATTTCGGTGTTCCGGGACTGCGACGATCGCACTCTCGCGTACCCAACCAAAGGGGCCAAACGGTACATTGTCAAACCCAACCAATGCCAAACAAGAGAAACATGAGATGTAATAGGATCATGATATCAACGTACAAAGTACCATATACACGTGAGCGGTGACCGGCTACGGTATCCGGTCTCAGCAAATGTCTCACGGAATAGGAACCGGTTGTCGGATGCTTGGCCACTGGAAAAGCCACCTAAGCCACCTAAGCCCCCTATTTTCCCTAATTTTTCTTTTTTTTCCCCTTTAACCCCTCATACGACAGTGACGTCGATCCTATGAAATCCAGCTTATCTGGATTGGATAATAGGGGGTTATCTCCTAGGCTGTTCAATGCCAGTTAGACTTTGATAACATTGATAACATTGATAAAGGATAAAGGTACTCCATACCTGAGTAGTCCAGTAGTTCTCTAGTCATATCCTAGGAACATAGAGAAAAGATGTCTATTGTACCATACAATATTACTCTGGTTTCTCGGGGCGTCCGGAGGCGTCCGGAGGCGTTTTTGTGGGCGTAATGTAGTTTAGTTAAGGTTGCACAATTCGAACTTCTCCGCGTCTCCCCATGGGGTAGTTATGGAGTTATGGAGCATCCCAACCCGACCATTGCAACTCCACATAGGTATCCACGTCCTTGTCGTCATACAGCGGGCCGGTCCTACATAGCGCAAGGTCATGTACAATATGCGATAATCTATTATTTCCCAGTTTGCCGGCCGATCTGCGCTTGAAGTCTGAAACCGGGTTAGCGTATGATTCCACTGCAAAGTGAGCGATTATAGCCAGTATCCACATCGGGGTCTTGTTAGACGACTCAGCATTTACTGCATTGACTCCAATTGACTAACCCTTATCTGCTCTCTGCCCCGTCTGTCAGGCAGCCGCTGGTCTGACGAGGGAGTTATAAGCGGCGTGGCATCCACATACTCCAAGACCCAGTTTTTGTATCCGCCTTACATTCTCCAGTCTCCAATATGATGGATATGAAAAAAGAAAAAGACCTTGAGGGTCTCACTCCATCTGAGAACAGTGATCTCAGCCGTCACGTTCAAAACCACGATGATGTGTTTGGAGAAATTACAGACTCCGGTCCCAACTACCGAAATGTATGTTCCTCTTCTATTTTTTATTCTTTTTTTTTGGATTCCATTTTGTTCTCCACAAAAGAAAATCCATGTAGGTCTAAACTAACACCTTTTTAGGTAGGATGGGCAGGAACAGTGATTCTCATGATGAAGAGTCAAATCGGCCTTGGTGTCCTCTCCATCCCAGCTGCTTTTGATACGTTAGGGCTCGTCCCAGGCATCATCTGCCTACTTATAGTTGCAATCATTACAACATGGTCTGACTACATGGTCGGTGTGTTCAAGCTCAACCATCGTTCAGTCTATGGTATCGACGATGCGGGTTTCTTGATGTTTGGTGCGATCGGTCGTGAGGTTTTCGGCTTTGTATTCTGCCTCTGTATGTCTATGGAATTCGAACAATTGTAGATCCACTACTAACCTACCTTCTAGATTGGATTTTCGTCGCCGGCTCAGGAATGCTTGGTCTTTCCATCGCCCTCAACTCCGTCTCAACTCATGCTACATGCACAGCTGTCTATGTAGCCGTTGCAGCCGTCGGAGGAATTGCCTTTGCCAGTATTCGCACTCTTGGAAAAATCAGTTGGCTCGCGTGGGTTGGACTAATTTGCATTCTGATTGCAAGTAAGTTCCCCCTGACGTCACAGGATATACCATAGCCCTAACCCGATTCGTACTATAGTCTTCATTGTCACTATCGCTGTCGGCGTTCAGGATCGCCCAGTCTTGGCTCCACAAGAGGGAGTCTGGGTATCTGATTACAAGATCATTGCCCATCCCAAATTCAGTGAAGCCATCTCTGCCGTGGCCTCGATGGTCTTCGCTTACGCCGGTACACCCGCATTCTTCTCCATCGTATCGGAGATGCGCGAACCCAGATACTATACCCGCTCGTTGATCATCTGCCAAGGCAGCGTGACTGCTGTCTACATTACCATTGGTGTTGTGGTCTACTATTTCTGCGGTTCTTACGTTGCCTCGCCTGCTCTTGGTTCTGCTGGTGCCACTATGAAGAAGATTAGTTATGGTTTTGCCATTCCCGGTCTTCTGGTCACTGTGATGCTGTTCGTCCATGTAAGCGCTTCCTTCCTCAGATATTTCTTATTCTCGATCGATCATGAGCTAACATAACAATCTAGCTACCCGCAAAGTTCATTTTCGTTCGCGCCCTCAGAGGCTCCAAGCACCTCACTTCCAACAGCATGGTGCACTGGGGATCCTGGATTGGCTGCACCGCAGGTGTCGGTCTGATCTCTTACATTATCGCAAGCGCCATTCCCGTCTTCGACAGTCTCGTCTCGCTTATCGGTGCTTTGCTTGGCACATTCATGTGTTTCCAGCCCATGGGCTGCATGTGGTTGTATGATAACTGGAGCAAGGGCAAGGTCGACCGTTCCCCGAGATGGATGGCCATGGTTTGCTGGAGTGTATTCGTTGTTGTTATAGGTACTTTCATGATGATCGCTGGTACATACGGGTCTGTTGTCAGCATTATGGACAGTTACGCGGCAAACGGTGGTTCGGCTGCTTGGTCCTGCGCGGACAATTCAAATTCTTCATAGATCGGGGGGACCTAGAGGTCAGTGGCAGATTTCTGCTACTGTGTCTGAAACGGGTGTATTAGAAAACTTATATATATTTAAAGTGAATTAGAAATGTCATATACTTCAATGTGTTCCTGTCTTCATATTCTATATGCTAGTAGTTACTGTTTTATAGTGGTACAAAAAGGGACCAAGTTTGCTCCTATTGATGTCTGAAAGCTAAGCTTGATTGCGTAGTTTATCTCGAGAAACCAGCTGCCGACTTTGCAGACTTATCTTCTCTTCATCACTTCGCATTTACTCTAGCACATCTTTTTATCCTCTCGTTCTTTTGATCAAGCAAAAATGTCGAGTACAATCTATTGCAACACATTTAGCCTACCGACTATTGCAGAAACCCAAGCATTTACTGATATTCTCGCAAAGGATAAATTGACCACAGTCGTCCGAGTGAAAGAGCACTTTGCAGTCAACCATGGACAACATCTTCCTCTTATTGAGGCCGAGAACCTCCAATTTCTTGCTGACCACACTATCCCCGTTCCAAAAGCCTGTTCAGCATTCACCGACCCAAAGACAGACCTACGATACCTCGTTATGGAATATATCCCTGGTCAAACCCTCAAAAAGCTGCTTCCATCCTTGGAACTCACTAAAAAGACCAAAATCTGCAACTTGCTTAAAGATGCTTTCGCCAAGCTACGCGAAATGCCCTCACAAGGATAGCTCGGGGCCTTGAATTATCAGCCGTATCAAAGCGGATTCTTCATGATAGATGATCAAGAGCCCGGGTTTGCTGGCCCGTTCAGAAATCAACCAGAGATGGATGTCACAATCCTTGAGATACTCTCGTGCCTCACGAGACCTGCGTACGTTCGACTGCTACAGGAGATTGTGGATCGTACCTTTGCTGGCCAAAGAACGGTGTTCACCCACGGAGAATTGAGATCGAAGCATGTCATCGTCGAAAGAGATGGGCTTGGGGAAGATGGCAGTACGGACTTCAATATCTCGACCATTGAATGGGAAGCTGCTGCGTACTCTGAGTATTGGGAGCTCTGGGAGGCAGCCATTGCTTGTGCACCGGAGTTCGACTGGATTGATTAGCTTAGGGTGATTTTTCCATGTTATCATATGGAATTTTTGATGTTGCAGAGTATCCATAGTACTGTGTGCTGTTGAAGGAATGGTGAGTGTTCAAGTAATTTTCTAATCGATATTTCTGACTGATCCGCAACGATCTCTGATATCGTCATCTTTTATGGTTGTTTCCCGTACAATGCTCTCACTCCAAAACCGTATACCATCGACCCTCGATATATATATCTATGAGAATAGTCAGCCGTCCATGCCGCTTTCTCATGTACTGATAGTTTTTTGTGTCATTTTCCCTGATATTACCTTGAATTTTCGCCTCTTAAATATCTTCTGCTCTCTCCCTCTCTTTCCCCCTAGTAGCTAGAAATAAGGAAACGTACAGCCAACTTGCCTAGTAACCGAAGATCCACCAAGTCCATCCACTTAGACCCCACAAAAGTGTATACGTAAGCAACACTTGGCCCCATATTTGGCTTATCACACGTGACCCGTCACATCACTTGGGGCTCCACCTCCAGGCTTCACTCATCTCTCTCTTTATCGATTGATTCCAACTTTCAACACCAGTACTGAGAGACCAAACGTTTCTCAACCTACAAATATGGCTGCAAATACCAGATATGAGCCCGCTCCGCAACGGGACTCCCTAGACGACCCGCCCTACTCCCATGCCCCTCCCTCCTATCAGGCTACAGCGGAGCCGGCGCCTCGCAGTGAGGGCGACAATCTGCCAGATGATTTCAAGGTATGTATAACGCCATCAGAGGACCTTGCCGGGGCTAGAAAGATGAAAACTGACAAACCTAGTTTGGAGGCACCGTTGCCGAAGGCACGATTGACATCCGAATGCAATTCGTTCGGAAAGTATACTCCATTCTGTAAGCCCAACACCATTTACAAGCGCAGATACAAGCGCATAGATTCTACAGAGTCTCTACTAATACACCTCGCTCAGAACGGCCCAACTCCTCCTCACAACGATCCTCAGCTCGATCTCCTTCTTCAACGCCTCCTACCGCACCTGGATCCAATCTAACTTCTGGCTGATGATAATCTCCGTCTTCGGCGCTCTGGGCTTCATGCTCGCAACATTCTGGAAGCGAAAGTCTTACCCAGCAAACCTTCTTTTCCTATCAGGCTTCACCATCCTCGAAGCATACTCAATCAGTGTGGCGACATCTTTCTATGACGCGAAGGTAGTTGTCCAAGCGCTCGCCTTGACGCTTGGGATCTTCGTCGCCTTGACGCTTTTCGCATGCCAGACCAAGTATGATTTCACTGACTGGATGCCATATCTGTTCGGCGCACTGTGGTTCATGATCCTGTTCGGATTCGTGGCTATGTTCATCCCGTTCAACAGCACCATTGAGATCGTCTATGGTGTGCTTGGTGCGCTCATCTTCTCGGGCTATATTCTTGTCGATACACAGCTGGTTATGCGGCACTATCATGTTGAGGAGGAGATCGCTGCTTCGATCTCGCTTTATCTCGATGTGCTCAACTTGTTCATGTCCATTCTGCGGATTCTGAACGGTGCTAACAACAATAATTAATTGCGCATTGAAATAGCTGAAGGCTGAGAAGAGATACGTTCAATTTCGCCTGAATTGCCAATTTTACTAGGTATCAACCAGAAGGTAGTTGCTGGACAAACAAGCTTGGGTTTTGGTGTTTTTCGGAACTGGTTTGGATGAGTGTCTTTCTGCTTTACATCTGGCTTTGAATCGCTCTCTACTGTACACTTTTCTTTATACACATCTTGAACTTCTACTCATTATGAGTTTACCTTGAATCTTATCTGTCTCTTTTTTCCTTATCCAAACAAAACAACCATTGTATCCGCATAAAATTAGCAGTCAGCCAATATGGAAATTAAGCAACCAAGTCAAATAGATACAATTCTCCAAACGCCCAGCATGAATAACCCAGCCTTGGAAATCAAATGAAATTTAAACTTTGCAAAGAGCAATATCCAATAGGATATACACATAACAACGAAAATCTAGAGTAGCGCACCAACGAGAAAGAATATGCAAAGGAATGAGCCTAATGAACAGGCAAGAGAATCCAAGAGCCTTGTTCCTTGGACGGTAAGAGGCAGGCCCAAAGATCATGATAAGATCAGGCCCAAACCAACAAGAGTGCGGAAGAGAATCTTCATGCAGAGGCCAGGGAGCTTATTAATGTGAGATTTTGAAGAACGTGTTCGTAATGAGGCACACAATCATCACAACCAAGCCGTAGAGAGCCAATGCCAGGCTGAGTCGGCGAAGCAACGCCTTGCGCCAGTGGCGGCTGCCGCGGCGCAAAATGCCACTCTCAGTCAATGAGCGAGCGAGGGAACCCTCGTTGTCGTCGTATTCGTCATCATCAGAGAGATCATCCTCCGCCTCGTCATCCTCTTTCATTAAGACCTGGTGGGTAGGTGAGTCGGGCGAGGATATTTTGTAATAGAACAAGCCCGGGAGAATGAAGCTGATGCTCGTGCTGCCAGTGCTCCCGACGTATGCCAGTACGGATTCGAGGGAGGACACGGTCATGGCAACTAAGTAGCTCAGGATCAATATGGTGGTTGTGATAATGGAGAAGCGAAGATCGCTCATTGCCTCTGGGGTACGGTTTCCGCGTGGGCCTAGCAATGGGTGCCTGTTTGGAGAACTCTCTGTGGCATGTTGTCTGGGGCGCCATTTTAGGACAGCATCGACTGAGGCTCGGCATGGGTGGCATTGTAGTGGATAAGAGAAGACTACTAGCATGACAATTGCGGCGCGGCCGATCGTTGCATATACGCCAGGTGGGTACATGCCGATGATATTGCCGCCTACACTGTTGCCAAAGGATAAGTACCCGGTGATGGCAACGAGGATATATGTTGCAGCTGCGCTACCGGCGCTCGCAAAAACAACGGCCGTCGTGCGGAAATGGCTGTTATTGCCGATTTCGTTGAGGATGGAGAACATCTGGAATGCTTGTTAGGAAAGAACTCAAAGGTCGCAACTCGGAATCTTACGTTTTGATGGCAAGTAAATGCAAAAACAATAACTGGCAGACTGCTGAGAGTCGGAACCGCGCCGGCCCAATGGCCCACGCGAATCGGGCCCCGATCTTCCTTGGTGTCTCCCTGGACATATTTATACACAACCAGGACAACCAAATAGCCCATAGACATCAAGGCCGCGATACTGGTATACTTCAAAGAATCTAAACGGCGCAGGTAAGAGATAGGAATCACGATCAACCTAAGAGTCAAATGTTTAGTACTTCAGCCTCGATTCTGCATATTGCATAAGGCGACTCACATAAAAGCCGTAACCCAAAAATGACGGTCCACCAGGAAATCATACGCTGGTTCACTGCCAACGAAGCCCTGTACCACCCCCGGCATAAGATCTCCAATGATGATGAGATAGCTCACGCCGACTCCGAAACATTTGATCGCAATCGCGGCGTCAAAGACCACAGCCGCGTTTGGGTATGTCAATTGTGATAGCGCAAAGAATGAGGCACTTCCACGATCCAAATATTGTGCGCATAATGATTGCAGGTAGAGGCCGAATCCTGCGGTAACTGCAGACCACAGAACCACACCGACGCCGAGGACAATTCCCATACGGGAGATGGCTAGGGGCATCGCAAGCACACCAGCGCCGATAACTACAGTGAGAGTCTGGGTCAGAACTCGGCATACCCTACGCATTGTATACTTCCTCGCACTTACTGGTATTGACCAGGTTGATCACACTGCTGGCCCAACTGGCCTCACCCACGACATCCCCAGGTCTTCCACGGCCTCCACGCCTGATGGAATGAATTTTTATTAGTTAATTTCAGCATCAAGACTTTGTGTTCCACGTACCTGCGCAATGCATTCTGGGATCCTGATGGACCAACGGGTGCGCCCTCCTCCATTTTAATATCTGTTATCTGTTTGCGGAAATGCGGTTATCGGTCGTAGATAGGCGCGCAACACATAATTAACGGCCGCTACCAGCGGGGCCGAGATTAAACCAAAAGAGAGAGTGAATAAATTAGTTTGAACACTGGAAATGGAAAAAGGGAGGAATAAGGAGGAAAAGGAAAGTATCGTGGCCAGTTGAAAGTCTTATCGGGATGACACATGACCGGGTCTTCTCCGGGACCTGTTACCTAACAAAACACTTGGCCCAGCGCAGGAGCATCTGGGCATCCCTACATATTACCTAACTACATCCTTGAAGCGCCTACTATTTGAAACATTGGAATTGGTATATCCATCAAGTGATGCTAATTATAACTTCGACAATCCCCAGCCTTTCTGCGACATGAGTCGATAGCTCTCTTCCTCAAGCGCATTCTGATCCGACACCGTGTTGCCAGGTCGATTACCAGGACCAGGATCATTAAACTGATTGACAGCTCGCACCGTCTTTGAAACTTCCAGAATCGTACCTCCCTTCACCTGAAACTGCGGCGCACGACCCGAGCGATCCCCAATAATCTCACTCACCTGTTCCTGCTGCACAAGCGCCAACATCACCTGCGCCACTTCTTCCGGCGTCACCCACTTGTCAGTACTATCATTGACCATCTTCAACTTCTCCGGATGATCAGTCCAGAGCGGGGTCTTGATAACGCCGGGAGCCACGGCCGTGACTCGAATCCCAAGCTTCTTGTCGAGGTCAGCGAGCGACCGCACAAAGCCGTTGATGGCTGCTTTCGTGGCGCAGTAAATCGGAGCTGGGAGATTCGCGTTTTGGCCTGCAATACTAGAGATATGGACAATATGCTTTGGGCGGGCACCGGTGCGATTTTTCAGGAAATGGGCAATCGCCAGCTGCGTCGTGCGGATCGGGTGATTGACGTTGATATCGATCAAAGCGTATCGACCGCCAGAGGCCGAGTCCTTGCTTTCGGATGAGCCAGGTGGGCGCCAGAAGTTGCTCCAGTGCTACAATTATGGTAGTTGTCATTATACTTGTAATTCTGCTGGGGATGCTTTTTTTGTCTTACCGGCTCGTAGACTCCCGCGCCCGGGCAAACAATATCAATCTCGCCAAACTCCCTCTCCGCAACCTCGAACATCCGCTCGAGCTGGACCCAGTCAGTAACATCAGTCTGTTGGAAGATAACTCGTGCGGCTCCAGTCTTGTGCTTATCGGCTAGCCCTTGCGCCTCGGGACGCAAGGCTAGATCTGCGATTAGGACATTGCAGCCGCTTTCCACCAGCAGTTTGGCGAAACTGAGGTTGATGCCTGGCTACAGTGTGAGCTGGCTGTCTAATACTGCAGTGTACTGGAGACATACCAGAGCCAGCTCCAGTTATAATGGCAGATCTTCCTTTCACTGAGATAGACATTTTTAAGTGTTCACGACTAATGGCTTACAGAGTCTACCACGAGGGGGATTCCTGCCTCTTTAATGCAGGAAATGGACCCTGTGGAACATGCTCGGTGTCCTTTGCAGCGCATTCCGTCTCCATTTTAAGATCTCGCGGGGTAGAGGAACATTTACCCGTCGGGGCGAGTGGAAGGTGGACCGAGGCCGGCGTGATGGCCGAGATTCCTGTACAACATACAGCAGAATGGTAGTCTGTTGTCCCTCCCTTGGGTGTCAGGCTGTCAGACGGAATTTCCACTCTTGTTGGCATTATCTTGCTTTATCACAACGCTGGGAGGGGTTGGATGGTACTTGTGTGAGGTGCTCGATGTAAAACCGTGCTGCATGCTGCAGCACCGGATCAGCAAGTGGCCCTGAGGGGCAATGATTGCTTGAGGGGAAACGATTATACCTATCAGACACAAGAGACGTTCGTCGAGATCTTTGGACCTTCGGTAAATCGATTATGTCCAAGCCGTCCAGCAGGGACTTAGAATGCTCAATATATCATATCCTCGGTAACAGCGCAGTATTCACATCAAGTGCCGCAGTTGGCATCGTCGTATGGCATGTAGTGTTTTGTATAGTACCTAAGCTTCGTCACCCGAAGGCCTTCTTGTAGATTACCGCTTGCCGCATTCCCGAATGATGGTTTTAGAGGGAAAACGTTGGAAAACCTCCCTTTGGCTATCTTCATCTTTAGCCTCATACATGATGGATTCTTTGCGGACTGATGTCATGGCCAACAGTACGGGGCGGTTAGACTTCCCAATCTGGTAATTATTTGGCAGATCGCTCTTTCTGAGGGCGGCCCGAGTACTGCTTAGGGGATTCTTCCGACCCGACTAATGTAGGGTAGGTTCCCCACGAAGAATATATAAAGCACAGGTGAATATCCCCGCAAAATTAGATGGCACACTTGTAAATTCAATTCAATCATGTCGTTGTCAAAGTTTATTTCGAAATCTGCTGTCAGAGCGGCCTCTACCTCGGCCCAGACAACCAAGGCCGCCGGTGATATCTCATCGGTCTTCCCCAGTTTAAGGCCCGACTACAAGCCGGAACCCCTACCCGCACGGTTTCAGGAGCTGAAGGCGAGGATCTTTGAGAAGAACAAAGATGCAATCACAAAGAGTTGGGAGCGTTTACTTCCTAGCTTAGACGAAGAAGTGCAAAAGATCAAGGCAAAAGGCAGCGATGTATGTGCACATAACCCGCATCACCGAGCAAAAGACTAATTTACGCATGACAGATCATTCCCTCAATTGACTACTCTGATGTCATCTCTGGAAAAGTGTCCGAGGCCGCATTAAAAGAGATCCGTCACCGCGGCAGCGTGGTTGTCCGCAATGTGATTCCCCGGGACCAAGCCCTAGAGTATAAGCAACGGATCCGCGACTACGTGGCTGCCAACAAGGAGCGAGTCAAGGCCTTCCCGGCAGACTCCCCGGCTGTCTACGAGCTGTACTGGACTCCATCACAGGCCGAAGCCCGCGCTCACGACAGCATGCTCAGCACCCAGCGCTTCATCCAGCAGCTATGGCATTCATCCGACCCCAACAGCAAGATCTCAACCACCAACCCACTCACCTACGCAGACCGTCTGCGCATCCGCGACCCCGGCGACTCAAAATTCACTCTCGGTCCGCACATTGACGGCGGTTCCCTCGAGCGCTGGGAAGACCCCGAGTACTCCCGAGTCTACACGAAGATTCTGGAAGGAAAGTGGGAGGAGTACGACGCATGGGATGCGCGACACCGTTTGAACGCCAAAATGGACTTATACAACGGTGCCGGGGCATGCTCAATGCTGCGTTTCTTCCAGGCCTGGCTTTCCATGTCAGACACCAAGCCCGGTGAGGGCTCATTGCACGTCTGCCCCATGATCAACCACAGCACAGCGTACACCATCCTGCGCCCCTTCTTCGACGTTGAGAGCTCCAAGCCAGCACTGGATGCTACATTCCCGGGTTCCGTACCTGGCGCTTGCCAGGAGTACAACCCGGTCACACATCCGCATCTCGAACTCGAGTCGACTATGGTTTCTGTACCGCAGGTTGCGCCGGGTGACTTTGTCGCTTGGCACTGCGATTCTCTTCACTCCGTGGACAAGGAGCATCGCGGTACCCAGGACTCTAGTGTCATGTACATTCCTGCAACCCCGCTATGTGATATGAATGTGGAATACCTTCTGAAGCAGCGCCAGGCTGCGCAGACTTATTCGCCTCCCTGGGATTTCCCCGGTGCCGGTGGACCCGGTGAGGCCGGTTTCAAGGGTGCTATGGATTGGTCGGCGCTGAGCGCTGAGGGTCAGCGTGCGATGGGCTTAGGCAACACTCCTTGGGAGATCACCGATGCTATGAGTGAGGGTGAGAAGGAAGCTGTCCGGTCTGCCAACAAGGCCTGTTTCGGTGTTTAAAATTGTTTGGTTTGTTTGGCATTTTTCTGGAGTTCCTGTTTGGAAGGTACTTCCAAAGCTTGGTATAGTCACTTGTATAGCCCTTTGTATTTGACGATAAGTTTTATTTTCGAGCATCACTTCTCACGTAAAATTAATTGTAAATCACCCCATGTGATCCCTTATCCGCAAGCGTAGAGATCCCAACAAACCGCAATTCAATAGTGCCACAATGGTGCCACAGCAAAACGCCACAGCATCACTAGTGCCACAGGGAACAGCCACAGGGCGCCCCACATCAAACCAACCGCCACCCATGGCAACCTTGGCAAAAGAGGGGCTGCTTTTGCCAAGTTGGACGGAGTCCCCGACACAAGTCTCTTCCCCTTCTCTCCTTCTCTCTACTCACGATATTTTCGAATTTGCAAATACTTCGTACATTCACTATCACAATGGATTTCATCAAGAACGCAATTTCCAGCAGTGGCGGCCACGAGGACAAGCCTGTCGAGAACAACACCCAGCAGAACGACGATTACGTTGACAAGGGTAGGTGATTTCTTTGCTTTACGCAACATGAGTTTCTCAACTGACACGTGGTTACTTCAGCCTTCGCTGCCGGTGTCAAGAAGTCTGGCTACAACATCGACCGCAACATGCAGGAGAAGATCACCGACGGTGCCCGCGAGGCCTACGAGAAGGCCACTGGGTAAGTGACAGTCCATGGTCCTTGGGCTTGGATATCTGCTAATATTTGATTGTGTAATACAGCAAGCACGTCAACGAGAAGATCTCCAACTAAAGAAGATCTCCAACTAAACGAATCACTAGAGCAATCATCATATTTGGGAGGAATGAGTGAATGAATACCCAGACAGAATGCAAATATGATAGAAATGTGATTAAATCATTGAAACTTGTCTCGACCTTGAAAGTACTGGGGAAATTTTGTGTAGTCTGAGTCCTTTAGCTGAGGGGATCGCAAGATTCCCACATGGAGCCACGGTCTCCAAGGCACCAGGGTGCACTCGCACACAGTCCTTGACTAGGTAAGAAGGGATCTTCAGCCGTACCATGGACGAAATCAAACCAGAGATACGGACGGGTCTCGGAGATAGACCTCGGGATGTATCACGTTACCATAGAAATCAATAGCGCGATCTAAGTAGATCTTGCCTAAGTGGGCCCGGAAAAGGTAAGATCTTGTATTATGATTGGTTGATCTCAGTTTTGTCCCAAAAAAACAAAAAGAACTCAGGGCGGCGGATGCATGTACGTTTGTTTACGGATTAGACACCTCCCGCCTATCCTGTCATATTGAGCAGTCCAGACCTGTGGCTGCAAACTAAAAACAGCATAGCCACAGTTGAGGGGAAATGAACTCTGTCCTCTCTCAGGGCGGCCAAGTCCGGCTCTGGCAGTGAACTAAATCAAACCGGCAAATCATAGGCCCGCATGGCTGTCTCCATGGCGTGATCTTCTCTTCATAGATTGGATGATGGTGCAGCATCACCTATGGGTCAAATATGGGGTCAATTCCGCATTAGGCGACACCAGCTGAAAAGTGGCTCCCAAGGTTTGCGCAATCATGGGCAAATAAGCAAAAAACTAGTGAGTTCGGGAGAGATGCTAGCTTCTCCGTGCCACGATCATTGGCCCCTGAGTATCTTTGCTCGCCTCGCTTGTCCACATGTTGTCACTGAGGGGTTGAGAGAGGGGCGATTCTCTTCTATTCCGTTCGACCCCGTTCCTGCTGGGAGATAAATAAAGCGCTCACTTTAGTTTGGGGGCAACATATCGTACCCCTTAAATAACCACTATATCCTCTTCTTCCCAAGAACTATTCATCTCATCCTTCCAAACATACCTAAACCACACCTCCTAAAACACCCAATCATAATGTCTTACCGCAACGAGTCCGACAGCTACGGCAGTGGCAACCAGAGCTCCGGCTATGGCGGCAACGACTCCAGCTATGGAAACAACGACTCTTCCAGCTACGGAAACAATGACTCTTCCAGCTACGGCAACAAGTCTAGCTCCAACCGCAACGATGACAGCTACGGTAGCAGCAACAACAACTCTTCCAGCTACGGAGACAATGACTCTTCCAGCTACGGCAACAAGTCTAGCTCCAACCGTAACGATGACAGCTACGGTAGCAGCAACAACGACTCCTCTAGCTATGGCAACAAGAACTCTTCCAGCTACGGAGACAATGACTCGTCCAGCTACGGCAACAAGTCTAGCTCCAACCGCAACGATGACAGCTACGGTAGTAGCAACAACGACTCTAGCTACGGAAACAAGTCCAGCTCCAACCGTGACGACGACAGCTATGGTAGCAAGAACACCAGCTCCAGCTACGGTGACAACAACTCCTCTAGCTACGGAAACAACGACAATGACAACGACTCTTCCAGCTACGGCAACAAGAACTCTTCTAGCTACGGCGATAACGACTCCTCGAGCTACGGTAACAAGTCTAGCTCCAACCGTGACGACGACAGCTACGGCAGCAGCAACAAGAACTCTTCTAGCTACGGAAACAACGACAATGACAACAGCTCCTCCAGCTACGGCAACAAGAACTCTTCTAGCTACGGTGATAACGACTCCTCGAGCTACGGAAACAAGTCTAGCTCCAACCGTGACAACGACAGCTACGGTAGCAGCAACAACGACTCCTCTAGCTATGGCAACAATAACTCTTCCAGCTACGGAGACAATGACTCGTCCAGCTACGGCAACAAGTCTAGCTCCAACCGTAACGATGACAGCTACGGCAGCAGCAACAATGACTCCAGCTACGGTGGTAACAATGACTCCAGCGATAGCTTTGGTAGCAAGCTGCTGAACAAGGCCGAAGGTTCGTAAATTCTTGTTTTTGAGTAGGCACCGAGGATTTTATGCTGACTTGTACACCACTCAGGATACCTCAACAAGAACAGCGATTATTAGTTTGATTTTTGAATGGCAGATAAGCCAGTCAGTAGGAATGAGCTTTGCTGGAATGGGTCGTTTTCAACATAGTATATACTGAGACACAATATACGATTCATCTTTCAACCCATTTTTGGACCACGAACATTTATCACTGGAACTGGATCGTTTGTGGTTTTTCTCTTCGTAGACTCTCATATTGTCCATTCAGTTGCAATGTTGAGGGACCTCGGTTGTTCTCTTGCCCACTTGGGAGGGCGAGTCTTTAACTCACCTGAGCCAATAGACCTGTTTCGTAAAGGGCTAACCAATCAATCAGGCAGTGCTATTAAGTGTATTTGTGGTTGAAAATGTCTGCCGTCAGGTATAGAGTTGAGTCATCGGGCCCTTCTATGCTCCCGTGTAGGGAATCGTGATCCGGTGGGCGCTCGAGGCGGTACTTTGTTTTCCATATACAAGACCTTGGCCTTTCTTCTTGTGGTCTCGGAAGAAATGAACAACCAAATTTTTGTTTTTAACATCGAGCGGCTGCCAATTCTCCCTTTTCTTTTGCAGCCGAAGCTGTCTACAGTGGGGATTGATATTGCATAATGGTCAGCCGCGAATGATGGGTCGAAGCCTCATGATGCCCAAGAAAGTAAACAGGGCCTTATCACCGTCTCGTTCCCGCCCTGTAAATTCTCCTACATCCTAGTCCGAGATTCAATTACTAACAGCTAATTTAGCTGTTGTTACCGAAATTTCTGTCTGGAGTATATCAATCAATGCCAGCCAGTTTGATCCTTTCCCGGTGACGATGACCAGCAGCATCGACTTGCCTCATATGATCTACGTGATGCCTACTTTGGATCAGCCCCTACCCCAACAAGTACTACCACCACCATCATTCCACCTCCATACCCGTCGACCCAGACAACAAAGGACTGTCATCTCAACACGGCCAAAATCTCTTGGTCCTCTGGCACACCCACTCCCTCTACTAGCAAGGGTGGTAAGAGAGCCGGTCACTCCTGTAAGCCATTCTGCATACCAAATTTCCCGCTGTGCCCGCCTGGGTGAAGCAATTCAATCAACGGTGGTGGAGGGTCTAGCGGTGGAGGCGGCAGCGGCCCTAGTGGTAGCGAGGAGGAGGATTGTAGCACCCGAACGGCGCGGATCTGCTCTATAGCTTGTGTCAAAGGCTCCGGGTGTGACTTTGCTTGTTCAACAACAACCGGGTGTTCTGCAACGCAATACACGTGGGATGTGATGTATTGTGAATGGTAGAATCTTTGCCAGGTAAATTCCTGGAGCACTGTATAGAGCTAAACAGAATGAAACAAGCGTGTAATGAGTAAGTGCTCTCAATACAAGGCACTGTGGTAAACAAGAAGGTACCTTGTGTCTTGTCTTAGTCTATAGACCCAGTATGTCAGTTTCGCTTACCTGATTCATGGCACAGCGAGTATATAACCTATCAGTACTCAATTCCCACAGTAAGTGGGTGACCTATACTAGGTGGTAGGGCTATACATAGCTTCTAACAGAAGCTTAAATACATTCCCGGTAGCTCACAGCCACGTAATTTTCAAGGCCATAGAGATATAGCTTTTGATTTCTTTGAAATCGACATGCTGCCTTGACGGACTAAAAAGTTGATACAATGTTCAATCAAATCATGAGCATGGTACAGGGTAGGGACAAGGCAGAAAATATCCACAATGAGTGGCAGAAGTACTTAAAAATAAAGCGCTTTTATCTTGTTGTGTGAGATTGAGATATTATTTCCTTACCTTAATCAATGTTAGATGTCTCCCTATCAGTAAAACACGAGTATTGATGCAGCCTTGTGAGGTCCGGTAGTCTTTCAGGGTTGGATATCTTTTTTTTTATTTTCTTCACACATTTCTTCGTACTCTGATTTCAATAACCAGACGGCAGTAAACAAGAATTACGTTCAAATATACCAATGACCGGTGTATAAAAAGCGATATACCAGATACTGTGCCTTTCTGCCAAGGTTGGATGTCCATGGATGTAAACGGAAGGGGATCTGGGATCTGGGGGGCCATCACCGCCCGGACTCCGCCAAGATTGTATTGACAACATCCATTCTACACCTCCCCCTCCTCCCCTTTTCAATGCTTCAATAAGAGTTACTCAAAATGCGGCTCCAGGCGGCGCTCTTTTCGCCGCGTGCCTATCGCCCGCGGCGGCAATCTACCCTGACGAGGTCAACCACATCGACTTCCACCACGCTCTCCTCGGCACCCCATCCACCGACTCGACCTTCTTCCTCAAGCCATCCCAATCTTCAAATGCCTCCCTCCTCTATACCATATCCGATAAGCTCCTCGTGGGCGCTGTAAACCCTCGCGATGGCTCGCTGGTATGGCGTCAGAACATCTCGCGGTCGGCGGACTCTTTCGCGCACGGGGCGGGTCTTTTGCGCGGATTGGATGGAAACGATGCCGTTGTAGCTGCGGTTGGTAACTACATCTCATCTTGGAGTGCCCAAGATGGCAAGGTGGGATGGGAAAATCGAGTTCCCGAGGGTGTGGTTGCTGATCTCGAGCTGTTGGAGCTGGAGGATGCTACCGCGACCTCCGGTTCGAGAGATACAATTGCTGTGGTTGCTAGCGAAGGCACCGGAATCGTGAGACGGCTGGATGGCAACACTGGAAAGACTGTGTGGGAATATAAGGATGCAAGGTCTGTTTCGTCTTTGGCTATCTTTTGCAAACCCCAAGCTAACGAATTGTTCTTCTAGCGGCGACGTTCCGTTCCAAGTGTCGTCTTCTTCCACAGAAGTCTTCTATATTTCACTCCAGTCGGCTATGTTGAAGGGCTACAAGATCAAGGTCACCGTTTTGGACCCACTGACTGGACGACAGACGCGCCAACAGATTCTGAACTCTGATGCCGATGTGGCTACCCCGGAGTCCGTCCTCTATGTGGGCGCCAATTCCGCCTCGCCCATCATCGTCTGGACCGACAGGTCGCAAAAGTCCCTGAAGGTCAATGTTATTGGTACCAAGGAGATCACCCCCATCGCCATTGACAATACCTCCGGCTCCGAAATTCGACAGATCACAATTCACGCTCCCCACAAGCTGAACGCGCTGCCCCATTTCTTGGTCCACTTTTTAACCGAGACTGGAGCCTGGGCCGAGGTATACCATGTAGACTTGGTGTCTGCTAAGGTCACCAAGGCTTACAAGCTGCCTTATCTGCCCGGCCAGTCGGTGGTCGCAGCCAGTGTCATTGACGCTAATGTCTATTTCACTCGAATCACGGACATGGAAGCCGTTGTTGTATCATCCGCCTCTCATGGAATTCTGGGACGATGGGATCTGCAGAAGCCTTCTTCTGACATTGCACTTCACTCAGTATCTGAGGTTGTTGCTAAAGGAAAATCTGTGGCTGTTAGGTCAGCGCTTTTCCGGAAGCACGGAGATTGGCAACTTATCCGAAATGGCCATATTGAGTGGATTCGACCCGAAGGTCTCATTGATGCTGTCGCAGCTACTTGGGCGGAAACTGCCGCCCAAGAAGATCTCGCTCATGAACTGGAGGTCGAGGGCCACGAGACTTTGTACGGCGCGTACCTACACCGTGTGAAGCGTCATATCCGGGACTTGGAACATCTCCCCGACTGGCTGAAGGATCTACCTAAGCGCATTTTGAGCAGTATCTTGACCGACGAAGTTTCCAACCTGGACAGCTTCGGAGTTGCCAAATCAGTCATTGTCGCCACGAAGAACGGCCGTGTATACGCCTTGGACACTGGAAATCACGGCGCCGTTTTGTGGGGCGTCCAGGCAGTGGAGACATCGCAGTGGAATGTGAAGGCTATTCTGTCTTCCCCGGGAGTCGTGACCATCTACTCCGACGACGGAAGCTCTGTGACTCTGGATGTGTCGACTGGAGAGGTAGTTTCGCGCACCGGACCATCTAACAGCAAACTCCACTCGATTGCTGTCCTTGATGCGCAGGATGGAAGTTCACTAGCCACCGTTGGTGTTCGTGAAGACGGTACTCCGGTCACTGCATTTGCTAACGACAATGGGTTCCTGGTAACCACCAGCGTTGACGGCCGAGTCCTTGGCTGGGCTGGAAAAGACAACAAGACTCCTGTGTGGGAGTTCATTCCTCCCTCCGGAGAGAAGCTCGTCGACGCGACCGCCCGCCCTGCACATGATCCTGTCGCGTCTATCGGCAGGGTCCTTGGAAACCGTTCAGTCCTTTACAAGTATCTCAACCCCAATCTCGCCCTAGTGACTGCAGTGAACGAGCAGACCAACACCGCAAGTTTCTACCTGTTGGACGGAGTCTCAGGCAAGGTCCTTCACGCAACCACCCATGCTGGCGTCGACTCCACACAGCCCATCGCATCCGTGATGTCTGAGAACTGGTTCGCCTACTCATTCTGGGGTGACGTTGCCGGCGACGAGTCCTCCGCCAAGGGCTACCAACTGGTTATCTCGGAGCTCTATGAATCTCCCTTCCCCAACGACCGTGGTGCTCTTGACTCCGTCACCAATTACTCCAGCACTGCCACCCTCCCGTTACCCCACGTCATCTCCCAGGCTTTCATGATCCCCGAATCCATCTCCCACATGGCTGTCACTCAAACGCGCCAGGGAATCACCACCCGCCAGATTCTTTGCACTCTCCCCTCCTCCAACTCCATAGTTGGCATTCCTCGCCCTGTCCTCGATCCCCGTCGCCCCGTCGACCGTGACCCCACGGCGGCCGAGGCGGAGGAAGGCCTGTTCCGCTACGCGCCCTACCTCGACTTCGATGGCAAATGGTACCTCTCACACACGCGGGATGTCGCTGGTATCAAGGCTGTGCTTTCTCGCCCTACCCTGTTGGAAAGTACCAGTCTTATCTTTGCTTATGGAAACGATATTTACGGTACCCGAGCCACGCCCAGTCAAGCATTTGATATTCTTGGCAAGAGCTTCTCCAAGTTGCAGCTCGTTCTCACTGTGGTGGCACTCGGAGTTGGTGTCACCGTTTTGGCTCCAATGGTAAGTTTCCTACCTCATTTCTTCAGGTACATTTCCTAACATTTTTTGTCTAGGCTCGGAGAAAGCAAGTTAACGCCTTGTGGAAGGCTTAGGCCTTCTAGGCTCATATACCAGATGTCATATTGTTCTTTAGACTGTAATACATACGTTGGTTAACAAATTCTCCACATATAGCACCTAAAGTGCTCGCATCTCACTGCGAAGATTAGTCGACTGCGAATATCAGTCGTCATGCTACACGCAAGCCAAGCTGGCCTGCCGAAAAATAGTCCGCAGTCTGATATGTAGAAATCCGTTGGACGTAGGGAGCTGTTTTCATTCATTCAGAGACATGATATCCCGAGTATCTAGCGTAATACCAAACAGTTCAGCAAAACAAAACAATATGAACCAATCTCGACAACCACCCACAACTGCACAGGCTTTGTATATACTAACCCTCCTCACCCAAGTTCAAATCGTCGATAAGCCAACCTCTCAATACAACGGCATAGGCGACGAATTGACATAATCAACATTATTCTCAACAGACTCAATGCGATCAGCACAAGTTCCAAAAATCCGATCCCAAAGCCTCGTCTGCTTCCCATAATTATGGCTCTTCTTCCAACCCTTCCGATGATGCAAATCATGATCCTCAATAACAAGTTCTGCATCGAACCAGCGCAAAGCCCAACTAAACGTCGACGGCGGCGTAGCATGAACCCGCAATCCACTATGACCCGCCAACTCCGCAAATACAACATACTGATGACAAACCCACCATTCATAGAACCCCATTGGCATCCCCATAAGCCTCATACTGAAATAAGTCATCAGCGGGATACCGAGGATATCGAAGAACTCCTGCTCGGTATCCGCATACAGCGTCAACAGCGGGTTCGGGTGCTTGGTGAGGTGGTGGGTGCGGTGATATTTCCATAATGCGCCGACATCATGCATCAGTCGATGGTACCAGTAGAACCAGAAGTCGAGGATGATACCGTATAGACCGGCTTCGAGGGGTAGCCAGACAAAGCTCATTGTTGAGGGTGCGTGTGTTGAGTGGTATGCGATGAAGACTGTGAACATTGGGCGGAAGGTCGAGGTCGACATGAGTGAGCGGACGACCTTGGCGACTCCGACGTCTGGGACGCCGTCGCGGGCGTGCTTGTCACCGTCCAGGAAGCCATGCTGGTGGCCCAGTCGTCGGAGGACGTGTAGTTCGTGAATGGCGATAGCTTTGAAAGCCACTCCGTATAGGAAGAAGGCGCCCCAGGCGCTGAGGTTATGGCCAGTGAAGGAAACGTAGGCGTGGTGGATTAAGAGTGGTATGGCGGCGTGCGTCAGGACCCAGCGGTGCATGGACCAGTCTGGGACGTAGGGCACGGCGTCTTCTTTTAGATGGATGGGGATGTTCTTGTCGAGGTGTTCTGGGTG